AGAATTGAGGGGGCTACTTCGGTTGCAGGAGGGTCGTAAACCCATGATTAGTATAAGGGTCGCAAACCCTGGGTTAGTAGACAAGAAAGGTCAGCTGTAGGTCGTGGATCCGCGGTTAGAAAGGCGATTGAAGTAACTTGTAGGTCGTTTACCCGTGGTTAGAAAGGCGAGTGAAGTAACTTGTAGGTCGTTTACCCGCGGGTAGAAAGGCGAGTGAAGTAACCTGTAGGTCGTTGACCCGCGGTTAGGAAGGCGAGTGAAGTAACCTGTAGGTCGTGGATCCGCGGTTAGAAAGGCGAGTGAAGTAACTTGTAGGTCGTTTACCCGTGGTTAGAAAGGCGAGAGAAGTAACCTGTAGGTCGTTGGCCCGTGGTTAGAAAGGCGAGTGAAGTAACCTGTAGGTCGTGGATCCGCGGGTAGAAAGGCGAGTGAAGTAACCTGTAGGTCGTTGACCCGCGGTTAGGAAGGCGAGTGAAATAACTTGTAGGTCGTTGACCCGCGGTTAGGAAGGCGAGTGAAATAACTTGTAGGTCGTTGACCCGCGGTTAGGAAGGCGATTGAAGTAACTTGTAGGTCGTTGACCCGCGGTTAGGAAGGCGAGTGAAATAACTTGTAGGTCGTTGACCCGCGGTTAGGAAGGCGAGTGAAGTAACTTGTAGATCGTTGACCCGCGGGTAGAAAGGCGAGTGAAATAACTTGTAGGTCGTTGACCCGCGGTTAGGAAGGCGAGTGAAGTAACTTGTAGGTCGTTGACCCGCGCCTAGGAAGGCGAGTGAAGTAACTTGTAGATCGTTGACCCGCGGTTAGAAAGGCGAGTGAAGTAACTTGTAGGTCGTTGACCCCGGTTAGGAAGGCGAGTAAAGTAACTTGTAGGTCGTTGACCCCCGGTTAGGAAGGCGAGTGAAGTAACTTGTAGGTCGTTGACCCGCGGTTAGGAAAGCGAGTAAAGTAACCTGTAGGTCATTGACCCGCGGTTAGGAAAGCGAGGACCTAACGGTGGGATTAGTTGCCTTAGGGTCGTGGACCCGGACATCCCTATGGACGGTTCCTGATCGTCAGGATCGGGAAGCCCATGTAGATAGTGTCCTGCCATATGAATCAGGGGTCAGTCAGCTTATTCTGTGCTTCCCGTACTGGCGATTAAAAGCACTGAATAATTTGAAGGCCAAAAGGAGACAGATCTGCCCAGATCTGTGTTTATTGAATAAACACATTGACTAATTTTCAGTGATATAACTAATTAAGATATTGTAGCTGCATGGCCGCCGCTACGCTTCATTGGTTTTGTGTTTTACAAATACATATGAATGTATATGCGGCCTCATTATGATGTACGATACATTTTTTCACACATGAATAAGTTGAACCTTGAGGTAAGTATGGTTATGTTCATGTGTATCAGTTTGCCCTAACAACTGTGTACAAAACAAGTGCATTATCTTAACTTGGCTAATCATGCATTTCGTCAGCTATTTTAATAATACAGTGCGTTGTCACAGCTGTGTACAAAACAAGTGCATTATCTTAACTTGGCTAATCATGCATTTCGTCAGCTAGTTTAATAATACAGTGCGTTGTCACAGCATGCCGTGTAGGTCTGTACAGCGCAATGTATTTTATTTATAAATCGGTCGATCCTGAGAGTTTATATATTTACGCTCAATCAGCAATATTTAAGCTGTTCACATATATTACAACTTTGTAAGTTACCTTTCCTTTCTAGAAATATCATAGAATCTACAGAAACTTCATTTATTCATTTTCAATATAATGTTTTAGTCATGTATATTTTACGAACATGACAATAAATTTGAGGAGCCTTGTAAAATTTGAGGGTCAGACATTTAGGCATCCCCATTGGCACCAATTGTGCTCCCTCTCTTGCGATCTGTTTCTATATGCATAGGAATCGGAATGTCTGCTCGGATTGGCAAAGTCAAAACAAGGTAATTTGGTTTAGAAGTTTAACTAAAGCTTCAGGTATATCGTTGATCTGATATCGTTTAATAACCACCAAATAGCCATTTTCCTTCCACTGATCTAGACCGCCTCCGTGGTCTAGTGGTAGAGCGTCCGCCCGGAGAGCGGAAGGTCCGGGGTTCGATCCCCGGCCGCGTCATACCAAAAGACGTTAAAAGATGGCACTTGTTGTTACCCTGTCTGGCGCTCGGCATTAAGGGGCTAAAACAAGGACTGGTCGGCTCGGAGTCAGTATACTGTGTCTGAGTGGGGTATTCATGTTAAACTGCGACATGGTATCTCAGTAAGCTAGCACTATAAATCGGCATCAGTCCGGACTAGTACAAGAAGCCACACAAACACACACACGTACATGCATGCACGTCGCTATATAAGTGCAATAATCTTGGACGCGACGTTAAACCCCATTTCACCTCACCTCACCTCCACTGATCTACCAACCTGAACTAGAAATATAGGAGACCAGTGAGACCGCCTCCCCTGTTTCATATTCTGATCTATGCATAAAGATTCAGAATGACAAAAGACTCTCGACAAGACTGTTTAACATGAGGTATGACTTCAACGTTCCAATAGTCAACTTTCTCTTCACGTCGCGCAACATTCCAGCGGCTCGAGGGGCTGTCGGGTAGCCTAGTGGTTAAAGCGTTCGCTCGTCACGCCGAAGACCCGGGTTCGATTCCCGACATGGGTACAATGTGTGAAGCCCATTTCTGGTGTCCCCCGCCGTGATATTGCTAAAAGCGGCGTAAAACCATACTCACTCACTCCAGCGGCTCGAGCCTTTGGTGTTTACATTTCATAACTTTTGAAATACAATCGTGCAAGCTCTTTCTACCAAGTTTTTAAAGAGCGTCATACAATCAATGTTACAACATTCAAGGTCTCAGTAAAACTTTCAAAAGGTGTTATGGTAGACATGTGGAGGAAATTTCCAAATTTGACACATCAATAACAAAAAAAGATGTCCGATACAATTCCTTATCTTGACTTGTACCATATGCTCCCGTATTTTTTTTCAGGTGAACAATTGACTTGCCTTTGCATGTGTTTGTGACGGGTGCCGCTGATGGGGTAGGATACGTTCACAGTTTCGCGAACACCTGGTATTGTCACTATTTGATAGTGATTCGTAAACACATCTCATGATCGACTGCATCGACTGCATCTATTTGCAGAATATGGAAATGGTTTTGTCGCTTCTATTTTAGCAACAATGGAATAATACGGACTAATGTACGGCTTAGTTGAAAAGAATATCAAATGTTAAAAGGATGATAATATTTATGATAATATAGGCACACATAGACACATAGTGTCGTGGCATCTGTTTTTTGGAAAATGATTGTGAGGCACCGTATGTTCGGATTTTAACCATTGTCTAATAGACAGGAGATGATAATGCGCGAATTATCTTAAGTCTTAGACTGATGTATAACGTTATACGTGCTTGGCGCCAAATCATATACTACAAAAACTAATTATATAAGGGAGTTTTGTTTTACGCTGACCTTCAGATACATTCGACCAAAGATATTGAAATGTATACACCAGCAAATACATATTTGCGATATACTTCCAAGGACCGGTTGATAGACCTGTGATTCCAGCATCAACATTGTATAAGGCTTCATGGACATCTATGACTGACTTATAACTTCATAACTGAAATGTGGCGCCTAATGAAAACTCGGCCACGAGTTGTTTTAACACAAAATATTCTTCACACGTTACAAACGATATCCATACATATTCAAAATGAATCAGGGATACACGTTATTAATGACATCCAGAAGAACGTTGGTCATGCAGCAACTTAATGGGATACAGTGACAATGGCCTATTCACGAAGCTGTCTTAGCTAAGAGAAATCTTAGCGACTTACGACAAAAATTACGACTGCCATAAGAGCTATTCTTGAAGCTGTCTTAAACCTATCGTAGCCGTGTCCCAGCTACGACAGCTGTCGCTGCTAAGTCAGGTAGCTCTCTTCTGTTGGAGATGAAAAGAGTCGGGTGTTTTTCCCGTGACGTCATAAGGGAATTCCCTTGACCTACATTGACGGGCAGACGACACCTGTCATCTGTGCGCCATGGACTCACCTCCGAAACATAAACGCATCAGGAAAGTAAACTGGATGCCTATTGAAGTGGACATATTTATTCAAGAAGTGGAGAAACATCATCACATTTTATTTTCGGCGTCTTGCAACACCGTGACAAATGTGCAAAAGAAGAAGATATGGACCAACATCGCTCAGAAGTAACTACTAGGCTACCCTAACTCACTGTGCGTTAACCAAGAATAATTAAGCTACCACTGTTTATTGTGTCATATAAAAGTGATTACATGTAGAGTAAATCTCAAACTCAGTATAGGTCCATGCACGACCTTTTTTCCTTGTTATTTGTCAGGCGACAGTGACTATTTATAGTCAGGGGAAAACCTGATTCCTCCCATGAGTCGTGTGTTTACATTTTGTTACATCAAGTGGCATTTCGGGGACACGTATCATTATGCCTTATGCCTTATCGCATTTTTTGTAATAATTTGTTTAGGATTTATATTACCCATGCTAACATGAGCTGAGGAATAGAAAATAAATGTGCAAACATTTTGTCAAGTAATTCATCTCTGTGCCTTATGATAAAGATTGTGTAAGTATTTTTGTATTTTTATGCAAGTAATTATTTTCCAATATATAACGTCATACATTATATATATATAGTACAGAGGTATCAATTTGTACAATGTGTAGTAATTAAGTATTAAAACAAAATTGTGATATTATTTGGTGACATTATGTAATTTTTTGTAATAGAATCTGTGCCAACAGCTTGGTCAAACAAGATGAGAAGGAGATCAAGAAGAAATGGACTGACATTAAGTAAGTGCATTGGCCATATCTGATGATGGTATGATATGTATTCAAAACAAAATGAACCCAGTACTGTTAACATTATATATATAAATATTCAAGAATTTTTTTAGCAGCATCAATCAATGTTTATGACATATTTCTGGCTGATATGAACATGTCAATAACTAATTTTGAATTGCCTATGTTTAGACAAATTTGCTAACTATATGAAAACATATACAATACTAAGAGTGTCAAGCGATGATGGAATACATTTATTAAACATTGACACTAATCCAATGTACTTTCTTGCAAATTCAAACTGTGATATAATCTGGTATTAAGAAGCCAAGCATTTAGGAAGGCTGCCTCACTAAAAAGAGAGATTTGTGCAAAAGGAGGAGGACCACCACCTCAACCACTTAATGAAGTTGAAGAGCGGGTAAATATGATTACATTGGCATATCAAAGATTACTATAACTTCTATGTAATCAGCCAGGCTAAATGACACATTCACAGCATATATTGTAATCACTTGTATGAATTGTTTTCACATTTGATACATATATTCACATCTATCATGAACAGGGTTACTACATAAAACATTATTAATGTTTCATTGTTATGTGTTACAAATCTTTGAAATTTACAATCTTCATAAAAAATTATTTACAGATTGTATCACTGATTCCCTCCTGTCAAATTGATGGTTGTGAAGGTGGATTGGAGAGTGATGTCAATGAATGTAAGTTAAAAAAATCTTAATTCAACATTAAATCTTATTTAATTATAAATGACCAGTGATAAAGATTCCACTTACAAATATATTCGACATTATGTCATTGAAACAATTGTAAGATGTTAGTGTAGTCAATGTCACACATAAATATGTCAGTTGCATGAAAACTTATACATTCTGATTGTTCATTTTCTTTCAGTTGTTCCTGAAGACCTGACAAATGCCTGTCTACCTGACGAGCAGTCAGTGTTCGTTATACCACCATCACCACCACAGCTGTGTCACAACAGAAACAGCAGTTGTTCAGACTGTACTAGCTGTGGAAGGTATTAAACATCATTGATCTGACAACTTGTCACGATAATTCAACTATATCACAGGTCTGACCATTCACACAAAGATTTATAACATGTAAGACAAGTGAAAAAATACTAAGTAAATAAAAAAATGTAGCTTTGTTGTCTAAAAAGATTTTCAACTCCTCTCACTTCTCATATGAATGTCACTTTTGTCAGTTCACTCAATATTATAAAACATGTTATAAGGTGAGAAAAAACAAATAATCTCCAAAATCTTTCACATATATATATTGTGTACTTTGATTATGGAAAAAGCATTTATTACCTTTATTCATGTTTCAATTTGATTTGATGTACTGAATATACTACTCATATTTTCAGGACACATTCCAACCACAAGAGACAAATTGATAGCTTTAGAGGAAAGGAAAGTGGAGATCCTGCAGCAGTTGCTGTCAGTAGAAATCCAGCGTCTCAGTATTGAGGAAAGAAATCTTGCTATAAATGAAAGAAATTTGAAAATAAATGAAGAAAAATTGTTGCTGAAACAAGCAGAAAAGAATGTTCAGTGCCTGTCTCCTCTTATTCCATTTCATCATTAAGTAATATTTCAGCTTTGTTGTCCTATTTAAATATATATGTTGTAATATTTGACTCTGCTTAGTCTATTTCAGGAGAGGGGCAGTGGGGTAGCATTGTGGTTAAAGAGTTTGCTCATCGCGCCAAACACCCAGGGTTCTAATCCCCACATGGGTTCAATGTGTGAAGCCCATTGCTGGTGTCCCCCGCTGTGATATTGCTGGAACATTGCGAAAAGCGGCATAAATACACACTCACTCACTCACTATTTGGAAGAAACATTTCAGTTCATGTCAGAATGTTTAATTTTTTTTAACATGTTCAGTATTGTTCACTGTCTTGAGAAAAATTGGCGGATTACACCATGCCTAGTTTGAAACCCATCACAAATAGGTCCAAGATATACTGTGTCATCACTGGCAACTTCATCAGCCTGGGAAGGTGGCAGTGGTATGTTCATGTCAAGGCACATATTGTGCAGCTGGGCTGCAGCATACACTACTTGACAGTAGAATCAGGACTTTTAGATTTGTGTGATGTAGGTGATGCAATCATGGCAGATAAGGGATTTACAATCTCCGACTTGACAACACCAAAAGGTATACTCCTAATAATTCCACCAAAGAAACATAAGAGGAAACAGCTGACTGCTGTAGAAATTGAACAAACTAGGAGAATAGCAAACTTGAGAATCCACGTAGAAAGGCACATGGAACGTGTCAAGAATTTCAAAATTTTGCAGGGTATAATTCCAATTTAAAATTTCAAAATCTGTAAAAAAAAATCTGGAAAATCTGTAATGCTTTGACTACTCTGCTCCCCCCCCTTAAACTCATGACCAATAAATTGATGACAATTACTTCTTTGATGACAGTTCCTTGCTTGCTCTGTAATAATTAGGATTAACATAATCTTATTGCAGCTCCAGATGTGAATGGTCACATGATCATGGTATCATGACAACAATTTTGTATTAAAAACATTGAGCCAAATAAGTCTAGCCAAATAAGTCTATTTTTGTCCATACTTTGTCCATTTTTGTCCAATATGACTATTGACATGACAACCTACTGGTTGTCTATTTTTGTTTTACTTATTGAATCAAAGCATTGATATAAAAATCCTGACTCTTCATATAAGTAGATAAACAATTTCATGTTTTAGCTGTGACAGCAGGATCATAGTCCCATGGTTCTAATTTTTGTAACAATAACTAAAAATGAAAGAAATAAACGCTTGATGATTTTCTTTAATGATGTTGTCCATGTTGTCATTTCAAGACGTTACAGAAAATATGTTAAGATATGTTATGGCTTAATAGAATGGTTTAAGAAATTACACGGAGAAGGAGATATCCTATGTCTAAGCGACATACTATCTGAATGGTCAGTCGCCGTGAATGCGGCGTTAAGTAACAATTCACCCACTGAATGGTAAGTATCTATGACTATCAAAGGAAGATATGATATGGTATTGAGTGAAACATTGAATTGACTGAGTCAGCGTAGGGTAAAACAACTGGTAAGATGGTAGTACAACGGTCAATCTAATACAGTGAAACACCTCGCTGGACACATCGGGTATATTTTTCAGGAATAATGGCTGACAGATAGAAACTGCGAGGCCTTGTGACCATCTGATGCCACTTGTTCTCGTCAAATGTAATCCTTTCAATGGAATCCCTTTGAGAGTCCACACCACAAAATCACACCAAGTTCTTTTGGTCAAGGCCATCTGTCCTTGTACTTGAAAGTAGTATGCATGGTTTCTTTTAGAGTCACATTATTGTCCACAATATCGCAGAAGAAGTTTGTATTTGATGCAGCCTCTTCTGGTGTTAGATCTCTGAAAACGGATGGACATTTAATCTCTACTAAGCCATGTTGATTACTACATGTACTACAATCTGTGCATGACACAAGTCCATCAGGGCTAGTTGCAAGGTAAGGGTAGTCTGTATTCACAATAAGTCCACACTGAGACACTTTCAACTGTGGATGAAGACCTGCCATTTTGTTGATATACTGCCGCCTTGCTGCCGATTCATGTGAAAGTCCCCATCTGGTATGTCTGTTACCAAATTCGCCCCGATATCCCATTAGGTCACAAACAAGTCTATCTGGAGCTGTAGATGTCTGTCGGATAAATACTTTGCCAAACTGTGAACTTGTTATCCTTTCCAATCTGGCTTCCTTCCAAAACTCTGTTTTATGTTGTCCTCTTGTCATTCTCTCTATTGACCTCACATCCTTTTCTGACACTTTCATGGAATCAAAATCATTTTGAAAGGTAGTTTGACAGGTTGGCGATTTAATATCAACATAGTCAGGAATACAACGATCAATGCATGGTATTTTTGGAAGTTCTGGCATAGGTTCAGGAGCTTGAGTTACAGTAGTTGTATTAACAACATATCCACATTTACTTTTTGTTTCATGACCAATTAACTTCTTATTAAATCTTGTGAGATTTATTGTTGTCCGCAGCATGTTGCTGTTGGCATGGTTGGGACACATTGATCTTTTGTTGATTGTTCTAGTACCTTGTGTAGTCCCAGTACCTTTTTGTTGACTCTTCCTGCCACTTGACATCAGGTTCAAGTCATCCAATTTCATTGGATCCAACTTCCTTTTTCTGGGAATTTTCCACTTGCACTCAAATGATGTGCATGAAAGCAAACCATCCTTTTTCTTCTGACTAATGTCTGCAAGGGCATGAAGCAGGGCTGATACATGATTACAAGCCTCCCCGGCACTGCAAAAACAAAATTAGTTATATTTATTAATATTATTTGGATTCTAGCTTTAATATTATGAAATAACAATCAAATGCATATAAAATGACAGTCATGTTTCCTCTATTTCACCCTAAATAATAATTATTTTTAATGTAATCAGCTAAAGATGTCACATATTAATAAGCAACAATATCAATAATCTGTTTATTTATTAATTATTATAAATTAACAAAAGTGAATGAGAGGTCCCTCAAAGAATGGCATTCGATATCCGCTTGGTGTGATGAGCTTCCGTTGCATAGATATAACGCCTTTACTGGGTTGTACTAAGGGTGTTGCATCCAAACGAAGTGCCCTAGCCCCTCTTGCTCGCGCTAAAACTTGTGCTCTTACCCCAGTCACCTTTTTATTTCGTTCCCGTAGGTATTCACGCAATTCTTTAACTGTCATTTGATTGAATTCATCATCAACGCCAATATTGTTATTTGCCGCCATTTTGAGGTTTACTCGGCGGAAGTGAACCAAGCTCCTTCCCAGCGTGTGACATCTCGGTAACATAGAGCTCCGGGAACGTACTTTCGCTGTGAGGAGCTTGGAAGTGAACGTGAAAAGGGGACATCACTCTAATTTTCTTTACAAAGGGAAATAACAACACACACGGGGCACAATGGGTCATGGTCAAGGTCAACTATGCGAGGCGGTAAATTTATCGGATCGTGGCGATGTATGAAATAGCAGTATGTATCTTTCTCATTCAATATACAATTTCATTACTATTACAAAACCGTGTACAATTACCGGAGATCAGCATCACATATTGCTTGAATATTGATGGCATGGTAACCCTTACGGCACACGTAAGCGACCTCCTCATCATGCGGTGGTCTAATAATAGCGATCACCCTATTACATTGGGGAACCCAGCTATGTCATAAAATCTTTCTTTTGTGTTTTGACGGGTTGTGGCATCGTTTGGAAAGTGTATCAAATTCAGATGTTTGCACAGTAGATTTATGGTTTTGTGTATCACCCTCGATACACTAGGTAGGTTGACTGACGCCGTGCAGGTCCCCGATTTCAGACTGAAAACCACCTTTTGCCAAGTACCGTAGATTTATCAAAACATGCATTTCGGGTGATAGAGGTACCGAACGCTTGGTCGGTCGTTCGAGGTAGGACCCCACACTCGCAATAATTTGTATGATGGCATGCCGATTTATGGCATGCGTGTCATCTAACGTGTCCAGCTGACTCGTCCTGTCACGGAATATTTTCTTCCTGGAAGGTGTTAGGGTTGATTGCTTTTCTCTATCGAGAAGCCCGAGCAATAGGTAGGACGCCATGATGGATACCTAAGACAGGTTTACGACAGGTCAGACCCTGTCTTATTTTTTGTCTTACGCCGTGCCAGTTATATTCGTACGATCCAAAATGGCCGCCGTTTGTTTACATATCGACTCGCTTTTAAAGAGCGTCATTTATTAATGAAAAAATTATCTACATACCTTAATACTTGGTAAGATCCCCTTTCATAGTCAGAACTTTAGATATCCGGCGTGGAATAGATTCATAAAGGCCACGAATAAAGTCTAGCTCAATGTCCTGCCAAGTGATAGGGATCGCTTCAAACAGCTGATCTTGGTTAGTGATGTCGTTTACGGTGTCCTGTAGTTTTTTCTTTAGTTTTAGCCAAACATTTTCTATAACATTTAAATCCGGTGATTGTGCTGGCCAATCCATCGTTTTTATGGCATTGTCGGCGATGAATTTTTTCACAATATTTGCCCTATGAACGGGCGCATTGTCGTCTTGAAATATATAGTTATTGTCTGGAAAATGTCTACAAATTACTGGCCACAAATTATTGTCCACAATTTCTATGTATTTCTGGGCATTGATGTTATTACCATTTACACGCACCAAAGTCGCCACACCATCATAACTGATACTCCCCCACACCACCAAACTCAACTTCCTGGTTCCAGGGGGACACACGCACTCGGGTCGATCGGCTTCATTTTCCTATCTCCAAATGTATACACGATTATTATTTCCAATAACCACCTGACTCTCATCAGTAAAGATAACATTCTTCCAAAAATAATTGACAGTTTTTTTCCTCATACTCCGACACCACAAGACACGTTTTCCCTAACAACCATCTTTTTTCGTGATGCGTCTGTAAAATCCTTCTCGGTGTAATTCCCTTTGAATTGTTCTTTTCGAGACAGATTGGTCTCTCACCGAATTGAAATTACCAGTGATATCCTTCAAAGGTCTCTGTCTATTATTTTTAACGAGTCTGAACAGCGCGGTGCGATCTCTGTCTGACAACTTTTTTTGTCTAGCTTGTCTCAGGATGTTTTCTACCGAACCCGTTCGCTTAACTTTAGCTAAAATACTACCCAAAGTAGACTTGGGAACCCCCAACAGGTCAGTAATCGCTCGATAACTTTCCCCCTCTTCTTTTAACTTTAACGCTATTCTTTTTAAATCACTACTCAATTCCTTAGATTTTCTCCCCATGTTTGCACTGATTATCGTATGTTTTGATCAAGCAGACGACACTTTGAAGCTAAGACAAAATTGTTATGGATGAGCAACTTCTTTATTTCAATTGGGCGACGTTTCGGTGTAGATTCTAACACCGTTATCAATAACAATGTTGTCTTAGTTACCATTCCAACTTCTAAATGCCACTCAAAGAAGAGACACTTTGAAGGACATCACGTGACGGTCACGTGATCAAAGTGACGTCATGTCAAATTTAACACGGTTCCGAGCATTATTGACGCTACGCGAAACATTATAAACCGTTATGGATCGTACGAATATAACTGGCACGGCTTAGTTTAGCGCTAAGACAGCTTCGAGAATAGACTTAACTAAGACGTTTTTCGCTACGACATATTTGCGCCAATCTTAGCGCTAAGACAGCTTCGTAAATAGGCCGCCATATATATATATAGCGATGTTGATATGCAGCGACAGTGTTTCCATCACCAGACTGAAATATGCCAATAACTTGGTAACACGTTACGAATCATGGGCTATTTCAGGCTGACAAAATACCTGATTCAATAAGGTTCAGTGTGATAAACAGATACCGTAACTGTTTTCAGAGACACGATCAAACACATTTTATCAGTAAGTATCACCGATTCATTGCATGTGCTGTATTCAAATTTAGAGATAGTTTTACAATATGTGGTGCCGCAAACGTGAATGAATGTCGTTAACATGAAATGACAATATTTGAGTTGAAAGGACGATATTAGCCTGAACACGTGTTTTGTATGAATACACAATGTCATTTAGAAAGTGGTCAAATGTAACAAATATTATATTTGGGATAACACCTTCTTAGTAAAGTACAGATTCGCGTACTTTTTTGGGGTGGAGTCCCGTCAGCGATCTTATCAACTCATCCACCGAGGCTTCCACACAAAAATGAAAGTTCGACAACTGGTAGCCTAGAACACGAACTTTGTGTACCTTTCTGACGAGTGTAAATTGGCACGTCTCCCATGGCCAAAAGCTATGAATACACTAAGAAAGTGTTATCCCAAATATAACATGTGTTACATTTGACCACTTTCAAAATGGCATTGTGTATTCATAGCATAGAGGGGGGCACGGGTGGCCCAGTCGTCTAAGGCGCCGCGATTCGCTGTGCAGAGTTGCGTCCCTTGGGCACGCCAGAAACCTATGATTGTGGGTTCGAATCCCGGTTCGCCCCGATTATGTTTCTAGGTTTGTCAGCACCATACCCGTGCTCGTGGGTTTCACCGAAGTGGTAAACGTCTGAGACCTGCATCACTTCGGGCTTTCCTCCCACATTAAGCTGACACGCCGTGATATAACTGGAATAATGTTAAAAGCGGCGTTAAACCCAACTCACTCACTCACTCACTCACTCATAGCATAGAGAGCAACTCTTGCAATCTCGAAATGTTGTAAACATATTCACTTTGACATGTAATTACATATTCCAGTCAAGAATGGCAGCAAACAGCATATTTATGAGCATTATTGTGCGTGAAATCCTATTTTAATAACGCCCATGTGCACAAGCATACTTCTACATCACAGTTCAACCTTGTATGAATACTTCGGCCGCTGAAATACAGTTCATGAAGTATAAATGCACCCCAGCATTCCCGCTTAGTGATCACTATCTAGACAAATATGGTTTGTTCGAAATATGCCATGTTAACCCAGCAGTGAATGGGTACCCGGTAGGATGAGATTGCGGCTGGTGGATGGTGGCTGTTAACCTTCTAGCGGCCCATAGGTAGTTCGGGTTGGTATTTTGACTGCTCGTCATACTGTGAGCAGTCTAGGATGAACAGAGCGAGGAGTTGGCTTTTATGTTCTTAAACCGTATTAGGCATACAAAATACATTTTCAGTCACTCTTTCAACAGATAAATTTCTTTCTCTGAAGGTAGAAGCCGAATGAAGTTTTTTCTCACAGACATCCAGCATGTCCATCGAACATGTTTTGGCAACATTACTGAAACAAAGAAAATAAATTCACCGGTAGTATATTGTTGCGAAACCATCGCGATATGTTTACGAAACGTACGCAAAATGATCGTTCAATTACCGTTGTACGTTTGCGGTTTGGATGCGGGGTACCGTGGTACGTTCAATTTGTCTAATTGCTGTTTCGTACCGCTATGGTCGTTTGCAGTAGCTAGTCTTTGACAATCAGCGGTTCTGCTCGTAAAATGAAAATGATAAATTGATAGAATATGCATTTAGTGACAGTTAATAATAAAGAGTACTTAAGTGTTTGTTACTTTGCAAGGTGTGTGATACTACCAGCAATATATTTGCTGACAAAGATCGATATCAGTCTCTACTTTACTGGAATCCTGGATAAACTATAGGCCCGTATGGATGAAATGATATTGATAGCACGCATTTATATCGATATAAATGCGAGTTAAACGTTTACAATGACTCGAGAGTGTTTAATGAATTTGTGGCTTCCAATTTGTGTTTATGGCAGAAATAAAGGTAAAACGCCGATGTATTGATATTCTGTTAGGACGGGGGACATAGGTTATTGTTAATTTGTATGTAAAGATTTGCATACACCAAGAGAATAATACGACTGTACATATATTTCATGTAAATATGATAAGCATGCATCGGATTCACGTCTTTCAAATCGAGGCATTTAAATGTCCTGACAACGTACTACAGCTGGAATATACAACCGGGGAAAAGAGAGTATACGCTTGAAAATTACAAACGTTATTAAAACGTCAGTAGGCTGAAAACTTGAGGTCCACAACACAACTATGATACCCGTATCAAATACACCACCTTCGAATAACCATTTCTTGTTTGTTTCATTTTAAGCCTCCGACCATGGGCGCATAATTTTTTGGCCCGGCAGTTTATATGCTTTTGTTACCTGAATATGTACAGGCATATTTCAATTTTAATCTACTTATGAAAATGTTAACTTTAATTAATTTGCAAATTAATCCCAATTATAACAAATAGGGGAGAAAAAAAATGTCCCCGCATTTTATTGAATTTGTAAACGAGTTGAGTTTTGTAAAACGTGGTATTAAGTATGGCAACTCGATTGTTGTACTTATCACATATTGAGTTTATAAACTTTGATCATTTGCTGTTTGCTATCCTGGCATTTCAATTGTCACATCGACTAGATAGACCCCTGTACGGTGAGCGGAAGGTCGTTGGTTCGATCCCCTGGCCACATCATACCAAAATACGTTAAAATATGGTATTTGTTGTTATCCCACTTGTCGCTCGACACTAAGGGGATGAAACAAGGACTGGTCATGTGGAGTCAGTATACTGTGTCTGAGTGGGGCAGTCATGTTAACCTGATATCTCCGTGGGGTAGCTCAATGAACTGGCGTTATTTCGGACCATTACAATCTGCCACACACATGTGCATGAACGTCGCTATATAAATGCAGTAATCTTAAACCCGACGTTAAACCTCACCTCACCTCACCTCACCTCACCTCACCTCACCTCACCTTCAGTTCTCACAGAATATATATGATAATGGATTTTGTTGAGAGTTATGAACCAGAAAATACCAACGCGTTGAGACGGTCACCGTTGCTACATTTTGAATACTGTACATATACGTTCGTGTCATTACTCTTAAGGTGCACGTGAATAATCAATAAATAAATTATAGATAAGCATTTACATCGAAGTCAGACATATTATTTCATCTGTTTTAATTATTTGGAGTGGGTTTTTGTTGACGCGTATATTACATACATGACAATTGTGTATCAGAATGATTTCACTGGAATCATTGTCCGGATTAATGTGGTTTCACATTATTCTTAATATCCATCGCCGTGTCCTTGCCATGGATATGTACCATTGTTTAATTAATTATTTGAAAATAAACCTTTTGGGCCTTAATATAGAATCAGTTTCAAATATGTACATTATTTCCATACATCAAAAAATAAATAAACAAAACACTTTCCTAAACCATAAGAAATCTCCACTAAAAGCAGAGTCAATTGTACAATTCCGACAATATCACAAGCATGTGTCTATGAATCACTATCAAATAGTGATTATACCAGTTGTTTGGGACAAATTAAGCGTATCCTGCCCCCTCAAATTTTGTCACAAACTCATGCAAAGGCAAGTCATGTGTTCGCCTCAACACGGGAACATATAGTACAAATCAAAGTAGGGAAATGAATTTGACATCATTTTGGTCATTGCTGCGTCAAATTTGGAATTGTCGTCTACATGTCTACCATAAAACGTCTTGAAGGGATGATTGTACGTGTGTATGTTGTTTTACGCCGCAGACAGCAATATTCCAGTTAGTTTATCTCGGCGTTCTGAAAGAATCGAATCTGAACCAGTTATTAATGATGGTATTAAACGCAAAGTCATTTACAGTCGGTGTACGATGACAACCAATCACCAATGTCACTCATTGTAACCATCGTGTATTTGGGTGCAGGGGACGTAGGCATAACCGGTTCCTCATGGGGTGACTAGTTTAAGTACTTGATAGTCAACGTTTGAATATAAGACGTCACTATTGAATTAGTATTATGCGTGTTTATTGTAAAGTGTCACCAAATATCTTCATCTTCACCTAATATGAAGTTTGCATGTTCACTGGATTCACACTTTATTTGAATACATCAATCGCCCGTTTCAGTTGCTTCTATCTATTGAGATGTGATGATAAAACAGTTTGTCACAGTGCATTTATTCTGATATCAATATTAAGAATGTTCGAACTGTATTTTCGAACCAGAATAACCACGATAAATAAGAGCTGGACATAGTTTCATTGCATGCTTTTGATAACTCAGGATTGATTGAGGATCAATGCAAAGCGTCTACTAGCATCATCGCCTAGAACATGAATAATTTTATTCAGTGATAAATGTCAACTTGAAATATGGGAGCAGTGCACATTGCTTGACATCAATTAATTGCGTTTGTCGCTTTCACTACAGGTATTTCAGTCGCCCATATAGAATTGATCTAACTGTCTCAAAGTGTAATATGAGTATGTGGAATTGATCGTAGGCAAAGAAGCTCCAAAGAGGGTTCGCTGAATATGCCACTCCCGGAATACTAATATGTGTTCTTTTTTCAAATCAAACGGTTTCTTTTCAAAAGGATTTTTCACCGAACTTACAGAAATATTATTTATTGGTTAATATTACTCTTTGGCATCCGTAAAAATAACAACTGATTAGTATATAAGGCGACGCGCAACGTGATAAACGGCTTTCGCTCCGGTCGAGTAATTTGCTTTCAAAAAGGAAGAGAAACAGCGAATCGAGCCCAGGCGAAGAGAGCACTACGGACGTAAGTACTATCGTGTAAATGTAAATTGTTCTTGAACGCTGCAATCTTCCAGTTTTATGACTGTGCCTGGTATATAATCTAGCCTGAAGCAGAAATTATGAAACCCTTGTAGATCCGGGTTAGAATAGGTCTTCAGCAACTCAGCAACGTAAGAGGTGACTAACGCGATCGGGTGGTTCGCTGACTTGGTTGACGCGTGTAACCGTATCCCTATTGCGTTGATCGATGCTTATGATGTCAATCACTGGGTTGTCTGGTCCAGACTCGATTATTTACAGACCGCCGCTGGATTATCGCTGGAGTACAGGGTTAAACAACAAACAAACAAAAGAAGTTATGAATAGTGAATGCATGTTATTAGTTGACGACGAGAACAACAACAACCCAGCTATAGAACGTTGGAAGTTAAATAAATCATCCTGGACATGTGACTGACAACATGGACAGTGTATGTCTCGAAGAGCTGACTGAAAAGAAAAATATGGCAAATGATGACGTTACTAACATCTGCACCGAAATGTCGCATTGAAAGAAAATACATGTTGACATCCATTGTACAACTCGTTGATTGACACTACAGTTTCTAAACTGCGCTAAAAGATATAACCAGTTCTCATGGGATCCGGATATATGTTAGTTCGAACGATGTAACAGACGATGTCGTCCGGATAAACGGGGATGTACTGTTAATCGCTAGTAATTAGTTGCGCGGTCTTTCGTACACACATATTTGATGTGATGTGGTGAGGTAAAATGGGGTTTAAAGCCGCGTCCAAGATTATTGCACTTATATAACGACGTGCATGTGTGTCTGTGTGTGTGACTGCTTGTGCTAGTCCGGACTGATGCCGATTTAGATACAATGCCGCAGTTTAACATGAATACTCCACTCAGACACAGTATACTGACTCCGAGTCGACCAGTCCTTGTTTTAGCCCCTTAATGCCGAGCGCCAAACAGGGTAACAACAAGTACCATCTTTTGGTATGTCGCGTCCTGGGATCGAACCCCGGACTTTCCGCTCTACGGGCAGACGCTCTTCCACTAGACCGCGGAGGCGGTTCTGCGGTGAGGTGAGGTGAAAGGGATTAAACGTCGCGTTCAAGATTGTTGCACTTATATAGCGACGTGCATTCGAGCGCTCGCGCGTGTGTGTGTGTGTGTGTGTGTGTGTGTGTGTGTGTGTGAGAGAGAGAGAGTGAGAGAGAGAGAGAGAGAGAGAGTATGTCTGTCTGTCTACTTGTACGTGTCCAAACTAATGCCGCTTTTATAGTGCTAGCCCACTGAGATACCATGCCGCAGTTTAACACGAATACCTCACTCAGACTCAATACACTGACTCCGAGCCGACCAGTCCTTTTTTTAGCCCCTCAATTTCTGGTGCCAGGCAGGGTAACAACACGTACCATCTTTGACGTCTTTTGGTATGACGAGACCTGGGATCGAACCCAAGACCTTCCTCCCCGAGAGACGCTCTACTACTAGACCACGGATGCGGTCTCTATATCTATCGGGTTCCCTTGCTCGAGGCCTTTGACCTCGGAGGCGGTTCCCATCTGTGATGTAGGCGCCTATACATAAAACAATAAACACAAGTCATTGCTATGCCGGGCGGTCGGGTAGCCTGGTGGTTAAAGCTTTCGCTCGTCACGCCGAAGACCCGGGTTCGATTCCCGACATGGGTACAATGTGTGAAGCCCATTTCTGGTGTGCCCCGCCGTGATATTGCTGCAATATTGCTAAAAGCGGCGTAAGACCATACTCACTAACTCACTCACTCATTGCTATGCCGTTTGTTCCCAAATTGTAAGACTGTGATCTACATATAAACGACCGGACAAAAAATAGTATATACCCATGTTTGATGGTGGCTAATATGAAACCAACAACAAATGTCATTCGATGGTGTTTTGGGGTTTGTGGGTTTGAACTTAAGTTTGCAAATGTATACTTCCTTTTGCCAGGCAGTTCAGAAATCAATACATAGTTTTCAGTTTGTGTTATCGTCCAAGGAAATATCGACATCGAACGACACGTTTCATTTGAGTGAAGCTCGCTTCTTCGACAATAGATAACAAAGACTATTTGGAATTAATGGTGTGTTGTGCAAACCAACAGATGATCCCCGAAGAAGTGTTATTAGATGACGTCACGCCGGCACTCCCACTGTGTCAAACAAGACGAATGTAAAGGTCTGGACTAGCTTGATCAAGTCTAGGGGGGTTTACTGTTTAACAGGGGCGGTCGGGTAGCCCAGTGGTTGAAGCGTTCGCTCGTCATGCCGATGACCCGGATTCTATTCCTGACATGGGTACAATGTGTGAAGCCAATTTCTGGTGTCTGCCGCCGTGATACTGCTGGAATATTGCTCAAAGCGGCGTAAAAACAATACACACTCACTCACTGTTTAACATAACTCAAGTTGACACCCTCGACAATTACACTCTATCGCTTTGCACGGAACGACACAAAAGGTGAAATCTTTTACCGTAACTGTCGAGTGCAAATAGTTATATTTTATACTGAATATTGGATGTTTGTATGCGTGTGAGTGTACATTTTCGTTTTAGTTTATCAACATACGTCATTACGTGTGGGTGTGTAAATTAAGATTAAAAAGTAGCATGGACAGGGCTCTACGACAGAAACAACAACTAAAAGATATTTTAAGTTAGTTGTTACAAATATTGAAATTGGATAACATTGAAATCCGCAAGGCTATCATGAATAGGTAAGTTTTCAACTGACAAGGAAACAGAATTTGATACATTCGACAACAGAAAAGTATTTCTTTTTAACATAAAGTTCTTCCACAGTTTGGGGCGGTCGGGTAGCCTAGTTGTTAAAGCGTTCGCTCGTCACGCTGAAGACCCGGTTTCGATTCCCGACACGGGTACAATGTGTTAACCCATTTCTGGTGTCCTCCCACCGTGATATTGCTAAAAGCGGCGTAAACCAATAGTCACTCATTCACTCTTCCTCAGTTATGTTTGGTGCCTCACACATTTCTACACTACCGCATGTCCATCCCCTTCTACTTTCGTTTTCACTGTTTCAGAAGATGAGATACCTACTGTTCAGTGCACTGTTGCTGGCAGCACTGGGGGCATGCAGTGCGTTCACAGTCGACATAAATGGCGGTCGTGTACGCATGCGGAGAGAGGTAAACGTATTTGTGTACATTATATTTCCACTCAGTGATTATTTGTGAGGGTGAAGTAAACTGTTGGTTAAAAGAAAGTATACACCCATGTTTGATGGTGGGTAAAACTGAAACAAACAAGAATTGGTTATTCAATGGTAACGTATTTGATACGATTATCTATTTTTCTTCTTTTTTTTCTTCTTTTTTTTGTTTTGTTTTGTTTTGTTTTTTTGGTGTGTTTTTTGTTTTTGTTTGCTTGTTTGTTGTTGTTTTTTGGGGTGTTTTTTGTTTGTTTGTTTTTTAGGGGGGTATGTTGGGTTGTTGTTGTTTTGTTTTTGTTTTGTTTTTGTTTTGTTTGTTTGTTGTTGTTTTTTTTTGGGGGGGGCGCGTTTGCAGTGTTTTGGCAACTAGTTAGCAGTTGTCATATTTTGGTCAAATTCAATTTTCAAATGTATACTTCCTTTTGTCCGGCAGTTGAGAACATCAAATGACGTGATTGAAATACATGTATGACGTTCTGAGGAGTACATGAAACCTTTACCAAACCATAGTTATTTAACTTTACGGACAAACACTACGAATATTGAAAAAACAACTATTTTATCAGCAGTTTCGAACCTATGTTCGACAGTTGTAAGATTCATTTGAACTCGAATGGAATTGTTTTACATCTTAGTCCATTCTACCAATGTAATCCCTTTGGTGGAGGTCGTGGGTGGTGTCCATTAAAGTGACTGAGTGGTTGAATTCAGGGATCAATGATGATGAATATTAACATGTGAGTGTTTGCGTTCGTATACCAAGACCAAGCTAACAAAACGACATTATTATAACTTTAACATAACTTTACAAAACATCATCCAACACAGAAAAAAAGTAAGTACATGTACTAGTGAAATCGCCCTTCCGTAGGAAAAGTAAATGACCCTTGTCATGCGACGTTCAGTTGAACCTACATTTTACCACTAGTATATAACTCTGTGACGCGGAGGGCATGACGTACATGTAGGTGTGTCTTATACAGTTGCTCTGACGACATCATTCATCTTTACACTACACTTCCTTATTGTTCATCTGGTTTCCGTCTGAGGTGTAATGTCTTGTTTGCTTTCAATAATCTGTCAAGGTCTAAAAGGTTACATCAGTATCTATAGTTGCCTAACTATCTGGTAAGATTAATACATGCTTTCAAAAAAATAGTTTCGTCGTGGTGATGCTTTATCAGCAAATTCATTGTCTGAATGCAAAAATCTAAAATCTTGCACACAAAAAAATACGTACTTTCTCTTGGCGATATTTTGTACTTCTTTAAAAAACTATTTGTTATGTAACTTGGGATCAGGCAGAGGACGCTGGTGATGAAACTGGCACTGGAAGCGGGTCTGTCGAATCACAGAGTACCGGCGACACAGCTGCTTCCGACACGTCTGAAACTGAAAGTTCTGACAAAACAGCTGAAACCGAAAGTACTGACACAACAGCCGAAACCGGAAGTGCTGACAAAACAGCTGAAACCGAAAGTACGGAGAAATCAGCCGAAACCGAAAGTACTGACAAAACAGCCGAATCCGAAAGTGCTGACAAAACAGCTGAAACCGAAAGTACGGAGAAATCAGCCGAAACCGAAAGTACTGACAAAACAGCCGAATCCGAAAGTGCTGACAAAACAGCTGAAACCGAAAGTACGGACAAATCAGCCGAAACCGAAAGTGCTGACAAAACAGCTGAAACCGAAAGTACTAACAAAACAGCCGAATCCGAAAGTGCTGACAAAACAGCTGAAACCGAAAATACCGAAACCACAGAATCAGGGGGTGAAGGTGCTGCGGCAAGTTCGGCAGGTTCTGCTGCTCCTGAATCTCCTGAAGCTAAGCTAGAGGTGGCGGTCAAAGAGGACGATCCAAGTGCATCATCTTCTAAGGAAACCAAAGAAGAAAAACTTCCAAAGTCTGAAACAGTTAAGACAGAGGAAGCTGGGGAAGATGACACGGGGAAGGCAGATCCCGTGGAGGAAGCTGGGAAGGGGAAGGGAGCTTCTGGAGATGGGTCAGGCCTGGCGGAAGAGGAAGATGAACCGACGGCTGTTAATGAGAACGGCGTGATCAATTATCGTCCAGCCAACACGGTTAGTAGTATTTGTAGCACGGTTTGCGAGCAGTACCTTTGATCTTACCCGTGCTGTATCATGGTAGTAAGAGCACGGTTTGTTAAAGATTATTACCATTGGCTGATGCCAAGATCAGCAAGCCCCGCCTACTAGCTTGAGAAATTTCAAACTTACAATGTTTCTTTAGTGCTGTACACAGTGTTCAAGAGTAATAACGTAAAAAAAACCAAAAAAAACAATAGAAATGTTTATAACTTAATTAAAAGATAACAATGTAACTGTCAAACATAAAAACAACTGGACACAGAACGCATTTTGCTAAATTCGGAAATTAATAGTTGACATTTCTAATGTGCCTTTGAAAATTCCAAAGTTTACACTTGATTTACCAATTAGATTAAAAGTTAAACGTTAATGTTAAAAGTTAACGTCATATTATACGTCACTAAATTTTACACAAACTCGCGCAATTTTGGAATGACCGTCGCACTTACACTTTGACAGACAAAAGGATCACCTCGGGGCTCCGCCCGTCGGTCCTTTTGTCTGTCAATCAAATGCCAAGCCAAACCGTGCTCATACTGCCCAAACAACTCGTCTTGGTGTGTTGTAACTATAACATATGTAAGTCTTCTCATGAACTTTACGAACAATGTACATATTTTCCTCCTTCAGGAGCAAAACACAATTCATTCATCATGAATGCTGACAATGATATATCAATAATGACTCTAGTTGTTATATAGATGTTGTTATATAGCGTGTAAGTAACACATTGTCGGATGGAGCTCTAAGATTAATCCAAGTAACCGATTCCGTTATATCCACAGTTTTATACACAGTTACATTCCACTTTGTTATATCCACAGTAATATCCACTGCTACACCGGACTTCGTTATATCCACAGTCATATACACAATTATATGCGACTTTGTTATATCCAAAGTAATATACACAGTTACACCCGACTTTGTTATATATACAGTTATATACACAATTATACCCGACTTTGTTATATCCACAGTGATATACACAGTTACACCCGGTTTTGTTATATCCATAGTTATATACACAGTTACATCCCACTTTGTTATATCCACAGTAATATCCACTGCTATCCCCGACTTCGTTATATCCACAGTTATATACACAATTATATGCGACTTTGTTATATCCACAGTGATATACACAGTTACACCCGGTTTTGTTATATCCATAGTTATATACACAGTTACATCCCACTTTGTTATATCCACAGTAATATCCACTGCTATCCCCGACTTCGTTATATCCACAGTCATATACACAGTTACACCCGACTTTGTTATATCCACAGTTATATACACAATTATACCCGACTTTGTTATGTCCACAGTAATATAAACAGTTACACCCGGTTTTGTTATATCCACAGTTATATACACAATTATACCCGACTTTGTTATATCCACAGTATTATAAACAGTTACACCCGGTTTTGTTATATCCACAGTTACACCCGACTTCGTTATATCCACAGTTATATACACAATTATATGCGACTTTGTTATATCCACAGTAATATACACAGTTACATCCCACTTTGTTATATCCACAGTTATATACACAATTATACCCGACTTTGTTATATCCACAGTAATATAAACAGTTACACCCGGTTTTGTTATATCCACAGTTACACCCGACTTCGTTATATCCACAGTTATATACACAATTATATGCGACTTTGTTATATCCACAGTAATATACACAGTTACATCCCACTTTGTTATATCCACAGTTATATACACAATTATACCCGACTTTGTTATATCCACAGTAATATAAACAGTTACACCCGGTTTTGTTATATCCACAGTTATATACACAATTATACCCGACTTTGTTATATCCACAGTAATATAAACAGTTACACCCGGTTTTGTTATATCCACAGTTATATACACAATTATACCCGACTTTGTTATATCCACAGTAATATAAACAGTTACACCCGGTTTTGTTATATCCACAGTTATATACACAATTATACCCGACTTTGTTATATCCACAGTAATATAAACAGTTACACCCGGTTTTGTTATATCCACAGTTATATACACAATTATACCCGACTTTGTTATATCCACAGTAATATAAACAGTTACACCCGGTTTTGTTATATCCACAGTTATATACACAATTATACCCGACTTTGTTATATCCACAGTAATATAAACAGTTACACCCGGTTTTGTTATATCCACAGTTACACCCGACTTCGTTATCCACTGTGATTTACAGTTATACCTGTTACATATATATACACTCCTACACCTGACTACGTTATATCAGTAGAATTATACACTGCTACACCCGACTTCGTCACATCCACAGTAATATACACAGTTACACCCGACTTCGTTATATTCACAGTAGTACACACCGCTACATTACTTTGATATATCCGCAGGAAATACCTCCAGTTATATCCGACTTCGTTATATTCGCAGTAATATACACAGCTACACACGATTTCGATATATCCGCAGTAATATAAACAGTAAATTGGACTCCGTGATGTCCGGGGTAATATACACAGCTACATCCAAATTCGAAATATCCACAGTAATAACTCTAGTTATATCCGACTTTGTTATATCAATATGATATACATCCCGTATGTCAACGTTTCAGGAAACAGTCGCGTCAAAGGAAACGAATACGGAGACTAAGGTCCAGGCCCAGGAGCTGTCGAAGCTGATGACGGGAGAAGACCTGGAGGACCCCAAAGGTGGCGATGAAGACGGCGATAGAAACGAAGACGAAGACAAGAAGACGGACGAAGAAGATTCATCATCTGGTTAGAAAAGCGTCCTTTTCAATTTTATAATTCATTTAGGAAGTTTGTGACTGTACAGCATGTTCAGACATAGTGTTATCATGTACATTATCAGGGCATGTATGTGACTGTGTAATTCAGACAAAGTGCATAGTATCCACTGCACCGACTAACATGCATATTTCTTAATATTTAAACAGACGCTTTCCTTATTAAAATATGTCTGTAAAAGTAAAATAATGAAACAACTTAATTGATGGTGTCCAGCTGTTATGTATATTAAAAAGAACAGAACGGTAACGAATGTCATATTTCGGATAACCCTTTCATAGTAAAGTACAGATTCTCGTACTTTTTCTATATTTTTTTATCCCAAATATGACATTTGTTACATTTGACCACTTACTAAATGGCTTTGTTTGTTCCCAACAGAAAGGTACTCAGTGTATGACATGTACGCATGTTAGGGCAGATGCTCATGACAAAAACAACTATGTGGTTTGTTTCTGTTTCTCAGGGGGCAGTGCAGAGGCTGAGAAAGGACAGGTAGTTGCTGAGTCGGATGATGGAGCTGCCACAAGTGCCGCAGGTGCTTATCATAAACAAACAGAGCACTCTAACCATTTTAATTGGTTTTCGTAATGTAAGCACACACATGACGTTGGAGGATTGTGTGACTGTGCCCCCTACACAAACACCAGGGCCTATTGTGAGCTACGGGAATAATGGGGAATAATGATTTCTGCGTTTCTCGAGTGTTATTCTGCATAGTCTCATATTGCTTATTATCACCAACAGGCAGCAGTGCTGAAACTACAGATGATGTAAACGTTGTTGCTGAATCTGACGAGGGTGATGAAACAGGTGTGTTTGCGTGTGTTCATTCATTCGTTTCATCGTTCGTTTGTTTGTTCTCTCTCTCTCTCTCCTCTCTCTCTCTCTCTCTCTCTCTCTCTCTCTCTCTCTCTCTCTCTCTCTCTGGTTCCCCCTCTCTCTCTATCACACCTTATCAAAGTTTAGACTGGAATAAAACAAGATTCCTTTAACTTAACACTATCATATTTTTTAAAGCAACGCGCTATTCTGCGTACATTCATTGTCATTCTGGACACAGAATTGATTTGTCTGACAAGATGCATGTTTTCACCAACAGGCAGCAGTGCTGAAGCTACAGATGATGTAAAGGTTACTGCTGAATCTGATGAGGGTGATGAAACAGGTGTGTTTACGTGTGTTCGTTCATTCGTTTGTTTATTCGATCGTTTGCTCTCTCTCTCTCTCACTCTCTCTCTCTTTCTCCCCCCTCTCTCTCTCTCTCCCCCCCCTCTCTCTCTCTCTCTCTCTCTCTCCCTCTCTCTCTCTCTCTCTCTCTCTCTCTCTCTCTCTCTCTCTCTCTCTCTCTCTCTCACCCTATCAAAGTTTGGTCTGGAATAAACCAAGATTCCCGAACCTTAACATGATCATAATTTATAAAGCCACGCGCTATTCTGCGTACATCCACTGTCATTCCGGACACAGAATTGATTTGTCTGACAAGATAAGGTCATCACGTGATAAGTTTTAACAATGCTGCACAATGGCCTCATATATATTACTTCTGTTGGTAAATCGATGCTTGCTATTAAACGCAGATTGGAGAGTTAATATTGGTTATATGTCAACTGTTCTTATGTGTAATGATTTACTCTACTGCGATTATTATCATATATGCGGGATAATTCCGATATCGTTTGAATTGTTGTACTGACGCTAGATTAATATACACAATAATTACTGAATGTATTTTTTACTTGAGAAATTAACAAATATGTTAAGGGACTGGTCATTTATTATAGGGGAAGGGGTTTGTGAGAAAAGTGACAATTCGAAAGAAGGAGGTTGCCAAACTTTTTTCACAATTGTATAGGGGGGCATGAAAAAATAAAACAATTATAGATCTATTTTTCAAATAAAAAGTTATAAATCTGAAGAGTATTTAGACTCACGAAAATATATGACATGTAGGGGACGGGGAGGAGGTGGGAGGGGGGTTGATTGAAAATGGATGGATAATGATATTCTTTTGAATGTGTACGCAAGGATATAAAGAGGGTAATACGGCAAAAATATATATTCTACCATGAATTTGGACAAAATGCGATAACAACCTCTGACAGAAACAGGTGAATTGATCATCGCGGGAGGTAATATTTAAGGAAAGAACTTCTTTCTCAATCATTGTTCGTTTGACATTATGAGATGAATAATTGTAGGTTGTAAAATACAGACTTTCGGTTGCTGCGATATTCACAGTTTGTGTGATGATAGATGTTGGAAGGATGTAGGAACATGAAAGAAACCGTCGGAAAGAGTGTATTTCCAGTCTCAGGGACAACAGTGGACTGGAAGTTTGGCACCTTTGTCCGACAGTTACGTCATATGCCTCACACTGAGTAGTTGGACGTCATAATGCCTGCAAGGCCTGTTTTGCTTTCTTTAGGGGCAACAACCTTATGATAGCTTACGAAATAGGTTTGCTACCCAGTTCCAGTCCCTGAGTGAGTGGGTGAGTGGGTTTTACGCCGCTTTAAGCAATATTCCAGCAATATCACGGCGGGGGACACCAGAAATGGGCTTCACACATTGTACCCATGTCGGGAATCGAACTCGGGTCTTCGGCGTGACGAGCGAACGCTTTAACCACTAGGCTACCCGACCGCCCCTTCAGTGTCTGAAATATACACGAGTAAGGTATAATAATGTAAACAACATTATGTGAGCATGAACAGCGCCGTTCTTTGTCAGGCTAGCGTCAGTGTTTCCTTACATCAAATCGAAAACTCACTCAAAACACAGGCAATATCACTTCATATATCTATGCTAACACCGAAGCCTTACCGAATTATTTTTGCCCTGGTAGAATGGCAATAGACATACTGTGTTGTGACTGCAGAGCTAGGTTACCTTTAGTTTCTCGTTAGACTGCACATTCAATTTAGTGTGGTAATCTATCTCTAAATTGAAAACGTTCATCTCTTAATTTTACGACCTAATTGATATTAACGACATGATGGCCCATTTCAGGAAAAAGTGGTGAAGGTGAAAAGAAAGCGGACACTAGTGCGGAATCTGACAAAGGTTTGTGCTGCAGAACCCATCACTGATTAAATAATGAATTAAAAAAAAATAACCTAAAAATGTTTTATAATATTGTCGCTGGGACTAGGCAGTATTATTATGTTTCGAAGAAATGCTATTTGGCCATGCAGTGCGGGAAATTAACATTGTAAGAAGATTTTAAATCTAATTAACAATCACACCATGTTTTTGTTATATTTGGCATGGATATCAGAGGTATCCACGAAGAATGAATGACAAAAGATAAATTATCCAGCTGTCCTCACTTTTTGTTGGGATTAAACTGTATATCAGTGGCATGTGAATGTGAATGCGTTTGACAGGTGACAGCAGTGGAGGAGAAGTTAATCTGAGCGTAGAGTCAGGTGACAACACCGAAGGAGACAGTTCTGAATCCACGAGCGAAACATCTGGCACAGAGGAATCAGCTGCGGCAACCGAGACCACGGAAACAGACGCATCTGGTACGGAAGAATCAGCTGCGGCAACAGAGACCACGGAAACAGACGCATCTGGCACAGGGGAATCTGCTGCGGCAACCGAGACCACAGATACAGACGCATCTGGTACAGAAGAATCAGCTGCGACAACAGGGACCACAGAAACAGACGCATCTGGTACAGGGGAATCTGCTGCGGCAACCGAGACCACAGAATCAGACGCATCTGGTACAGGGGAATCTGCTGCGGCAACAGAGACCACAGATACAGACGCATCTGGCACAGAGGAATCAGCTGCGACAACCGAGACCACAGATACAGACGCATCTGGCACAGAGGAATCAGCTGCGACAACCGAGACCACGGAAACAGACGCATCTGGCACAGACAGTGGTAGTGATTCAGATACCTCATCTCTGACAGCCGAGACTGACGAACCAGATACTTCTGAGCCCGAAACATCAGACGCCAGCAAAGAAGAGGATGACGACGACGATGATGATGATGATGAATCCGATGATGATGAATCATCCAAGGTGATTCCTTAACTGAATTACACATTTGTAAGCCTGTTCCATTATTGCCGTTATCATTACGAAGCGAAAGAGTGAAGTGTTTGTCGAACTGTTCTGTTCTGTATTAAGAACGCATATTAAGCTTATATCATGGTTTGATTGTCCGACAACTTTCGCAGTCTGTTTACATCTTCTCTTCTCAAACCAGTGCACCGATGATTATCATGGCCGTTATCATTAGCATTAGCATTAGCATTAGACACAAACGTGTAGCATCATATACCGGCATCATATACCGTACTATTTGTTGCAGACCTCTGGCAAACGAAGAAGGAAAAGACTAGCCCTGTCAAACCCCAAGTACAAATGGCCCAAGGCAATCTTCCCTTTCAAATTCCAGGAAGAGCTCGGTGAGATGACAAAAACGCTTTCATTTCTTCTGTAGTGAGTGAATTAGATTTAACTCCGCTCTGCACAGCATTTCAGTTATGCCACGGCGTATCAGCTTGGTGTAGCGGGGTAGCCAGAAGTGTTGCCGACTTTGACATTCAGCCCTTGAAGCCCATGATAACGGGTATGAAACTGACAAATCTAAAAACTTCAAGGTTCCCCAGTATTCGGACCCCTCGGACCCACAGGTATCCGGCATGCCCAAGGGACGCAACTTTGCAAATATTGGGGCGCCTTAGACGCTTTGTCAATTTTGCCACCAACGATTCAGATGGGACTGCATGAACCATCTTAATTTAAGCCGATGTTACTTTATAGTCCTAGCAGAACATTGCACGCTCGCCCGTCTCGAAACACAGATAGCACGACATACTTTCTTGGATCACAAGGACTTCGAAATAATGAATTTTCTCTGTGCATATTCATCAATGTTTGTACTGCTACCTGTTATATGCCTTGCTGACTCCATGCCACTGTTGTAGCGCCTAAAATCAAGCTTGAAGCTACGGCTGCTATGGGCTATCTCACCCGCCACACCTGTATGGAGTTTGTCCCCTACGAAGGCCCACAGACCAACGAAGAGCTCGAACTGAACCACCGTGGACATCTGATCTTCGACAACTATGGAGGGTAGGTACAACATGGAGGTAGGTACAACATGGAGGTAGGTACAACATGGAGGTAGGTACAACATGGAGGTAGGTACAGCACGGGAGGTAGGTACAACATGGGAGGTAGGTACAGCATGGAGGTAGGTACAGCATGGAGGTAGGTACAACATGGAGGTAGGTACAACATGGTGGTAGGTACAACAGTGAGGTAGGTACAACAGTGAGGTAGGTACAACATGGGGGATAGGTACAGCATGGAGGTAGGTACACTATTGGAGGTAGGTACACTATTGGAGGTAGGTACACCATGGGAGGTAGGTACAGCATGGAGGTAGGTACAGCATGGAGGTAGGTACAGCATGGAGGTAGGTACAACATGGGAGGTAGGTACAACATGGAGGTAGGTACAACATGGGAGGTGGGTACAACATGGAGGTAGGTACAACATGGGAGGTGGGTACAACATGGGAGGTAGGTACAACATGGAGGTAGGTACAACATGGGAGGTGGGTACAACATGGGAGGTAGGTACAACATGGGAGGTAGGTACAACATGGAGGTAGGTACAGCATGGAGGTAGGTACAACACGGGGGGTAGGTACAACATGGGAGGTAGGTACAACATGGAGGTAGGTACAACATGGAGGATAGGTACAACATGGAGGATAGGTACAACATGGAGGTAGGTACAACATGGAGGATAGGTACACTATTGGAGGTAGGTACACTATTGGAGGTAGGTACACCATGGGAGGTAGGTACAGCATGGAGGTAGGTACAACATGGGAGGTAGGTACAACATGGAGGTAGGTACAACATGGGAGGTAGGTACAACATGGAGGTAGGTACAACATGGGAGGTAGGTACAACATGGAGGTAGGTACAACATGGGAGGTAGGTACAACATGGGAGGTAGGTACAGCATGGAGGTAGGTACAACATGGGAGGTAGGTACAACATGGAGGTAGGTACAACATGGAGGATAGGTACACTATTGGAGGTAGGTACAACATGGGAGGTAGGTACAACATGGAGGTAGGTACAACATTGGAGGTATGTACAACATGGGAGGTAGGTACAACATGGGAGGTAGGTACAACATGGGAGGTAGGTACAACATGGGAGGTAGGTACAACATGGAGGTAGGTACAACATGGGAGGTAGGTACAACATGGGAGGTAGGTACAGCATGGAGGTAGGTACAGCATGGAGGTAGGTACAACATGGGAGGTAGGTACAACATGGAGGTAGGTACAACATGGAGGTAGGTACAACATGGAGGTAGGTACAACATGGGAGGTAGGTACAGCATGGAGGTAGGTACAGCATGGAGGTAGGTACAACATGGAGGATAGGTACAACATGGACGTAGGTACAACATGGAGGTAGGTACAACATGGACGTAGGTACAACATGGAGGTAGGTACAACATGGAGGTAGGTACAACATGGGAGGTAGGTACAGCATGGGGGTAGGTACAACATGGGAGGTAGGTACAACATGGGAGGTAGGTACAACATGGAGGTAGGTACAACATGGAGGTAGGTACAACATGGGAGGTAGGTACAACATGGAGGTAGGTACAACATGGAGGTAGGTACAACATGGGAGGTAGGTACAACATGGAGGTAGGTACAACATGGAGGTAGGTACAACATGGAGGGAGGTACAACATGGGAGGTAGGTACAACACGAGGTAGGTACAACACGAGGTAGGTACAACATGGGAGGTAGGTACAGCATGGAGGTAGGTACAGCATGGAGGTAGGTACAACATGGAGGTAGGTACAACATGGGAGGTAGGTACAACACGAGGTAGGTACAACATGGAGGTAGGTACAACATGGGAGGTAGGTACAACATGGAGGTAGGTACAGCATGGAGGTAGGTACAACATGGAGGTAGGTACAACATGGAGGTAGGTACAACATGTTGGGGTAGCTGGAGCTTAAGCCATCTAGTCAGTTCCGGACATTTTTGCTGCAGATTTCCCTGCACTGAAATATATGTTGTTGTTTCCAGATGCTGGTCTTATGTCGGACTGATGGACAGGAAGAGGGGCCAGACAGTATCCTGCATGTCCCGAGTATGTATCCACCTTTTCAACTGTATAGGAGGGACACGGATGGCTTAGCCTTTAAAGGCGCATCAATTTACTGTGCACAATTGTGTCCCTTAGGCAGACCACGATCCTTCGACCGTGGGTTAACGTCCTTAATCCAGATTAACCCTGATCCTATTTTTGTCAGTACCGGAGTCGTGTTGTGGGTTACGCCATTGAAGTAAACGTCTACGACTGCCTTCACTGTGCCTTGACTTCCACATAAGTGAGTGAGTTGGCTTTAACGCCGCTTTAAACTGTATTTCAGTTATATCACGGCGTGTCAGCGTGACGTGGGAGGTGAGCCCTAAGTGATGCAGGTCTTAGATGTTTATCTCTTCAGCGAAACACATGAGCACAGGTATGGTGCTGACAAACCTAGAAACATAATCGGATTCTTACCAATTTGCCATGGAGCAATATTGGACGAACGTTACTGTGTCTGTATCAACGTGTTTCACGAACGGGGGGAATACTGGACAAACATTACTGCAAATCAGTGTGAACCGGTATTCGACCCCCATCGAAGCTCTGTTTAGCGAATTGCAGCGTCCTAGATGAGCCATATGTGCCCCTTGTTCTTCATTCAGCTGACACCCAGTCATATAATCATAACAGCATATATAACTAGTGGGGATTCCGGGTAAAATTGGTCCCCAGCAACCTATGTTGGTCGTAAAAGGCGTGATGAGCTGTTCCTGAAGGCTCGATGACGGCGCGGACCGTTTCTGGCAGTATCAATCACTGGATTGTCTGGTCCAGATTGTAATATGTACAGGACGCCGTCATATCGCTGGAATATTGCTGACTATAGGGTTAAACAACAAACAAACAAACTAACAAACAAAATAACTTATGAATAGTGGATGCATGTTATTAGTTGACGACACGAACAGCAACATCCTAGCTATAGAACGTTGGAAGTTAAATATACGATCCTGGACATGTGACTTAAAACATGAACAGTGTATGTCTCGAACAGCTGACTGAAAAATATTCTGTCTATGGCAAATGATGAAGTTACTAACATCTGTACCAAAATGTCGCATTGAAAGAAAATACATGTTGACATCCATTGTACAACTCGTTGATTGACACTACAGTTTCTAAACTGCCACTTAAAGATATTACCAGTTCTCGTGGGATCCTGTTAGGGCTGGGACGAGTCCAAATTTACTATCCGGGTACCCACCCACCTATTACCCGACCCTACCCGGGTACCCACTGTTGGTCTCAAGAGATAGGTACAAAATGTCCGATTGGGAATAGTTTGACTGTAGCCCTGGACACAATGTATTTAGATACACGTATAAATCGATCTGGTCATGCATACACTGACGTTGACTGAAGTTTTATCTTTATTCAAACATATAAAAGTCAGGGTGCATAGTCAGAAAGAAATGCGAACATTAGTGACTTGTAGTGTGACCATATAGTTAAAGATCATTTTTGTCATTGAACATATATCACATGACCAACAACAGGTCCGGGTAGTTCTGTGGGTACCCGGGTCCTTCTCAGTACCCACCTGATCCGAGTACCCGAATTACCCGCCCCAGACCTAGATCCGGTGTAACTGCCACTATGTTTTCCTCTCTGTAGTCGGTGTTTATTCATGAGATCGGCCACTCCGCCTTCTTGGTGCACGAACAGAACGGTGACAACAGGAAGGGACTGATCAGAATCAACTACGACAACATTCAAGACGGTAAGTGAAATATTTCTACCCCTACGATTTGTTCGGTTGCGTTAAGGCTCAAGATATATTTGTCATTAGGTATGCTATACATATGCTGAAGAAACGAGTAAGGGATAAAGAAACACGTGATTCACAATCCACATGAAACTGTGTGCTGGGTCTTCACTACAAAGCAAAATATCCAAAAACATATTCATTATTTTAAACTTTTTTTCAGCATATTCAAGTGTGAGTTACACGTGTGACATTATTGCGTCAGATACATGTGTTTTAAACATTCGTGTGAGATATAAGTGTGGCACATAAGTATGAGATATAAATGTGCCACATAATATGAGACACATATGTGAGACATACGTGTTAGATAAATGTATGATATAATTTTGCTCCATATGTGTGGGATATGTGTTTGGAATATTTCATGTAATATCGCCTATGATACCCATATCAAATATATCACCATCGATATTCATTTATTGTTTCTTTCATTGTTTAGCTACCATAAAAGAACGGAAGTTTATTTTATGAATAATATTACCATTTTATAGGCTAACGTATGACAACATCGGCAATTAATGTGTTTGAAATATTTGTGAGCTATACGTGTGATTAATGTGTACGAGCTGAATATAAGCAACAAAGTGTCCAAGTGTGAGATATGTGTTTGAAATATTAGAGTGAGATATAACTGAGAGATGAATGTGTGAAATATGAGAGTGAGATATAACTGAGAGATGAATGTGTGAAATATGAGAGTGAGATATAACTGAGAGATGAATGTGTGAAATATGAGAGTGAGATATACCTGAGTGAGTGAGTGAGGTTTTACGCCGCTTTTAGCAATATTCCAGCAATATCACGGCGGGGGACACCAGAAATGGGCTTCACACATTGTACCCATGTCGAACCGGGGTCTTTGGTGTGACGTGCGAACCCTTTAACCACTAGGCTACCCGACCGCCCGAAATATATCTGAGCGACCAATGTGTGAACTATGATTGTGAGATATAAGTGTGAAATCAATGTGTGAAATATGAGTCTGAGATATACCTCAGAGATCATAGTGTGAAATATGAGCGTGAAATATACGCGTGAAATCAATGCGTGAAGTATGAGAGTGAGATATACCTGAGCGACCAATGTGTGAACTATGATTGTGAGATATAAGTGTGAAATCAATGTGTGAAATATGAGTCTGAGATATACCTGAGAGATCATAGTGTGAAATATGAGAATGAAATATACGTGTGAGATCACTGTGTGAAGTCTGAGTGTGAGATATACCTGAGTAGAAGTAGAAGTTTATTTCTTTTTTGTAGGCAGAATACCTGAGCGACCAATGTGAGAAGTATGACAGTGAGATATAAGTGTGAAATCAATGTGTGAAATATGAATGTGAGATATACCTGAGAGATCAATGTGTGAAACATGAGAATGAAATATTCGTGTGAGATCAATGTGTGAACTATGAGTGTGAGATATACCTGAGAGATCATTGTGTGAACTATGAATGTGAGATATACCTGAGAGATCAATGTGTGAACTATGAATGTGAGATATACCTGAGAGATCAATGTGTGAAACATGAGAATGAAATATTCGTGTGAGATCAATGTGTGAACTATGAGTGTGAGATATGCCTGAGAGATCATTGTGTGAACTATGAATGTGAGACATAAGTGTGAAATCAATGTGTGAAATATGAGAGTGGGATATACCTGAGAGAGCATAGTGTGAAATATAGGCTTGAGATCAATGTATGAAGTATGAGAATGAGATACACGTGTGAGATGTTAAAGTTCTCACTGTATGTTTATTGCAGCCCTCAAAGACCAGTACATCCAGCTACCCTCCAGTCAGACTCTCAACTACACCGGATATGACGTGTCGTCGCTCATCCACTACCCTATCGGAGTAAGTTAGATGTTACAACGACACGAGCTTCTGGACTGTGTTTGGGGAAAAACAGATAGAACACTTTAATTCGATTTTGTGGAGACCGCCTCCGTGGTCTAGTAGTAGAGCGTCCGCCTGGAGAGCGAAAGATCCGGGGCTCGATCCCCGGCCGCGTCATACCAAAAGACGCTGAAAGATGGTACTTGTGCATGCACGTCGCTATATCAGTGCAATAATCTTGGACGCGACGTTAAACCCCATTTCACCTCACCGATTTTGTGGAAGCGTCTATATTGTAAAATTATAAAATTGTTAATATTCAAGTAAACCATATGTTATCGTGCGCAGGTTTACATCAGTAAAGAATAGACTAGGGCTATCTGCAGGTAATGTTATGTTCTGCACTTTCGAAATGTGTTTTCCAGTGGGGCCAGTTTAAAACCAGAGAAACGTTTCTTCTTCGTACAGGATCCGTTAATCAGCCAGTCTGAATCAGTCTGGGCTCTCCTCTCACGGAGAAATACTTTTTCAAAGCGGTATTAATACAAACTTACTCACGTGCTCACAAGTTAATGTGATTTTGTAAAGTCTTTCAAAATCACACACAACCACATGACGTTATTGTGAGGAAAACTTTAGTTTTTTAACAGCTTTTACAAATCCTCAGATTCCAAAGTCCCCAAATTTATAAAACTCTGGGTCCATTTTGATTTGTATTTTTTTATGTTGGAGATATATATTTCAAAATACGAAAACTTTATTTCTGAGACTAAAAGTAAGTCTAGGGCACAATGGGCAATTCAAATTTGAACAAAGCAAAACCTTTGTGGCCTTCAACATTTTTTCTGGTCCCACTATAGGTGTTTCTTATCGGTATAAAAGGGGAGAGAGCGGAGCCTGGGAATATATTGAAAATACTAATCTACAAATCATCTGAAAATGATGGAAAAAATATTTTGTCCCCAAAATCCCTTTGAGAGGTGTGAGTAGTATATTCGTCCGTTTATAGATGAACAGCAAGAACGGCAAGCAGACCATGTCCATCCTGTACGAGGCACCAGACTTCCATGTCGGGGGACATCTGTATTATGTTGCTGCTGAACTCAACATCGGCTACGACTGTAAAGGTTTGTGTAACTCCTCACTGCCCCCTACCGCCCGGCACCAAACACACGACACTCTGCTCTGGACCATCGACACGCGACACGCGACACACGACACCCGACACGCGACACCCGACATCCGACACGCGACACACGACACCCGACGCCCGACACTCGACACCCGACACTTGACACAGGACACGCGACACTCGACACCCGACACCCGACACGCGACACGCGACACACGACACCAGCAACCCGGTACTCCACACACCACACACCACACACCACACACCACACACCTCACACCACACATCACACACCACACATCACACACCACACATCACATACAACACACCACACACCACAATCCACAAACCACAAACCACACACCACAAACCACAAACCACACACCACACCCAGCACCGTTCCCTTCGACAAATTGTTCCAGAGATCTAGAGGCAGTTGGGTAGCCTAGTGATCAAAGCGTTCGCTCGTCACGCCGAAGGCCTGGGTTTGATTCCCCACATGGGTACAATGTGTGAAGGCAATTACTAGTGTTCCCCGCCGTGATATTGCTGGGATATTGCTAAAAGCGGTGTAAAACCATACTCACTCACTCTACATAGATCTTCAGGTTATTCATACCGCTATTTTGAAGACGTACCCTTTAGCATTAACAACTTCTTTATTGTTTGTTACGACTTTGCAGGACTACTTCATGCACCTTCATTAGGTGAAATGCACTTACATAGTGACTCTGATACATGTATATATGACCGCCTCCGTGGTCTAGTGGTAGAGCGTCCGCCCGGAGAGCGGAAGGTCCGAGGTTCGATCCCCAGCCGCGTCATACCAAAAGACGTTAAAAGATGGTACTTGTTGTTACCCTGTCTGGCGCTCGGCATTAAGGGGCTAAAACAAGGACTGGTCGGCTCGGAGTCAGTATACTGTGTCTGAGTGGGGTATTCATGTTAAACTGCGGCATGGTATCTCAGTGAGCTAGCACTATAACTCGGTATCAGTCCGGACTAGTACAAGCAGCCACACAAACACACACACGTACATGCACGTCGCAATAATCTTGGACGCGACGTTAAACCCAATTTCACCTCACCTCACCTCACCTCACATGTATATATATATACTAGTGGTCTGCTCTATTTCACAGAAAAGAGTTGCCCAGACTTTGCCACTAAATGTGTGAAGGACAGCTACGTGGTGAAAAGGGACGGCAAATGCAGGTGTGAGTGTACACGAGGTGTAGACTCAGAATCCGGCTGTGCCGAGCCAAAGAAAGCACGTAAGTGTTCACAGTGTTCGCTTAGCGATTGCCAAGTCTCTTAGTAAATCTAATCAAGCATGTGACGAGGACAGTTTCGAAGTATTAACAATCGTTCCAACATGAAATTATATCGGGACTTGAAGACAAATACTTCAGTTCCTGTTGTTAACAAGATCAGTTTTGACACATACGTTAATCAGCAGTGGTCAAGGGACACACTCAACCATGACTTTGGAACATACTAGATTCTTCTTGGACCATATAATTTAATGATAATAAATATCATCATCATCTCAATCATCGTAATGACTTTCGAACATACTCGATACTGATGGGACAATTCAATTCAAAAATATTAAAAATCATCATCATCGTCGTCATCGTAATGACTTTCGAACATACTCGCTCTGATTGGACAATTCAATTCAAAAATAATAAAAATCATCATCGTCGTCGTCATCGTAATGACCTTCGAACATACTCGATACTGATTGGACATTTCAATTCAAAAATAATAAAAATCATCATCATCGTCGTCATCGTAGTAGTAGTAGTAGTAGTAGCAACAGTAGTAGTAGTTGTAGTAGTAGTAGTAGTAGTAGTAGTAGTAGTAGTAGCAGTACTGTTGTTATTGTTATTATGATTTTATCATCATCATCATCATCATCATGAAAACGATGGCTACATGTATTTATTCCTCATAGCCTCCAAGGTCGCCGGCTGGGGTCCCGGCAAGCTGTCGATGCTGAAACCCAAGGATGGCTGCCCCGAGGGGATGAAGGAGCGGGTGATAGAGCACGAAGGGGATGCCGCCGGGTCAGCGTCCTCAGTGTTCCACATGGCGGCTGAGATGGGAGCCAAGAGTACCCTCCCTCTTTGCGTCAGTGAAGGAGGGGAGGGCAAGTGGCCTATGGGAAGATATTGCCTGATCAATGAAAAAGATAGCTGTCCGAAAGGTACATCCAGAACTCATGATTATAGTGCCTTTTTGGTTTAGTTGCTTTGTTCACGTTCTTTTAAGTTTTATGTTTAAGGGTATGGTGTAAAACATGTAACATATATAAAGTATGTTTGAAAGTGATTTTTAAAAAAAAACATATTTCTATACGTTCTGAATATCGAACCTTAATTGGGGCTACCTCTTGTGTAAACTAACCAATACAAGTGTGTTTTGTAAAGATGTTACGCATGCAATACTCTCAATAACTGTTCTGTCTTATTATATGACTTGTCTTACCGATGTTTATCTCACTGAAATACGCTGGTTAGTGACGTAATTTCCTAGAGTCCCTGTGATATAGCGCGAGGGCGCGAATGGCTCAGTCGCCAGTAGCCGCAATTCGCTGTGCAGAGTTGTGTCCCTTGGGCACGCCAGAAACTCATGATCGTGGATTCGAATCCAGGTTCGCACCGATTATGTTTCTAGGTTTGTCCGCACCATACCTGTGCTCGTGGGTTTCACCGAAGTGGTAAACGTCTGAAACATGCACCACTTCAGGCTTTCCTCCCACATTAAGCTAACACGCCGTGATATAACTGGAATATTGTTCAAAGCGGCGTTAAACCAAACACACTCACTATAATATAACATGTCCTTTCAAGAGTCTCTCGTCTAGCCTGAGAGTTAAAGTCCAGACCTTAACGTGTTATTTCACTGTCACAGGCTTTGAGAGCGGGAGCTTCACACTTGGACAGAAGAGCGGCGACAACACGGTTCTCAACTTTTGCTGCAAAGACGATGGATTTAACTTCGAGGAGATTCCGATCAAGAATGAGAAACCCTTCACTCTCTTCCGTCTGCACAAGTCTTGCCAAAATGTTGAAGGTGCGTTGCTTGTACACTATAAATGACAGTTTCAATATTAAGATCATTTCAAGCTCGTAACAATGTAAAACTACAATATCTGTACTTGCCCTCCGCATAGATATTGCTGGAATATTGCTAATTGCGGCGTACATCCATACACTCTCGCTTATTCTTTATTATTACTTGCCGTGTTATATACACAATTCTAACCATTACCAGTATAATGCATAGTATCGATAAAAGGATGTCACAGTAGGTTTCCCAATAAAGGGATGCCACAGTAGGTCTCCCAATAAAGGGTTTCCTTAGTGGGCTTCCCGGTAAAGAGATGTTAAGTAAGTTTCCCAATAAAGGGATGTCACAGTAGGTATCCTAATAAAGGATGCCGCAGTAGGTTTCTCGGTAAAAGGTTTCCTCGGTAGGTTTCCTAATAAAGGGATGCCGCTCTATGTTTCCTAATCAAGGGATGCCATAGTTGGTTTCCCAATAAAGGGATGCCACAGTAGGTTTGCCAATAAGGGGATGCTGCAGTAGGTTTCCCAATCAAGGGATGACACAGTAGGTTTCCCAACAAAGGGATGCCACAATAGGTTTCCCAAATCAAGGGATGCCATAGTTGGTTTCCCAATCAAGGGATGACACAGTAGGTTTTCCAACAAAGGGATGCCACAATAGGTTTCCCAATAAAGGGATGTCACAGTAGGTTTCCCAATAAAGGGATGCCACAGTAGGTTTCCCAATAAAGGGATGCTATAGTTGGTTTCCAAAAAAAGGGATGCCACAGTAGGTTTCCCAATAAAGGGATGCCACAGTAGGTTTCCCAATAAAGGGATGTCACAGTATGTTTCCCAATAAAGGGATGCCACAGTAGGTTTCCCAATAAAGAGATGCCACAATAGGTTTCCCAATAAAGGGATGCTATAGTTGGTTTCCCAATAAAGGGATGCCACAGTAGGTTTCCCAATAAAGAGATGCCATAGTAGGTTTCGGATATCAGGTTCAACAGAAGGTTTCCTCGGTAGGTTACCAGATATGAGTTCCCAATAAACTGTCCATGTCAGTATTCGACCCTGACCACGTCCCTGAAGAAACATGTCAACGTAATGTTACCCACCCCCCATTATTCACTGTGTTATATCCCCTTCATATACTATGATGTATACCATGGAACATTACGCCACCGACGTTTCGTTTCGGAAATGACGTCACCATCTCTAACTTGGCACAGAATTTCTCTCGCTCATGATTGTATTTTTGGCTTCATGTTCTCCCAAGCTGCATGTAATTGAATCGGGTTCACAACGAATGTACTGGGGCGAAAAGGGCCATGGTGTGAAATATTTATAGAACTGAGACAGTGAAATGGATAATCGAAGATGATTGCACCCTTAGTGGGTAAGGGTTCTAGAGGGTGAAATGGGGTTTAATCCTGCGTCCAAGATTATTGCACTTATGTAGCGATTTGCATGCATTTGTGTGTGTGGCTGTGTGTACTAATCTGGATTAATGCCGGTTTCACAGTGCTAGCCCACTGAGATACCATGCTGCAGTTTATAATGAATACCCCACTCAGACACAGTATACTGACTCCGAACACCCCACTTCCTGTTTTATCTCCTACCCTTTTGGTAATAATCTTCTATTCTGCTGGGATCGAACCCTCGACCTCCCGCTATCCACCATGGCTAGGAGTGAGCCAGTGACTATGGTTTTACGCCGCCTTTAGCAATATTCCAGCAATAATACGACGGGGGACTCCAGAAATTGGTTTCACAATTTGTTACCATGTGGGGAATCGAACCCGAGCCTTCGGCGTGATGAGCGAACGCTTGACCGCTAGGCTACCACACCGACCCTCAATGGCTAGGAACGCTATATGTATTGTGTCCAACCATATATTTTGGACAATGAACAACATTCCCTTCTTGTTTCAGACATGTACACTTATGAGGAGAGGATAACTTTAGACAGCAACACAAAGATAGTTGCCGAAGGCAAAACCCCGGTCAGCCAAATCCGAGGAACAGATCACGCCCTGTCACTGTTCGTCTGTTACTACGTGCCTTTGAAATATGGTAAGTGGTGAAATACAGGACACGAAACTATTGGCATCTGGTGAATTGGAAACTTCCACATCAGAGAATTATCTCTAATATCTACCGAAACAGATTCCATTGGGCGTAAAAGGTAAATCGGGTGGAATTATTCTATTATGTGAATAGAGGAACAGTGATAAAGAGACCCCGAAACGCCGTTACATTCAATAACAAAGCTGCTTTCCGTGAAAGGTTTGTCTCCATGTTGTCCCAACGTCTGAATGCCAAACAAGGACTTAAGTTGAAACATTACCGCGTCATATTCGGTTAAATTGAACTTCGCCCGCCAATGTTCATGTGCGTGAATGTATGGTAATGTTTGAATCTTGTGAGGGAAATATGCAGTAAAAAAGACTTCCTGAATCTACATGTCCTATTTGCCCAAATATAGATAATTATTAATTAATTAGACTTGTATACCTGCAAGGTCAATGTCACAAAGTTGTAAAAGCGAGTTCATTACCCCTGATAATGGCATTGAATTCTTTTGGTTACATTCCTAAAGAAAGCATTGCTAAAGCACTAACTATTCATCAGACTGTATGTAAGGCTCACTTGAAACCAGTAAATAACGAACACTTAATGATACCACGGAAATTAATAATATATCACACACATATTATATATCACCATACAAAGTGTCAGATTTCCGCTGACCAAAAACCTACTAAAACATTCAGGGAACATGCATACGTTCCGGATACCTGTCCATAGATTCGTCGATGCGGGATCATTACCTTTTATTAAAGGGATAAACCTATATAATGTATGGTGTTCAATCAAGTTGTTAATTAATCTCAAAAGTAGGTGTTAATACCCTGTAGGTGTGCTGTATGTCGGATTGTATGGTCATGGGGTGGTGACTTTCAATGTCAGTACGTGAGGCTAAGGGATCGAGCATGCATTTAATTTATGTTTACTTGATGTTTGTTCAGGATGCGGAAAGGCGATTGACCTGACCCCCGAAAACCCGACAGGAAGTTTAAGCACCCCCAACTACCCACAGAATTACCCGAAGAGCACAGAGTGCACGTGGCTCGTGACGGTAAGGCAACATTAAAACGAAAACAGAATTTGTCTTTATTTGTACATCTGTGGAAGGAAATTAAATAGATTGAGTGAGTTGGGTTTAACACATCTCTGCACAGTTGTTGGGCTTCTTGTAACCTAGTTTTAGAGTGAATTCAGTTTACACGCAGAACAAATTTTATTGTATATTGTTATAGCAACACAATCAAATTTTCAGGGATCTGAGAAAGACTCTGTGATCGTGATTGACTTTGACGACAAAACATTTTGTCTGGCATCTGGAGACCACGTGGACGTGCACTACAACAAGATCGGGCAGCCAAGTCTCAGGTAGTCTTTTACAGGTCCTCGGGTAGTCTCACGTAGTCTCAAATAGGGCCAACCAAGCCTCGTGAAAAATTGTGCACTTTGTGATAAAAGCTTGAAACTTGGCACAGTTGTAGGTATTGACATTCCAATTTTTTCAGATATGTGGTCACCCTAAAAAATCCAATATGGCCGCTACAGAGGAATGAAATTCTCGTATATCTCATGTCAGCATGACCCACAACCTAAATAAATTGTAAAAAATGAACATTTTGGAATGCATTTACTCAACACGACATCTTTAAATTAAATAATTATATATTATAGTAGACTATATGTTTTGATTTAGGTAATCGAATGTGTCAAAAACTTAAAAGAATGTGCATTTCTTTACTTTTTGGCGTATCTTTAAGCCACTCATTAAAGCCAGTTAAAAATACCAATATTGTACTCATGGTATATAACAAAAATATATAAAGAACAAACTTTGTATATATTGAAATATGCTTGTACATGGCTCATGTATTGGTTGGCTATTGGCAATTAAATGTGATCACATTTCCAAAATGGTGTACCAATCTAATGTGGCACAACACAGTCACACCTTGCTCTGCACCCTCTCCAATGCTTACAACTACATCTCAGTAGCTCTTGGCATGACTCAGAAGCTAGTGGCAGTGGAGGCCACAAAGGCCGATAGCGATTTCTGCTGATGTTGCCCATCCTCCTTCAGTTGGTGTGGAAAGGTCTGTTTCGGCCTCCAGACTTCGTCGCCATGAGTGGCCAGCTTGACATGCAGCGCTTTTGCCATGTAGGAGGAATGGAATCTGTTGATCTACCTGTCTTAGTGAATAAGTCTTTGCATGCCTCATCAACTCTTGTACAGATACTGTGAGGATAAAAAATTATATGCACTTCCGGCAAACAGGTTCCATGTAACAAAGGGTCGGATGTTGTCAATAATCTGCATCCATGTTCAGATGAAGAAACACAAGACACAAGACTCATTTTGCACAAGTCTGATACTGCCATACAGGGTCATGATAGGAACAGTTGATACTGATGCCATTGTCCTGGCTATTGCATTGTTTGACAAAATAGATGTCGTTCACATCTGGATAGGACCCATGAAAATCCCGGTGTAGAATAGGTCTTCAGCAACGCAACCCATACTTGCCGTAAAAGGCGACTATGCTTGTCGTAAAAGGCGACTAACGGGATCGGGTGGTCAGTCTCGCTGACTTGGTTGATACATGTCATCGATCCCAATTGCGTTGATCGATGCTCATGATATTAATCACTGGATTGTCTGGTCCAGACTCGATATTTTTACAGACCGCCGTCATATAGCTGGAATATTGCTGTGTGCGGCGTTAAATAACAAACAAACAAACAAACCCATCTGGATAGCTTTTGGAACTGGCAAACAATTAAGATCAGTGTCTGTTCATGTCCGTGCCGGATTCCATTGACCAGAGGAAGACTGTTCACTTCGAACTTTCATGGCTGTGACCAGACATCTTTCTTTGTGGAAAAGGAATAAAAACAGCGTTGGAAACATCTTAGGTGTATGATGAGTGAGTGAGTGAGTGAGTTGGGTTTAACGCCGCTTTTAACAATATTCCAATTATATCGCGGCGTGTCAGCTTAATGTGGGAGGAAAGCCCGAAGTGATGCAGGTCTCAGACGTTTACCACTTCGGTGAAACCCACGAGCACGGGTATAGTGCTGACAAACCTAGAAACATAATCGGGATGAACCGGGATTCGAACCCACAATCATAGGTTTCTGGTGTGCCCAAGGGACGCAACTCTGCATAGCGAATTGCGGTGGTGTATGATGAAGCAACAGAGGCTTTCAATCTCATTGATGATGGACCAACCAAACAGGATATGATGATCATGATGTCAGTCACTCAGCATTTTGTGGTCTTAATGTATGATCGGGCTGGTATCTGCACAAGAGTTTATGAGGCATTGTACCAACATGTCAAAAGAGTTCATCTCTAGCTGGCCTGTGTTGCTGACGGAGCCTGGAGACCGAAACAGACCTTTCCACATCAACTGAGAGAGGATGGATAAATTCAGTAGAACATGGCATCAGTCTTTGTGGACGACACTGCCACAAGCTTCTGAGTCATGCCAAGAGCTTCAGAGATGTAGTTGTAAGTCTGAGAGAGGGTGTTGTGACACATTTAATTGGTACACCACTTTGCAAATGCAGTTGGAACTGTGATCACATTTAAATTTGACCAACCCAAACCATGAGCCATTTACTGCATATTTCAACAGACACAAATTTGGTTCTTTAAATATTCTGTTGTCATTGTATTCAACATATGAGTATACACTATTGGTATAGTAAATTGGCCTTCATGGAGTATGTCTTAAAGATATGCCAAAAGTAAGAAATGCATATTTGTATATTTTTAAAATAAGTTACTTTATAGATGTAGTGTTGGGTACATATGTTCCAAAATGTTCATTTTTCTTTATATATTTAGGTTGTAGGTCATGTTCACATGAGAGATAGGAGAATTTCATTCCTCCAAGGCGGCCCTATTGGATGTTTTGGGTTGGCCCCATGTCTAAAAATATTTGGAATGCCAATACCTACAACTGTGCCAAGTTTCATGTTTTTATCAATAACTGCGCAATTGACTCTATATCTGTCACGAAAAGGCTCCACTAATAGGGCCATCCAAGCCTCGGTAAGTGTCATCTAGGGCCATCTAAGCCTCGGGTAGTGTCATCTAGGGCCAGCCAACTCTCAGGTAGTGCCATCTAGGACCACCCAAGCCTCAAGTAGTGTCATCTAGGGCCATCTAAGGCCCTAAGGCCAGGTGGTGTCATATAGGCCAGCCAACTCTCAGGTAGTGTCACTTTAGCAGGTAGTCACTGCATTGTCACGAATAATTGACCATGACGTCATCGTTGTTTATGACGTAACGCTTTACAAGTGACGTCTTCAGAGTGAGACTATTTTTAAGTTCTACATATCTCAAACACTATATTTAAAGAAATTGTCGTTAGCATAACCTCTGGATTTAAATCCGTTGCAGAAACACCGGGAAGGGGTACAAGCCAAGTGTGGTGACTTTGTACAACAATGTGAAGATCCAGTTCAGGTCAGATCTCGAAACGGAGTGTTCCGGATTTACGGCCAAAGTCAGGATGGTCACAAGTAGGTAGTTCACCGTTGTAAATAGTTTAAGAATAACCTTCGGGGGATGAGGTATTACGGATTATTATATACTTAAGTGTGACAGACTGAGTTTTCCGAAGTTGAGAAAAATCATATTTTCATTGCAGTGAACATAACAATTGATATTTCACTGCTGTGAACATAACTCTTTGACGGAAATGTTGTCCTACAAGGGTGGCCTCCCCTCAAATTGTCTCCCTTTATCATAAGTTTCTGGCCCGTACACAAACTGTTGACTTCACTTTTACGTTAGTTCCACATTGGCAAGGCAAAAAAATGACAGATGGTCATTTGTGAAGTTAATATCGCTTCATGCCTTTTGATAGTCTCTTGAAATTTTTTTGTTACAAAGCATGAATTTCTCCTTTAACTCGTCAATTGCGAGTGCCTTTTTTGTATCTTGACAAGCGTGTATTCTTTCGCTTCCAACTGCGGTTTCGTAGTTTTTAGGTATATTTTTTGTTAAAGTCGATTTTGTATATAATCATATCTGTATGTATCTTTCAGAATTTTTGTGATCCTAAATATTTTTGTTACTTTGGTTTATGTTTATTTAAGATTTTGCAAACACGAAACTACTTTTTTAGTCGCAAATACAAGGGGTGGTGAACCGTCCCTCTGTGTCAGGTAGGGAGAATTTACGTTTCAAGGTTTCACAGTTGTTATGAAATAATTTAATTTTCCGGTAGACAACTACGTCATATTCTATGTGTCGAGTGAAATATCATGTTTCTCTCATCACGCGGTTCGTTTACATATTCCAGAGGAAGAACAAGCCTTCAATGTCAACGATGAAGGCAAGAGTTACCGCGGCACCATCGACTTCACCCACAACACCATACCCTGCTTGCCATGGAGAGAGATGTCAGAATGTCCACATCACCCGTTTGCTCCCGGGTAGATACTTTTCTCACGATATATCCAATGTAACAAGTAATGTAAGTAAGGTTTAACGCCGTTTTCAGCACGTCAGTATATTATTTATTTTATTGCATGTCAACTGAATATGACGCAGGTCGAAGAAATTTTCACTTTGGTAAACCACATGAGCACTGGTGCGTACGTTGACAATAAAACAAGGATTATCACCGATGCAGTCAGTTGACACAGACACAGAAAAGGGGCAAAATCAGACTGCAAACCACATGTGTCCCTCATAGCTTAATAAAAAAAATCATAATCATAATCATAATAATGGGAGGACGTGGTTTGATTAACGTTGGGGCTCTTCATGATAGAATTTTTTTGTGCACTTTTGCACACGTTTATTTGTCTGTTGATCCTCTTGTGAAGCATGTCAAGAGACATGATGGTGTAGCTCGATCATTTTATTACCGTCTTCGCCATGCTTGTGGTTTTGACACAGAGGTCCACCCATGGTACGACCCGGAATATGTAGAGGGCGTCATGGAAAATGATAAAGACAAAATTCTTTGTAATAGGCCCATTTACAGCCTCAGACGTATCCAGGCCAACAAACATGATCTTGTCCTTTATGATAAATCCAATGAAATCATTTATATCATTGCATTTTCTGTCCTCTTTGACACCAATGCGATTGACAAGATTGAGGAAAACATGGCAAATATGCTATCGAAATGTCACGCTTGCATCCCAAGTACCAAGTTGTCCGACTCCCCATTGTTCTCGGTGCCTTAGGTTTGGTACCTCCCAATCTGTTGACTGACATTGGGAGAGTACCCGGTTTGCTACCAGGAATACAGCCCTTTTGACAATCTGGGTAATGCAGAAGGCTGCAGTGTTGGGGAGTCTTCACATTCTCCGAAAAGTTCTGGGTGGGTTTGACTAGGCAGCGCTTCCTGGGAGAAGTCCCATTCGCTGTCTGGGCCGCGTGTAGAGGGGACAAGGGCCCTGAGCTGATGATGAGCCGAACCAGCCTGACTGTGCCAGGGTCACCCAAATCCTCTTTGCTGCATTTTTTTAATTTTAATCTGTAAATAATAATAACAAGATTTCCATATATAACTCAATGCTTCGTCTACGAGTGTATCTCTGTTTGCAGTGACTATGGTGATGGCCTGGAGTCCAACTACTGCCGTAACCCTGGTGACGGCATCGCGCCCTGGTGCTATGTGTCGCACGACAACTGCGAGAGAAACTACTGTGACGTCAGTCTCATTGGTAAGAGCTGTCAACCCACACATTAACGAATACATATCACCATCCAACACTCCATTGGGGATTCCGAGTTTGGATAAAGGTAATCAGCAACGTGTGCTGGTCGTAAGAGGCAACTTAATCGACCATGTGCTCAAGCGATTTTAACTTGAAAGATCATGTGTCGCCATACCCCGACGGCGTTGAACATTGCTCATAATAACAACCGCTGGTTTGGGTGATCCAAACTCAATTATTTACAGGCGGCCATCAAATACGATGCGAACATTACTGACAGTTCATGAAATTGAAAAAGCCCTGACAATACCCCGATTATTAATAATACCAAGACGACTGATTACGGTATTTAAAAGGACATTCCTACCATACAAAAGAACACCTTGTCATGTAAATCACTGGACTTCGCGGTTGTTTTCGTAAATACATGATTGCATCGAATAGAATATATGAAAACATTTAATATCAATGAGTGTTTCCTTAATGCGTGATTGCATCATTCAGAACAAATTACTGACGTATTTTTGTTTTCCAAAATTCGTGATTGAATCATATTGAACAATATAGATGCGTCATATTCAATGAATATTTTCCTTAATGCATGATTGCTTCATATTGAACAAATTATAGGCGTAATTGTCAATGAGTGTTTTCCCTAATGCGTGATTTAATCATATTGAAGAAATTATAGGCATTATTGTCAATGAGTGTTTTCCTTAATGCGTGATTTAATCATATTGAAGAAATTATAGGCGTAATTGTTAATGAGTGTTTTCCTTAATGCGTTATTTAATCATATCGAAGAAATTATAGGTGTAATTGTCAATGAGTGTTTTCCTTAATGCGTGATTTAATCATATTGAATAAATTATTGGCATAAGTGTCAATTATTGTGTTTTTCCTTCACTAATGTATCTTTCTCCGCCAGGTCGCCCTGCTGACAACTTCCCGGACTGCGCCGAGCTCATTGCGGCGAACAGCGACTTCTGCAAGGATCAGACGCAGGCAGTTAGAGGGTGTTTCAAGTCCTGTCTCAGTGACATCAAATATGATAACAAACCCAAAAAAGGTGACAAAACGGAAGCATGTCCACATGTGATGTTACCTTTGTACATGTTCATATATAATTGGCGCGGTTGGGTAACATGGTGGTTAAAGCATTCGCGCGTCTCACCGACGGCCCGGGTTAGATTCGCAGCATGTGTGAAGACAATTATGGTGTCCCCCCGACGGGATATTGGTAAAAGCGATGCAAATCCGACTCAATTACGCACACATCTCTAACTCTTTACACAACACGTCCAGTCTATGCTCTGTCATTAATACAGTGTTCCGAAGTGTTGATTACCACAAGGGGGCACGGGTGGCACAGTCGTATAAGGCGCCGCAATTCGCTGTGCAGAGTTGCTTCCTTTGGCACGCCAGAAAGCTGTGCTTCTTGGTTCGAATCCCGGTTCACCCCGACTATGTTTCTAGGTTTGTCAGCACCATATCCGTGCTGATGGGTTTCCCCGAAGTGGTAACGTCTGACACCTGCATCACTTCGGGCTTTCCTCCCACATTAAGCTGACACGCCGTGATATAACTGGAATACTGTTAAAGCGGCGTTAAACCCAACTCACTCACACTGATTACTACAATAAGATGGAGAATGTTTGTTCCTTCTGTATAAGAATATCAACATATAATAGTGTGTACACGTTCTCTGTAAGAATATCAACGTATAATAGTGCGTGCGCGTTCCCTGTAAGAATATCAACATATAATAGTGCGTGCGCGTTCTCTGTAAGAATAGCAATATATAATAGTGCGTGCGCGTTCTCTGTTAGAATAGCAACATATATTAGTGCGTACACAGTCTCTGTAAGAATATCAACATATAGTAGTGCGTACACAGTCTCTGTAAGAATATCAACATATAATAGTGCGTAAACAGTCTCTGTAAGAATATCAACATATAATAGTGCGGACGCATTCTCTATGAGAATATCAACATATGATATTGCGTAATAGTGCGTACACAGTCTCTGTAAGAATATCAATATATAATAGTGCGTACGCGTTCTCTATGAGAATATCAACATATGATATTGCGTAATAGTGCGTACACAGTCTCTGTAAGAATATCAACATATAGTAGTGCGTACACAGTCTCTGTAAGAATATCAACATATAATAGTGCGTAAACAGTCTCTGTAAGAATATCAACATATAATAGTGCGTACGCATTCTCTATGAGAATATCAACATATGATATTGCGTAATAGTGCGTACACAGTCTCTGTAAGAATATCAACATATAATAGTGCGTGCACGTTCTCTGTGAGAATATCAACATGTAATAGTGCGTACACGTTCTCTATGAGAATATCAACATATGATATTGCGTAATGAATGAAGCAATGAAAGCAGTAATGTTTCTTTCATGCTGCTATAGGGTGTAGGAATATGTTCTGGTGTGAGATAACAATTTAATTTTCAAGGCAACTGTCTCCCTTTCAGTGACGGAGGTTACATGTCCAAAGCCTGATGCTATAGACGGTGCCGAGATAGTTGATGCCAAGGACTCCTACAAGATGGGCGAGAAAGCTGTATATGAGTGCACCTCCGGCGAGGGAGATTTGACCAGGACATGCACCTCTAATGGCGATTGGACACCTGGTGGCTATGTGTGTGGTGGTAAGTGACCTATAGGACAGGTAACTTTAATGGCAACAGGTATTTGTATTAATGGCCATTGTGTCCTACAGGTGACACCCCTGTCCTAAGGTTGATCTGCCTGTCATATAAATGTACATGTACATATGTAGTTGACCAACCTGTCCTGTAGTTGATGTCCCCGTCATATAGCGGACCTACCTGTCCTAAAGGTGACCCACTTGTTCTACAGTTGATCCACCCGTCCTACAGTTTATCCACCTGTCTTACAGTTTATCCACCTGTCTTACAGTTGATCCACCTGTCCCACAGTTGACCCACGTGTATATAATTGTTCCAGTTGTCCCACTTGTTCTACAGTTGATCCACCTGTCCTACAGTTGATCCACCTGTCCTACAGTTAATCCAGTTGTTCTACGGTTGATCCACCTATCCTACAGTTGATACACGTGTCCCACAGTTGATCCACCTGTCCTACGATGACCCACGTGTATACAGTTGATCCACATGTCCTACAGTTGATCCTCCTGTCCTACAGTTGATCCACATGTCCTACAGTTGATCCACCTGTCCTACGATGACCCACGTGTATACAGTTGATCCACATGTCCTACAGTTGATCCTCCTGTCCCACAGTTGATCCACCTGTCCTACGATGACCCACGTGTATACAGTTGATCCACATGTCCTACAGTTGATCCTCCCGTCCTACAGTTGATCCACCTGTCCTACAGGTGATCCACCTGTCCCACAGTTGACCCTCGTATTTACAGTTGAGCCCCCTGTACTACAGTAGACCCATCTGTCCTGTAGTTGATGTCCCCGTCATAGAGCGGACCTACCTGTCCTACAGTTGATCCTCCTGTTCTACAGTTGATCCTCCTGTTCTACAGTTGATCCACCTGTCCTACAGTTGACCCACGTGTCTACAGTTGATACAGTTGTCCTACAGTTGAGCCCCCGTCCTACAGTTATCCACATGTCTTACAGTTGATCCACCTGTCCCACATAATACATTCTATTGGACATCCGACAAGAAAACCGCAAGAATAACATCGTCATCTTTCTCCCAACTAAGATATACACTTACATATTTAATAGATTTCCTTTGTGGAACATTCATATCGCCAATTGATACATTAGTGGTTTGAACCTTATTGTTTGGGCATCCAAAGTATAGAACTGCACTCTCACTTACATTATATTTTAGCTGCCACATATGAGCATAGTTATGTAGCGACATCAAGATGATTTTGCAGGCCTTTAGTGTCGTCAGCAAGAATTCCAGGGCATCTACCCCTACTACCAGAATCTGAGTTTCCAAGTTCATATAGGAGGTCATTAATAATTAGCGTCAAAGGCCAGGCGGACATTACTCGCACCTTGACCTACGCCTTGATTCACGGGGAATGCAACCGACTTAAATCCTTCAAAGCATACAAATGATTCCATAGAGCTGTAGGAGAGCCTTAATATTCTCCATAGTTTACCCGTTATTCCAATACCACACAGTTTAATAAATAATCCATCAAGCCATACCTGATCAAATGCTTTTTCGTTATCTAAGAATGCACAGTACACAGGCGACATCCTTTCATTGTAATGCGCAATATTTTCTGCAGATTCAGCACCATAGAGACGTCTAAATCCCAATTGCAAAGGATGGGGAAATTCTATGTTGTTATCTGTCCACGACTTTTCGAGCCTATTGTTGGTATATCCGTCCTACTAGGACTACCCCTTTGCCATATTTGTTAATTCTTCTAAGTGTTTGGGGGTATTACATGAAGCTATATGTTGACAATTTCAGATTGCCCCACCGACTGGATCCCCCATCAAGGCTATTGCTATCATTTCTTCGACATCCCTTCGTCCTATGCCGAGGCCGAGGACACATGCCATTCGTACGACGCATTCGTCGTTGCCATCAAGAGCAAGGAGGAATCTGACTTCCTTGAAAAAATTTCGTAAGTTAAAAGTGTTTTGACTTCAACTTTTCCATTGTCAACTTTTCCTTTAAATACATGACACTTTTTATGGATAGCAACTTCTTTTATTCTTTGTTACGACGTTTCAGAGCTGTTTCTTGCTCGTTCATCAGGTGAATGCTGAGTAAGTGCATGGAGTTAAACTTCTAAATGCCGAACAAAGAGGTAACTTTCCCTTTATGTCGAGCAATATTCCAGCAGCTCAAGCCTTTGGTGTCTGCATTACACAACTTTTCAACCTAGCATACTCTTTTTACGAAGACTTCAAAGAATGTCTGATCGAGGTTACCACATTCAAGGCCTCGGTAAAGCTTTCAAAACGTGTTTTATGGTAGACATGTGGATGACATTTTCACTTGTACTCCATGGTAGCGTGTTTTTGTCAGGTGAACAATTTACTTGCCGTTGCATGTGTTTATGAGTGCCACCGGTAGGGAAATATAAGCTCGCCTGTTCGCCAGCACCTGGTATCAGCACAATTTGATATTAATGATTCATAGCCACATGCGCATGATAGTCAGACTCGATAATAAACTCTGCTTTTAGTATAGATTTCTTGTGGCTATGGAAGGTTTTTTTTGATAATCCCGATAATACAAGTTTCACTCAAAACGTAAACAGATAATTGTCATATTCCAAATTATTGCATGACGTCACGATACTTTTGACAGAGAGGCTGTTCCTCAGGTACATAATATACACTCAAAATTGAAATGCGATCTGCTTTCTGCATAACACGCACATACTTTGAATGAAGGAACCGAATTCCGTTTGAACGAATTCCGTGTGGTTTCCGATTCAGAACTACACGCCTAGTATAGTACTCAGCAAAGCAATCTATGCGTGTTCACGCATGTCGTACAAGGCGACTAAACAGATCGGGTGGTCGGATTTGCTGACACCTTCAGTGTAAATCTGTAAACTTAAAACGCACCTGGCTGCAGCTGTGCGGTGTGTAAAGCGGAGAGATCAGGAAATTGACCAGACTGTTTCCCTAGAATTCCTTTTACAACCGCTTCGTTTACTTTCGGGCTAACACATCCGAGTGATTCATGTTGTCAATAGGAGTAAATGTCGTCTAACGCCGCATGAGGAATATGCACATTGTAATGGTGTTTTGCAAAACATACTGAGATGCAAATTTAAATAATATTTTGATTCTAAAATATAGATATATTTTCGGCAAGTCATGGCTTTCTGGTGACTTTGATGAGCTGAAGGTATGACCCATTGACATGGCGGAGTGCACAGTGTCTCAAAGCTTGTTGGTATGACACACAGACATGGCGGAGTGAACAGTGTCCCAGTGCCTATTGTTATGACCAATAGACATGGCGGAGTGGATAGTGTCTCAATGTCTGTTGTTATGACCGATAGTCATGGCGGAGTGGACAGTGTTTCCCCATTACTGTTGTTATGACCAAAAGATAAGGCGGAGTGGACAATGTCCCAATGCCTGTTGTTATGACCAATAGACAGGGCGGAGTGGACAGTGTCCCAATAACTGTTGTTATGACCGATAGACATGGCGGAGTGGACAGTGTCCCAATAACTGTTGTTATGACCAAAAGATATGGCGGAGTGGACAGTGTCCCAGTAACTGTTGTTATGACCAATAGACATGGCGGAGTGGACAGTGTCTCAATGTCTGTTGTTATGACCAATAGTCATGGCGGAGTAGACAGTGTCCCAATAACTGTTGTTATGACCAAAAGATATGGCGGAGTGGACAGTGTCCCAATAACTGTTGTTATGACCAATAGACATGGCGGAGTGGACAGTGTCTCAATGTCTGTTGTTATGACCAATAGTCATGGCGGAGTAGACAGTGTCTCAATGCCTGTTGTTATGACCAATAGACAAGGCGGAGTAGGCAGTGTCTCAATGCCTGTTGTTATGACCAATAGACATGGCCGAGTGGACAGTATCTCAACGCATGTTGTTATGACCAATAGACATGGCGGAGTAGACAGTGTCCCAATGTCTGTTGTTATCACCAATAAGCATGGCGGAGTGGACAGTGCCCCAGTGCCTGTTGTTATGACCAATAGTCATGGCGGAGTGGACAATGTCCCAATGCCTGTTGTTATGACCAATAGACATGGCGGAGTGGACAGTGTCCCAATGTCTGTTGTTATGACCAATAGACATGGCGGAGTGGACAGTGTCCCAATGTCTGTTGTTATCACCAATGGACATTGCGGAGTAGACAGTGCCCCAATGCCTGTTGTTATGACCAATATACATGGCGGAGTGGACTGTGTCCCAATGTCTGTTGTTATGACCAATAGACATGGCGGAGTGGACAGTGTCCCAATGTCTGTTGTTATCACCAATAGACATGGCGGAGTAGACAGTGCCCCAATGCCTGTTGTTATGACCAATAGTCATGGCGGAGTAGACAGTGTCTCAATGCCTGTTGTTATGACCAATAGTCATGGCGGAGTGGACAGTGTCCCAATGTATGTTGTTATCACCCATAGACATGGCGGAGTGGACAGTGTCCCAATGCCTGTTGTTATGACCAATAGACATTGCGGAGTGGACAGTGTCCCAATGTCTGTTGTTATCACCAACAGACATGGCGGAGTGGACAGTGTCCCAATGCCTGTTGTTATCACCAATAGACATGGCGGAGTAGGCAGTGTCTCAATGCCTGTTGTTATGACCAATAGACATGGCGGAGTGGACAGTGTCCCAATGCCTGTTGTTATGACCAAAAGACACGGCGGAGTGGACAGTGTCCCAGTGCCTGTTGTTATGACCAATAGACATGGCGGAGTAGACAGTGTCTCAATGCCTGTTGTTATCACCAATGGACATGGCGGAGTAGACAGTGTCTCAATGCCTGTTGTTATCACCAATCGACATGGCGGAGTGGGCAGTGTCTCAATGCCTGTTGTTATGACCAATAGACATGGCGGAGTGGACAGTGTCTCAATGCCTGTTGTTATCACCAATAGACACGGTGGAGTGGACAGTGTCCCAGTGCCTGTTGTTATGACCAGTAGACATGGCGGAGTGGACAGTGTCTCAATGTCTGTTGTTATGACCAATAGACACGGCGGAGTGGACAGTATCTCAATGTCTGTTGTTATGACCAATAGACATGGCGGAGTGGACAGTGTCCCAATGCCTGTTGTTATCACCAATAGACACGGCGGAGTGGACAGTGTCTCAATGCCTGTTGTTATCACCAATAGACATGGCTGAGTGGACAGTGTCTCAATGCCTGTTGTTATGACCAAAAGACATGGCGGAGTGGACAGTGTCTCCATGCCTGTTGTTATCACCAATAGACATGGCGGAGTGGACAGTGTCTCAATGCCTGTTGTTATGACCAATAGACATGGCGGAGTGGACAGTGTCCCAATGCCTGTTGTTATGACCAAAAGACATGGCGGAGTGGACAGTGTCTCCATGCCTGTTGTTATCACCAATAGACATGGCGGAGTAGACAGTGTCTCAATGCCTGTTGTTATGACCAATAGACATGGCGGAGTAGGCAGTGTCTCAATGCCTGTTGTTATGACCAATAGACACGGCGGAGTGGACAGTGTCCCAAAGCCTGTTGTTATGACCAATAGACATGGCGGAGTGGACAGTGTCCCAATGCCTGTTGTTATGACCAATAGACACGGCGGAGTGGACAGTGTCCCAATGCCTGTTGTTATGACCAAAAGACATGGCGGAGTGGACAGTATCCCAATGCCTGTTGTTATGACCAAAAGACATGGCGGAGTGGACAGTGTCTCAATGCCTGTTGTTATCACCAATAGACATGGCGGAGTAGACAGTGTCTCAATGCCTGTTGTTATGACCAATAGACATGGCGGAGTAGGCAGTGTCTCAATGTCTGTTGTTATGACCAATAGACAAGGCGGAGTGGACAGTGTCCCAATGCCTGTTGTTATGACCAATAGTCATGGCGGAGTGGACAGTGTCCCGATGCCTGTTGTTATGGCCAGTAGACATGGCGGAGTGAACAGTGTCCCAGTGCCTGTTGTTATGACCAACAGACATGGCGGAGTGGACAGTGTCCCAGTGCCTGTTGTTATGGCCAGTAGACATGGCGGAGTGGACAGTGTCCCAATGTCCCAGTGCACAGAACATTTGTCTGATGGTAGTATTGTTCAGACGGCCAACTTCTCCCCACTGCACAGAACACTTTACTTTAGTTATCTGATGATATGTTTTTCCAGGCGACCAACGTCACCCCAGTGGCTGGGTATGAAGAGAAAGGGGAACAGTAGGACTGACTATGAATGGGATATGGACAAAACGCTTGTGGGTGCAAATGGATACTCCAACTGGTACAAGGGTAAGTGAATGCGTGGCTTGTGGTTTTTGATGGATATTCCAACTTGTGAAACCGCGAATGTATTTGTTGCTTGTGTGTTTCAATGGATCTTCCAACTGCTGCAATGGCGGGTGTTGTTTGTGAGTTCCAATACTATTCCCACTTGTATAACGGTGAGTGTAAACGCTGTGTGTGGGTTTAAATGGATATTCCAACTGGTGTGGCGTCGTGTGCATGTATTACTGGTGGGTATCAATGGAAATTCCACCTACTGCAAAGGCGGGTGTATACGTTGTTTGTAGGTATCAATGGAAATTCCATCTATAGCAAAGGCGGGTGTATACGTTGTTTGTGGGTATCAATGGATATTCCAGCTATAGCAAAGGCGGGTGTATACGTTGTTTGTAGGTATCAATGGAAAATCCATCTATAGCAAAGGAGGGTGTATACGTTGTTTGTGGGTATCAATGGATATTCCAGCTATAGCAAAGGCGGGTGTGTACGTTGTTTGTAGGTATCAATGGAAATTCCACCTACTGCAAAGGCGGGTGTATACGTTGTTTGTAGGTATCAATGGAAATTTCATCTATAGCAAAGGCGGGTGTATACGTTGTTTGTAGGTATCAATGGAAATTCCATCTATAGCAAAGGCGGGTGTATACGTTGTTTGTGGGTTTCAATGTATATTCCAACTATTGCAAAGGCGGGTGTATACGTTGTTTGTAGGTATCAATGGAAATTCCATCTATAGCAAAGGCGGGTGTATACGTTGTTTGTAGGTATCAATGGATATTCCAGCTATAGCAAAGGAGGGTGTATACGTTGTTTGTGGGTTTCAATGTATATTCCAACTATTGAAAAGGCGGGTGTATACGTTGCTTGTGGATTTCAATGGATATTCTAACGGGTGAACTTCCGATTGTATGCGTTGCTTATGCGCTTCAATGGAGGCACCGGAATAAAAAAAACATTCATACGACAAGTGCTTGGGTTCAATTTTGCGGGGAATTACATGTATAATATGACTGCACATTCATTCAAGTTCATTGTATACTGAGAGCTAAGAATCGCAGAAGTGGATTTAACACTGTGCTTTCAACATGACGTATCCACGTACATTATCTTTCCAAGGAAAATTATATCCGAAATGCTAAATCATAAGTTCATGTTATGAAACTCGGCTTTCAACATGTCCTATCTACAAGTATATATTTTATCAATCCAAGGTTAAAGCATGTCCGTCGTGTTTGATAAGAGGTCACCTGCTCTGGGTTGACAATCGAGTGTTACAATGGTTAATCAATATAAACTGTTGGGCAAAATAAAGTGCACACGCATGTTTGATGGTAGCGAAAATGAAACATCCGCAAAATTGATGTTCGATTGTGATGCATTGATACGGGTAACATAGTTGTGTTTTGAACCCTAGGCTTGTATCGTCGACTGTTTTGAGGCTAATAACGTTTTAATAACGTTAATTATGTTTTTGTCAAATTCAATTTTCAAGTCTGTGCGCTTTTGCAAGGCAGTTTACTTAATACTGTATCAAAATCAAATGTGTCATTTTTGCACCAAACCTTTGTCCCAGGCACGCCACATCACAACAAAAAGAGAAAGAATGCCTATTGTCGTGGAAGCAACCAACAGATGACATGGCGAGCTCAGAGATCTAAGAGCCACAAGCCATTTTTCCCATTTACATGTCAGAAGGCAATTCCAGGTAAACACAACAACAATTAAACTTGTAAAACTTTCAAAGAAGATGATCGTCACGATATGGCTGAGATATTGCCGATGTGACGTTAAGCTTTAACACACTCACTCAAAGAAGATGATGTTGAGTCACTTACAATGTCACAATTCAATATATTCGCTGCACTTCAAATTACAGGCTTAAAATGCTCTACTTACTTTCGGACATAATTTTTCCGTAACACCCTTCATCAGTTGTGGAGATGTTTTTGTTGCATTGGTTAAATGCTGTCAATAACCACTGTATTTCGGACATGAGGTTTCCGAAGGATACATAATAAGGTTTATAAATGAGTGAGTGAGTGAGTTGGGTTTAACGACACTTTTAACAGTATTACAGTTATATCACGGCGTGTCAGGTTAATGTGGGAGGAAAGCCCGAAGTGATGCAGGTCTCAGACGTTTACCGCTTCGGTGAAACCCAGGACCACGGTATGGTGCTGACAAACCTAGAAATATAATTGGGACGAACCGGGATTCGAACCCACGATCAAGGTTTCTGGCGTGCCTAAGTGACGCAAATCTGCACAGAGTACCCCTGGCCCCGATTGAGATGAACGTGTTAGTATATAAGTGAATAGTATACAGATTTCGTTAATCCGGACATCTTTCCCAAGGGTATGGTAAAATGGGGTTTAACGTCATATTGGTGTTGTTTCCAAAGGATGTATAATAATTTGACTATCTATCAATGTTCCTAAGAAAACATCCCGTGTGTTGACCGACTGCCAAACTGTGAGGCTGTCGTTGTCGAGACGCCCGAGGTCTGCCAGAACTACACCGAGTCCGGCTGGGGGGAGCAACAGTGCAGGAAGACGTGCGGAGCCTGCGGGGACACAGCCGGTGAGTAGATGCAGGTGGATTCCTTTCTTTCTTCCGTAACCCAGCAACACGCCATCCGTAGCTGTATGACGTCGGCCTGTCAATAATCATGTCTGGACCAGACATCCCAGTGATTGGCATCATGGACATCGATACATTGGGATACATCATGTCTGTTATAGCACGGCGTGTTTACTTTGATGTGCGCAGCTATTTTGATTTCAGGGGAAGTGTTCATTTTAATCTGGTATTTGTGAGCTGATACGGTTAATTGCCGCGTATTTCAGGTATTTCAGTTGCATCACGGCGTGTCAACTTAAAGTTGGAGGTGATGCCGGTACCTGTTCACAACAGATGTAATTCAAATTAACACATCGTTTTTAGTTTTAACAAAATCAGTTAACCCGGTGTCGTGTCACTGGATTGTCTGGTCCATCACTTGATTATCTGGTCAAGATTCGATTATTACAGACCGCCTTCGTTTGGCAGGAAGATAGTACTACTGCCGTGTAACGTCAGGCTAAAAAAAATGACTTTTTATGCAAATTATGCGAGTGGTGGGTATTATTGGTAAAGCAGGACATATTTACCCTTTCAGCAAACACCTGGTGTTATCCCTGATTTTCAGTGAGCCATACGTAAAGTTTTCTTAGCTATTTTGCCCTTTACGCTCAATGAAATCTGTTAAGGCGGATAATCGAGACTGGTTTTACTCTGACTTTGACGTTTCATATTTAACCATGGCAGTATGTTTCTTCGTGCTTAATCAGTCATAGGTAATGAATTATTCTGTTGTTCTGTTGACAGAGTGTACAGTCCCTGCTGCTGGGGGTCACGCCGAGCTTCTGACCACAGGGTCAGTGCACACAGGGGAGGTGGCGTACTACGAGTGTGAGGAGGGCTACACTGTCAGCAAGGGGAGTCTTATTATGGCGTGTCTTCCGTCAGGCAAAATGACCTCCGAAGCCCCAGAATGTGTTGGTGAGTCTGTCCATGAGTGTAACACACTATCTGGGGGATTGTTTATGGAAGCTGATACCGTAAATACTGAAAAAACATATGTGTTCTCAGGGAATCGTTCACTGGATATCTAGAATGTTCTGACAAAATATTGACATTTGACTTGAAAAATAATTAATTTTTTTCTGCACCCTTCCAAAAACTAAAATTGTATGTCGTGACTGATAATAAAATATTAACTCTCAAAATATAAATGCGTCAAACATTCAGACGTTTACCAATTTGGTAAAGGGGCGGTCGGGTAACCTTGTGGTTAAAGCGTTCGTTCGTCACGCCGAAGAATCGGGTTCGATTCCAGACATGGGTATAATGTATGAAGTCAATTTCTGGTGTCCCCCGCCGTGATGTAGCTGGAATATTGCTAAAAGCGGCGTAAAACCATACTCACACACTCACTCACTTTGGTGAAACCCACGATCACACATATGATGCTGACAATTCTAGAAAGATAATAGAGGCGAATCGGGATTCGATACATTGTAGTGACAGAAGGGTTACACGTTATTTAGATTCCACTCTTCTCTCAATAGATTTGTTACACCCTAAAGCATTTTAACAAAATCCGCCATTTGTTAACATGTCGGACGCCATGCCTCTTGAAACACAGTTTGTGGTGTGACGGGGCTATCATAGGCACGTGACCCTGGTTAGGTTCCCAATAGTACTGAGGTAAGTTTACAAGTTCAGAATCATTCTAGCATGTGTTATTGCAGAGAAAGGAAGCGTTATAAGGCCAAGTAATAACAATGACATCCGACCCAGAGGCGGCACCTTCGGTTGCTACGTCTCCTTCACTGGCAACGACGACATGTACGTGATTGATGCCCCCGGCAAGGTCATTGCCTGGGAGTTCTACCTTCTGTTTGCTGGAACAACTGTCTTCCAAATATGGCGGCCTACCGATGACCCTGCTGTGTAAGTTGATAACGCCCTCGTTTGTTTGTTTGTCTTTTGTTTAACGCCGCACTCAGCAATATTCCAGCTATATGACGGCCGTCTGTAAATAATCCAGTGATTGACATCTTGAGGCATCAACCTGGTCAGCGAGCCTGACATCCGGGTCCCGCCAGTCGCCTCTTGCGACAAGCAAGGGTTGCTGAAGACCAACTTTTGAAGAAAGAATAAATGAGTTCCAGCAGTATCACGGTTTTCGGACCCTAGAAATACGGGGAATCGAAACTGGACCTTGACAAGCTAACCTTTAAACTACAAGGATGCCTCATATATCATCACCATTCCCATGACATCATCATTTCATTACATTCACTTGGTATAACGTACTGTGAATATATATTCCCTCAGAACAACGCAATTACTTCTCTTCACGAGAATAAAACATTAATGAATTTCATGAATATGTTTTCGCCCAGTTAAACATATCATGAACTATATATTTACTGGAAATAATGTATTAATGTATCTAAATGAATACATTTTCACTTGATATAACGCATGATTATATATTCATTCGGATTAAAGTATTAACTTCCCTTAATGAATATTATTTTCCATTTTCACTTGGTATAACGCATTATGAATATATATCTACTCGGAATAACGTATTAACTTCCCCTTACCACCATACTTATTTTTACACAGACTGACGCTCGTTGGCCAGAATTCGATATCCGCGAAGGCTGTCCGCCCACACGTTGTCAACATTCCCGCTGGAGAACAGATTGAAGTGGAGGCTGGAGACAGAATCGGTGGGTTCGACCACGTGGTGGCGAGTGAGTGAGTGAGTGAGTGAGCTGGAGACAGAATCGGTGGGTTCGACCACGTGGTGGCGAGTGAGTGAGTGAGTGAGCTGGAGACAGAATCGGTGGGTTCGACCACGTGGTGGCGAGTGAGTGAGTGAGTGAGCTGGAGACAGAATCGGTGGGTTCGACCACGTGGTGGCGAGTGAGTGAGTGAGTGAGTGGGTGGGTGAGTGAGTGAGTGAGTGAGTGAGTGGGTGGGTGGGTGAGTGAGTGAGTGAGTGGGTGAGTGAGTGAGTGAGTGAGTGGGTGAGTGTGTGAGTGAGTGAGTGATTGAGTGAGGTTTAACGCCGCTTTGAAGCGTATTCCAAGGATATATATTATCACGGTTACATTACATCATTCCTTTACTTGGTTGGAATTGCGAAGCCTAATGCCAACCGTGCACCCTATTCTATACAAAAGTACTTAACAAAATTACGGGTTATATATTTGGTGACCTTAACTTTCCTCTTGAGGTCAATCACTGGACTGTCTTGTACAGACTCGATTATTTACATACCGCCGTTATATAGCTGGAACATTGTTGAGTGCGGTAATGAGTAACAAGCAAACAAACAATAATCGTTCCATTGATTTAATTTTTGCTCATTTCAGGTGTGTATAACCCGTATGAGCGAGCGGGTATTGCGTATGACACGAACAAGGCGCAGGGTGATGGCAGTCTCAAACTGGCCTCGAATGTGTGGTATGCCAGTGATTTCGTCGTCAACAATGACTACGAGTTCAAAGCAAGCAGCCCTTTGAGGATAATGTCCTTCAGGGCTATCCTTGGACCCAAATAATGCAAGGTGAGGACAAGAGTAAGTGAGTGAGGTTTTACGCCGCTTTTAGCAATATTCAAGCAACATAACGGCGGGGGACACCAGAAATGGGCTTCACACACTGTACCCATGTCGGGAATCGAACCCGGGTCTTCGGCGTGACGAGCGAACGCTTTAACCACTAGGTTACCCGACCGGCCCGGTGAGGATAAGAACTGGACCTGCATATACATGTGTATACACCCGGAAAAAAGATTTCCAGTGATCCATTCATCTAATTTTCACAACTATTTTTATCTTTACGCCAAATGTAATCTGTATCGGCAGATAATCTAGACTGGTTATTCTCTTGCATTGATTCTTTATATTTATGACATACGTTGTAAGTTATTTGAATTCCCGACCGCCTCCGTGGTCTAAGAGCATATGACACATTATCACCACAAAATATGTTTGTAAAAAAGGTGTAACATGATTATTACTCGTGTTTCGTGTTGAACTTTATTAACGGGCAATGAAGAACATTATGCATGTTAATAGTGCCGTCAATGTATTGGTACCTTTCAAATATTGGAGACCCGTGAAGATTCCGGGGTAGAATAGGTCTTCAGCAACCCATACTTGCCGTAAAAGGCAACTATGCTTGTCGTAAAAGGCGACTAACGGGATCGGGTGGTCAGGCTCGCTGACTTGGTTGATGCATGTCATCGATCCCCATTGCGTAGATCGATGCTCATGATGTCAATAACTGGTTGTCTGGTCCAGACTCGATTATTTTACGGACTGTCGTCATATAGCTGGAATATTGCTGAGTGCGGCGTTAAACAACAAACAAACAAACAAACAAATATTGGATACTATAAATTTTATTTTTTCAGATTCACCTGACATATCTCGTTACGAACATACACTCCGATAGTGTCCCAAAACGAACACGACCCGTCTACAACTGATACTGTTTTGAAATTAATTTCTCATTTCCTTCTGTCGATCATGATACATTATTCATACGCATACTGATTATCGTTCTATGTGAACCAATAATGCAAGATCTCATACGTTCTAATAGGGTGATATCTCCATTAAGTCCGCTCTACGAATACAAACGAGTTATATTCTGATTAGGAATATATTGGATTCATGTGTTAGGTTAACTTGATGTTGCTTTATTTATGTTGTTATGTATAATGCCCCGCTTTTTATTGACCTTGGTTTGTATGTTCACTGTGCTTCTGAATACTTATGCAGCGCTAAATAAACTTTATGCAAGTAGATACTTTGGGTTGTTTCTCACTTTTTCACTGTTATGGTTGAGTCCGGAAACTCACATAAATGAGATCGATAACGTTCTCAGAAGGATCACACGACCATTACAAGGAGATGGATGAGGCTGACAACCCCATTGTCGTACGCCGGATGCCGAGCCCTGTTAAGAGGTATTCCAGATCTAGATGCGGCTGTCCTGCACGCTGGATGCCATGAAATGTTTTTTTTCTGGTTCGCAGACGCCAATATTTCGATGATGAAATTATTTTATAATTTTCGTCCTTTTTCTTGTAAAGATTGAAAATCAATTAAATATATAGTCCAATGCTTATGAGTTCGAATGGCCATGCATTCTATGTGGAAATCCCAGTCTAATTACTTCTACAGCTGTGTACACTGATATGACTCAAGAGTTGTTGAAAAGAATGCCAAGATAAATGAACTCAGTCTGGTATGCAAGTTGCTTAAAGAGGGGGGCGGTCGGGTAGCCTTGAGATTAAAGCGTTCGCTTGTTACGCCGAAGACCCATGTTCGAGTCCCGACAATGTGTGAAGCCCATTTATGGTGTCCCCCGCCGTGATAGTGCGGGAATATTGCTAAAGGCGGAGTAAAACCAAACTCACTCACTCGCTTAAAGAGGGGTGGGGGGTGGTGGTATCCGGGAGGATGAGATGACATTATGGTTGTTAACCTGAGTGATGAGGAAATATGCGCAATATCAATAGCCTATTATGATTATGATTCTAATAGCTAACACTTCTACAAACAGTAAACAACAAGTTACATGCGAACAACAAACACACCGAGGGGATTCCTCAGTTCGACGTGAAACAACAAACAAACACGAAACACAAACAGCAAACGAAACGCTCATTATTGGACCAACGTTAATTGTCAACTTTTGATTAAATATGGTCTGAATTAGCCACGAATTGAAGTCGTTGTGATTAAATAACAAAGCCAAGTGTTACCAGCTGGAGTGCTAATTGAAGGTATGAAATGATGATATGTAACCAACATGGGATATATCGAAATGTTTTTGGTCTCCTACAGAAAATGATCAGGTTCGATTATCTGCCGACAAATATATCATTGAAATTCAGTGATAGCACCTGGTGTTCGCGTGGCGGATAGCATGTCCTTCTATATCGCTTCAACCCTCCAGACACAAGTTTCATAAAAGAAAGTGCCAGACATTAAGGAGGTGTGAAACTCGAGTGAGTGAGTGAGTTTTGTTTAACGCCGCTTTTCATAGTATTCCAGTTATATCACGGCGTGTCAGCTTAATGTTGGAGGAACGCCCGAAGTGATACAGGTCTCAGACGTTTACCACTTTGGTGAAACCCACGAGCACGGATATGGTGCTGACAAACCTAGAAACATAATCGGGGGAACCGGGATTCGAACCCACAATCATAGGATTCTGGCGTGCCCAAGGGACGCAACTCTGCACAGCGAATCGCGGCGCCTTAGACGACTGGGCCACCCGTGACCCCTGTGAAACTCGGAGATGAGGTCATATAACGGGATTACATCGCATATCATGTTGGGTAGGGACGCGTTATAGTTAGTTATTACCTCTGAATGTTTGCCATACCATTTCTAGAATGACTTAACCAGACCGTTTACGGTAAAACGATAATTGTTATGCTCAGTTGTGAGTTGAGGGTTGACATCCCTATCAGTACACTATCCTGGGGAATACATTTATATAGGGAAGCGGAGTGCGGAGCGATATTCGACCATAGTGACGATACGGACTTTGCCTGGACTTTTAATATCATCATATCAAACGATACATCGAGAACATTTGGTTCGAGTTAACGAATGAATATGGTTTTCTCCTCTTTTTCAACCCGAACTTAAAATTATTCAATTCAAAATCCACCATCGAATATTTAAATGTCTATCAAAACGACCACAATTTTCTATCGGATCGATATTTTATCGATACACTATTCATGAATCAGGGCCACCTACCCCAGAGTGCGCATGTTTAGATATTTGATAAATACATGCACTTACATTAAAGATATACAGACAGTAATATTTTTTACTTTCATAATTTCATGGGTAGATTGTTCCACGAAATACATGGACGTAAAGACCATAGTGATTCACAGACACGTGTGATTGACATAGTCGGAATCGTACAAAGAACTCTGCTTTTAGCATCGATTTCTTATGCATATTGAAAGGATGTTGTCGCTTTATGATATGACTAATTTTATAGTATATTCATTAGTGTTAGATAGAATATTGATAAATTTATGAAATGATTGTTCTACATATAAATATATGTATGTTTTAGCTAGTTAGGTGTTCATGGTTAAGTTCTAATGCATGTCTATTTATGCACCAATAATGCCACAGTGTTATATCAATCCATTACCAATAACACAATATATCAGCATCGAGTGGCTGAGTACCATTGCTAGTACAGTATGGCCCACTATCCCCATCCCTATCTCTGATAAGTAAAACTCTCCAATCCCATTGCGTCAGCTAATGAGGAACACATGTCCAATATCGATAGATCGATTCATCAAACCATTCTAAATAAACAGGGTTGAGCCAAAAATCAATCAACAATACGGAAACAATCTGTTTCTCATTTTACTGGTTGGTCTGGTGACGATTGAAGAAAGTGACAATAACTTCCAAACAGTGACGGATATTGCCCCAAGTTGCGAATTAATAAATCGACTAAATCATAAAAGCAGAACAATACTTGCATATTGCAGCACTTAACACGCCAGGAGGAGGTCAATAGTCATGTTGGATTTATCGAGTAGTCACAGACCGATAGATGGTGAGCCCCGTCACGGGTTTTGGTTGCTAGAATTAATCGTGAAGTTCAGCTTCACAGACCTTCATACAACAACGTCAATTAGAACTAAGGGACGTAACATCATGACGTTACTATACGTTGTCTACCTTCTGATGGTGGGGTGTTCGGCGACGCTGTATCAGGGGCTGTTTTCCGGGGCGCCATCCTGCAGGAAACAACACGTGTTTGATGAAGTCATTGTTGGGATTGTACCAGTGTCCACTCTCGCTGAGTGTGTCCTGGAGTGTCTGGGGTACCCCAAGTGCCTGTCCTTCAACTACTGCACGGTCGACAGCGTCACCACGTGTCAACTCTCCACAGAACCTACCGACGGCACGTGTGATCAACTCAAGCCTAAACCTGGATGTAACTATTACGAGAAGGCAGGTAATAATAATTCTACTGCACCAGGTACCATTCACAAGACCCGGAAGTTATTGCGAGTCAGTACGCAAGGAAAGTTAAAACGTTATTCCGAGTCATGTATACTATCATACATTGCCCCTTATCTCAATGTATAATATATATGGACGGTTGACATTTAACGACTAACGGGATTTGGAGGTCAGGATCGCTGTCTTGGTTGATGCATGTCATCGTATCCCAATTGCGTAGTTCGATGTTCGTGATGTCAATCACTGGATTGTTTGGTCCAGACTCGATTATTCACAGACCGCCATCAAATAGCTGGAATTGCTGAGTGCGGCATTAAACAACAAACAAACATAAATAGCATTCACTATGTTTAATATGATCACACATAACACAGCAAAAACACATTGGTTTCCGGAATATGGATACCAACAAGAAACCAAATGGAAAGTTAAGTATCTTGATGGGTTCGTTTGGTTAACAATTTCTCTTTAATTATTAATTAATGGTTTCCGTGATTTGGTCTGAGAAACAAATGAAAACGTTTTCTGTTGGTTCACGGCGATAATTCTATCGATTTCTAATCTCACTAAAATCAGAACGTAGTTCTCGCTAACGCTAAACAAAGATCTGAGGACATCCCATTACGGGTCACGTCAGAAAGACCGTTCATCCGACCGATCAAAGCGTCGCTTACCAGATCATGAAAGTGACAGTTGGAATGTGTTTTCTAATCATGCGACCTCGAAAACGTTAACACGGGGTATTCCGAACGACAGTTACGGCCCGTACGACCGATTCCGTCAAAATGATCGTCTATCTCTCGCTTCCGTGGGATAAACATTTGAACGGAGGAGGCGTTGCACAGTGCGTAGGAAGCGCTGCCATACAATCGCAACCATATATTAGACATTCCGGAATGTTCTTTTGTTCAGTTTTCAAAATTTTAATCGAGAACAGTGTCACCATAGTTTTCAAGCGTAGTCTGAAATGGAAGTTACCAAGTTGAAACGAGTGCCGTAAAGCTCGAGAAAACTGCTTTCTAATTGGCTGATGTCGACTTCTTGTTTGTCAGTGGTCGGTCAAAGTTCGCGAAAGGTCGTTCTGGCGTGACCCGTAATGGGATGTCCTCAGATCTTTGTTTTAGCGGCAGCGAGAACTAAGATCTGATTCTAATTAGAGTAATCGATTTCGTGCATTCCGTTTGGCTTTGGCCAAAACGTAAATATATATATATTCTGGAAGGTTTGCCAATAGAAGGGGTCGTAGCTAGCAAGATACTGCTGCTGAATGAGATGCGTTTACATCTGACGCCTTGAAGAGTGCGTGATGATGACAGCTCGCGATCCGATGTAGTTTGTTCAGTAGTGCTCATACCTCTCGTGTTATATCTACTGTTACGCAACTCTTTTGTTTATCACAGGTGATCATATCCGTGAATCACCTGTCTTACAATAGAAGTAACACATGCTCAGGTGTTCATACACGTGAATAGGTGTTCATACAGACAAGACGTGAAAGTTTATTCCGCTTCTGCCAGTGTGTAAATTAGTTAATAACCTTGACCTTGAGGATCACGTCAGATGAACACCCGAGTACGTGCATTGCACCTTGACCCTCGAGGTCAGGGCTGGAACATGTTACTCATTACTCCAACGTGTTTTGTTCCAGCTGTGAGTATGGTGTCCACTGCTAAAGTGTCAAAGTACAGCCTGCATTGAAGACAAGGCCATGGCCGTTAGCTGGAGCAGACGACAGTTGGCGGAAACAGCTGGATCTGTAAATATGTGTGTTTATAACAGAAGTACATTGTGTATATCAATCCTCATTAGCAACGGGGCGGTCGGGTAGCCTAGTGGTTAAAGCGTTCGCTCGTCACGCCGAAGACCCGGGTTCGATTCCCGATATGGGTATAATGTCTGAAGCCCATTTCTGGTGTGCCCCGCCGTGATATTGCTGGAATATTGTTAAAAGCGGCGTAATACCATACTCATTCATTAGGAACACGCATTAAAAATGAAGTTTTCTAACTACTGTGGATACTCTTAAGAAACATCGGCATGAACATCGCGTCTTTGGACGGAAGACAATGGACGGTCCACCTGAAGAGGAAGAATCCATGGAACAGAGGTCTGTGGTGGAGTCATTTGTGACCAACTCGTGTTATTCCGGGACAAGCCGAATAGTGACTCGTGCCCCTATCGTGGCCGTTTGTGCGACGGGGTTCCGTCTAAGAGCAAAGGGGCATAGCTAAAAGAATTGTCAACTCGTTGCGTATATTCACGTATATTTTCCCCATGTATTATTATATATAACATGTAATTTAAAGCACATCGGGACATGCGGTATTATACAGTATGACTGAACACATTTAACTGTATCTTGGGTATAATTCTAGATGCAAAGCATATGTAAATATATAAAAATAATCTTGAGGGATTCTTTGACCGAAGAACTACGCGCATTTTGATTTGTTGTCGTATTTTCGCACATAACATTCATATTAAAACCCTGTTTTTCAGGAACACCCAGCGGGCACATACTGTTGCGTAGATATACATAAGACATAAAACAGACAAGATATATTCAGTAATTAGGGTCGTCGGTCCAAATGTAAATATGTAAATAATAACAATAATTTCAATAATTTATATTTAATTGATCATAAATGAAAATAGCATAATCTAAGGTTCTGAGAAAACCCAGTTGCCATTCTGATACTTTTATCTGCTGATGACATAAAACTACGAGGTACTGACTCCTAGTGGTCGTATATCGTTCATATATCATAAAAACGAAAACAAAAAATTTCAACAAAACACATCAATCACTGGATTGTCTGGTCCAGACTCGATTATTTACAGACCGCCGTCATATAGCTGGAATATTGCTGAGTGTGGCGTAAAACAACAAACCAACCAACCAACAAAACATCTCTCATGAAAATAGCAACATATGCTAAGTCTATTTGATAAGGAATATTTAAGTATGTACCACCAACCTAAAATAATCACACCTGTACTTTGATAATAGTTTGATTAAATACATGGGCATGCCATACGATAGGGAGGGATTTAATAAATATTTCAACCTTTGTTATGTCTGCATTGTGATGGTTGATCAATGCTAAGATGTCAGTTTTATATTAGACAATAAAGGAATCTTTGTTTGCTTTTTAAAAGGAAAAGATTGCCGTCACCAACATTTTGTGTTATCGAACACGAACACGAACACGAAAACAAAATGCATAGAAAATATTTCTCATATGACACAGTGCCCATGGTGTTTTTCCATAATCATCCAAAGATCATATAAGACTGATATAGAAGTAAAAAAAGCCATTAAATACGTACCCATAATCCATTAATCAGGAAACCCGTTAATCGGTCAATTCCACTGTCGTCGGAACCCCCGTACATGTGACCCCGTGCAGCTAAACATTTCCATGGATACCATTTTGTTAATGTGCACGTGCAAGTGTTTCTAGTTGTAACGATAATCAGTGGGAGTATTAGAAACGACGTGTCTGCAGATACACCTCTGTAAATATCAGTAATAAAGACTTCACAATCCTGTTGTCATGGTTACCACATTTTGCGACCACAGACTGTGTTTACAGATAAATATGCGAGAGAAAATCAGTGTTCATCCACACACACACCTACCTTGGCTTTCCCTGCTCTTTAAACACCAGTGTACATTGCGGTGAGTGAGTGAGTGAGTGTGTGAGTGAGTGAGTGAACAGTAATATTCATTCTAGGACATTGAACCCCGGCCAGTGGTTGATAGCATGAGCTGTTAATCAAGACCGTTTGGCTAGAAGATACACTTTTGATTTCAGGGGTACTTTTTATTGTACACCAGCAGCGACAGATTAGTGAGTGGATGGGCTGGTTTACCACCGCTTTATATTAAACCGTTTTTTCGTTTTATCAGCTCGATGTGATACAGGTCTTAGACACTAACGACTTAGGTGCTTACAAACCTAGAAACATAATCACGGCGAATCTGGGATTCGAACTCACACATGAGGTTCTGATGCACCTAAGAGACCCCATCCCCGGGAAGACACAAAAAAAAGTACTGTTTCCAATGAAGAATTTTGGTGCAGTCCAGTGCTGTTTAATTAGCTGTACACTCGGCTGTCTTTGATTATCATCATCATCATAATCATCATCATCATCATAATCATCATCATTATTATTATTATTATTATTAGCATTATGTGACGTCATCATTGTTGGTATTACATTGCCAGGAAACATTATGCTGGTTGGAGTCAGTGTGAAGCGCCTGTTCCCTGAGTAATCATGACACGGACCAGTCCGATTGCCGTCATATTTCAGAGTAGACTTTGTTTCCCTTGCCGCACCGAAACACGAACAGCAACCCTGTCTGTAACAAGAGGGAAAGTGAGTGAGTTTAGTTAAGCGCCGCTTCGTACAATATTTCAGTTATATAAGTTATATCACGGCGTTTCAGTCTGATGTGGGATGAGGGCGAATCAGGGATTCGAACCCACGATCAAAGGGTTCTCTGCGGAAAGAATGCGCCTTATAGTTAGACGATGCAAGTCTTACTTAAGTACTTTATGCTTTGGTGTAACCAACGAACATGGTGCTGACAAATCAAGAAACAGGCGAATCCGAGATTTGAACCCACTACAAATGTGTCTGGTAGCGGTATGGAAGCTTCGTGTCTGTTATTGAAAAAGAAACGAAAGTTCCCCCTCAAATTTTATTGTCCTTACTGTATATCTAGCGCGTGAAATATGTTTCCAGAGCCTTTCTCATGCCTCGCTCTTTGACGATTTCGAGATTTTTTGGTTAGATTATCAACAAATCACAAAATTGTGAATACGAACATGACAGCAATACGTTAGCCCTTGAATATATGTAGTTTGCATATATGTTGTTGCGTGGAACCCTCTAGCATACAGACCATTAACGTAAGTTCTTTAATCAGATCAAATGCGTTTTAATCGATGTCTTGATATTCGTTATTGTAATTGTAAAACGCTGCATCAATAATTGACTGAATCGCCATTGTCGAGCTGTCTCTGAGCGTGCATTAGTGTTGACTCATAGCAATGCGATCGATATATAGATATTTCTAAGTGTTGATACGAGTACCATTTTAGATTTTAGGGATTAGTTTAGATCGACGATTGTCGGGAAACTGGGACTGCTGCAATGTCGGTTTGAATTGGAATAGGTTAATTGAACGACTGGATAGCTAAGTAGCTGGATGCTAAAGGCATTATTAATCACTCTAAAATTGGAAGTTCTACAGCCTCTATTCATCCTGCATATGTCTGTGAAGGTAGGCACATCTACTTTCTATTTGTACACTCACGTGACGTGCCACCTTCATCACCCACACACACCCGTGTCAACAATACTAAGTCAAATTAAAAACTTCACATTTTTAAAAGTAATCCCATATATGATATACAACGGACAAATGTATAAGAGAAGGTAATTTTTAATCATTAATGTCCAAAGAAGGATTTTATTAACGGTGGTAACCATAATTTGTTCCAAGCACCTACGGTATTCGGTAATAACATCAATAGTTTAAATCAAAAGTCCCAAGCACAAGAATCTGATGGCACACAAGATCAGTAGCGTGTATGGCCACCATGTGCGTTGACAACTGCCACACAACGCCTCCGCATAGACCTTGTGATGCTTGTGAACACATGATTGGGAAGACGACGCCATTGTTGCTGCAAAATGGTGCCAAGATCTTTCAAATTCTGTGGTTGGTTCTGGAGAGTGCGCAGACTTCTGCCAAGAGCATCCCAGACGTGTTCGATGGGATTGAGGTCGGGAGACCTTGACGGCCAGTCTATGACGTTGACTCCCGCATTCTGAAGGAAATTCCTTGTCAAAATTGCTGTGTGGGGTCTGGCATTGTCGTGTTGGAAGATCAAACCGGGTCCATGTGCTGCCATAAAAGGCAGAAGTTCTGGTGCCAGTACCTGGTCGCGGTAAGCAGCAGCGTTGAGGTTGCCACGGATGACAAGAAGCCTGGAACGTGCATTGCCGCAGAAAGCACCCAACACCATGACACTTCCGCCTCGAAATCTGTCAACTTCCTGTACACAACACTGGGCATAAGTTCATGACGGCGCCTCCACACCCTCGCCCTACCATCAGCAAATCGAAGATTAAATCGGGATTCATCATTGAAGACGACTTGAGTCCAGACGTTGACGTGTGTGTAATTGAGTCAGATTCGGCCCGCAGTATGGCCGTCGTGCTTTAAGGTGAGCAGTTCTCAGACGGTTTCGAACAGTTTGCGAACTCAGTCTACCCATAAACAGTTCATTTCTGGTTGATGTAGCCGTCAAAAATCGGTTACGGAGGTGACGTAAGACAATCTGACGATCCTCTGCATGTGACGTCTCACGTTGTCGACCTGGCCGAGGGCGATCAGCGGTGCTACCCGTTTGCTGTAGACGCGTCTGTAAATCATAAACAGTCCGTCGACTTCAACCCATATCGTCCTTGCGACTTCAGCTACGGACGTTCCCGTCTGCAACATGCCGATGGCACGTTCACGTTGCACATTTGAAAGGCGTGGCATGACAAATGGCCGTAAAGACTTTTGTTTTCTTGTGTTTTTCTTTTTTTGTAAATGACTGCTATGAAGTATGGCTGAAAACACGTGCGGTATTATGGCCACGTGACCAGTTGCACGTGAAAAACCACTTTTGCCAATATAGTGCTGTGCACATGATTTTGATCGATTCACCTGCACAAAAACGGGTGTTATCTGAAGACAATACGTGCCCATTACTGTTTAAATACACAATAAGGGCCCACAATGATAACTGGTCAAAATGTTAAAATTTTAGGATTGTGAAGTTTTTAATTTGGTTCAGTATACATGACACACACACGTGACGTGTCACCTTCATGACATACACACACATACACACACACATACGTATCACCTACATGACACACACACAAGTGATGTGTCACCAAAAATTATACACACGTGGCGTGTCATCTACATCACACACACACGTGATGTGTCACGAAGAATCACACACACACGTTGTCACAACAATCAGTCACGTGACACCTACATGTATGGCTCCGAACACGGAGTACCAGAAGCTGTAGTTAGGAAGTAGTTCAGCTCCCGATGCCTTCCGTACAAACTTCTGGAAGATTACCCCTCCGACGATGTACAGGATCACACAACCTGAAATTCTGTCGAATAAACATCGTGCATTTGTCGTTAGTATTCCATGTCTCTTCAGTACCATTTTACATTGCAATAGTTTCAGGACAATTCTACATCAGGACAGGGATGTTATGTCATAAGTGAGTGAATTTTCAAAAACTTAATATTCTCATTATGTGGTCGGATGATATAAACATGGTCAACGAGTGATTGAAATGTGAAATGTACCTACATATCCACACTATATGTCGGATGACCAAAACATCGTTGAACTTCAGATCGCGAGTGAGTGAGTGAGTGAATTGGGTTTAACGCCGCTTTTAACATTATTCCAGTTATTTCACGGCGTGTCAGCTTAATGTGGGAGGAAAGCCCGAAGTGATGCAGGTCTCAGACGTTTACAACTTCGGTGAAACCCACGAGCACGGGTATGGTGCTGACAAACCTAGAAACATAATCGGGGCGAACCGGGATTCGAACCCACAATCAGAGGTTTCTTGCATGCCCAAGGGACGCAACTCTGCACAGCGAATCGATTAGACGACTGGGCCACGCGTGTCCCCACTTCAGATCGTGACTGAGCTGGTTTTAATCTCTCCATTAAAAGTATAATATTATATATTTTAACTACGTGTCAGATAAAGATAAAATAAGAAAATCCCTTAATTACACAGATCGTAGACATTTTACTACATTTGTGAAACTCAAGATCACGTGTAAGATACAGAGACCAAGGATCCTGGCACGACAAAGGGCCGCAACTCTGAATGGTGCCGTGGTGGATGCATTCTGGGTTTAATTAAAGGTAAATTAAGTTGTCAACTTACGCAATAACGACGACGGTTCCTATTGAAACAGGACCCGACCCCTCTCCCCCTCCGCTCCCTGGACAGGCGTGTTTACTGTGAAGCGTTAAGTACTGAAACAGACACGCAGTCCATGACACTGTGTGTTTCGAGGTTATTTGCAAATTAAACGCAGAGGTACAGAAATAAATTATGAAATATATTGACTATGTAGATCAATAAATAACTCATAAGTATGAAACACACAGGTTGAGGTATCAAACAAGACCATAACATGGGTCAAATTAGTGTCAGCAGCAAAAAGGAACCGGTCCTAGAATTAGTGTAAGTGCTCTCATGAATATTCTGAATTTTGTCACGGTCGACTGCCCTGAAACAGCCTTTGGGAAGTCGGATCAGGTCGTAAAAGGCATCAGCCTTCTAGAAACTGTCTCATCCCGAAACTCCTCGACCGACCACGACTGTCGTGTTTGTCGAATTCAAAGGAAGGTAATACTTCCTGTAACAATCTGTACCACTAGACATTTTACCAGCCCTTAAATCATTTCACTACAGGTGAGTTACAACAAACTGCCACAGACAAATTGAACAATTACACTGTTATGTGTGCATTCATGCATACACCATCACATGCATACACACGTCACTGTAATATGTTATAAGCTCTCTACATGATAGTTTACATACATATTGCTGGCTCCTGGCCGGTTTTTCCCCCGTCACGTCAAGTTTACCGGTCACTTTTTTATCACACTTCAACGTCACGTAGAGCGTTCTGTAAATTGAAATTAAACATCACAAGTAAGGGGCGGCGGATGATATGATAGCAGGAACGTCAGTCGAACACACAACAACACCGTGTTCGATTTCTCCTTCCATGGGACCTTCCTAATATGAGTGAGTGAGTGAGAGAGTTGGTCAGATCAGGTGTGTGGTGTGGTGGCGAGGTGAGGTGAAATGGGGTTTAACGTCGCGTCCAAGATTATTGCACGTATATAGCGACTTGCATGTACGTGTGTGTGTTTGTGTGGCTGCTTGTACTAGTCCGGACTGATGCCGATTTATAGTGCTAGCTCACTGAGATACCATGCCTCAGTTTAACATGAATACCCCACTCAGACACAGTATACTGACTCCGAGCCGACCAGTCCTTGTTTTAGCTCCTAAATGCCGAGCGCCAGACAGGGTAACAACAAGTACCATCTTTGAACGTCTTTTGGTATGACGCGGTCAGGGATCGAACCCCGGACCTTCCGCTCTCCGGGCGGACGCTCTACCACTAGACCACGGAGGCGGTCAGGTGTGTATGTGTGAGTGAGTGAGTGGGTCGGGTGGGAGTGAGTGAGTGAGTGAGTGAGTGAGTGAGTGAGTGAGTGAGCATTGGACGGATGGTTTAGTTGAATGAATGGGTGAGTAAGTCAGTGACTGCGAAGAGTTTCACTCCGCTTTTAACAATATCCCAGTGATATCACCACGGGGTACATCAGAAATGAGCTGCAAACAGTGTACACATATGGAGAATCGAACCCGGAACTTCGGCGTCACGAGCAAATGCTTTAACCATACTACTGACTCACCTGTCCTGTATCTGCCCTCCGTTATGTCATTGATTTGACTCACCTCGCTCCGTCTGTGTACTCTACTGTACTGCATATCAATTATTTGACTCACCTCGCTCCGTCTGTGTACTCTACTGTACTGCATATCAATTATTTTACTCACCTCGCTCCGTCTGTGTAATGTACTGTACTGCATATCATTTATTTGACTCACCTCGCTCCGTCTGTGTACTCTGCTGTGCTGTGCTGCATATCAATTATTTGACTCACCTCGCTCCATCTGTGTACTGTACTGTATATCAGCTTTTTTACTCACCTCGCTCCATCTGTGTACTGTATTGTATATCAATTATTTGACTCACCTCGCTCCATCTGTGTACTGTATTGTATATCAATTATTTGACTCACCTCGCTCCATCTGTGTACTATACTGTATATCAATTATTTGACTCATCTCGCTCCATCTGTGTACTGTACTGTATATCAGTTTTTTTACACACCTCGCTCCATCTGTGTACTGTATTGTATATCAATTATTTGACTCACCTCGCTCCGTCTGTGCACTGTGCTGTGCTGTGCTGCATATCAATTATTTGACTCACCTCGCTCCATCTGTGTACTGTACTGTATATCAGTTTTTTTACTCACCTCGCTCCATCTGTGTACTGTATTGTATATCAATTATTTGACTCACCTCGCTCCGTCTGTGCACTGTGCTGTATATCAATTATTTCACTCACCTCGCTCCGTCTGTGTACTGTACTGTATATCAATTATGTGACTCACCTCGCTCCATCTGTGTACTGTACTGTATATCAATTATTTGACTCACCTCGCTCCATCTGTGTACTGTATATCAATTATTTGACTCACCTCGCTCCATCTGTGTACTATACTGTATATCAATTATTTGACTCACTTCGCTCCGTTTGTGTGCTGTACTGTATATCAATTATTTGACTCACCTCGCTCCATCTGTGTACTATACTGTATATCAATTATTTGACTCACTTCGCTCCGTTTGTGTGCTGTACTGTATATCAATTATTTGACTCACCTCGCTCCATCTGTGCACTGTGCTGTATATCAATTATTTGACTCACCTCGCTCCATCTGTGTACTATACTGTATATCAATTATTTGACTCACTTCGCTCCGTTTGTGTGCTGTACTGTATATCAATTATTTGACTGACCTCGCTCCATCTGTGTACTGTACTGTATATCAATTATTTGACTCACCTCGCTCCATCTGTGTACTGTATTGTATATCAATTATTTGTCTCACCTCGCTCCATCTGTGTACTGTACTGTATATCAGTTATTTGACTCACCTCGCTCCGTCTGTGTACTGTATTGTATATCAATTATTTGACTCACCTCGCTCCGTCTGTGCACTGTGCTGTATATCAATTATTTGACTCACCTCGCTCCGTCCGTGTACTGTACTGTATATCAATTATGTGACTCACCTCGCTCCATCTGTGTACTGTATTGTATATCAATTATTTGACTCACCTCGCTCCGTCCGTTCACTGTACTGTGCTGTATATCAATTATTTGTCTCACCTCGCTCCATCTATGTACTATACTGTATATCAATTATTTGACTCACCTCGCTCCCTCTGTGTACTGTATTGTATATCAATTATTTGACTCACCTCGCTCCGTCTGTGTACTGTGCTGTATATCAATTATTTGTCTCACCTCGCTCCATCTATGTACTATACTGTATATCAATTATTTGACTCACCTCGCTCCCTCTGTGTACTGTGCTGTACTGTATATCAATTATTTTACTCACCTCGCTCCGTCTGTGTAATGTACTGTACTGCATATCATTTATTTGACTCACCTCGCTCCGTCTGTGTACTCTGCTGTGCTGTGCTGCATATCAATTATTTGACTCACCTCGCTCCATCTGTGTACTGTACTGTATATCAGCTTTTTTACTCACCTCGCTCCATCTGTGTACTGTATTGTATATCAATTATTTGACTCACCTCGCTCCATCTGTGTACTGTATTGTATATCAATTATTTGACTCACCTCGCTCCATCTGTGTACTATACTGTATATCAATTATTTGACTCATCTCGCTCCATCTGTGTACTGTACTGTATATCAGTTTTTTTACACACCTCGCTCCATCTGTGTACTGTATTGTATATCAATTATTTGACTCACCTCGCTCCGTCTGTGCACTGTGCTGTGCTGTGCTGCATATCAATTATTTGACTCACCTCGCTCCATCTGTGTACTGTACTGTATATCAGTTTTTTTACTCACCTCGCTCCATCTGTGTACTGTATTGTATATCAATTATTTGACTCACCTCGCTCCGTCTGTGCACTGTGCTGTATATCAATTATTTCACTCACCTCGCTCCGTCTGTGTACTGTACTGTATATCAATTATGTGACTCACCTCGCTCCATCTGTGTACTGTACTGTATATCAATTATTTGACTCACCTCGCTCCATCTGTGTACTGTATATCAATTATTTGACTCACCTCGCTCCATCTGTGTACTATACTGTATATCAATTATTTGACTCACTTCGCTCCGTTTGTGTGCTGTACTGTATATCAATTATTTGACTCACCTCGCTCCATCTGTGTACTGTACTGTATATCAGTTTTTTTACTCACCTCGCTCCATCTGTGTACTGTATTGTATATCAATTATTTGACTCACCTCGCTCCGTCTGTGCACTGTGCTGTATATCAATTATTTCACTCACCTCGCTCCGTCTGTGTACTGTACTGTATATCAATTATGTGACTCACCTCGCTCCATCTGTGTACTGTACTGTATATCAATTATTTGACTCACCTCGCTCCATCTGTGTACTGTATATCAATTATTTGACTCACCTCGCTCCATCTGTGTACTATACTGTATATCAATTATTTGACTCACTTCGCTCCGTTTGTGTGCTGTACTGTATATCAATTATTTGACTCACCTCGCTCCATCTGTGTACTATACTGTATATCAATTATTTGACTCACTTCGCTCCGTTTGTGTGCTGTACTGTATATCAATTATTTGACTCACCTCGCTCCATCTGTGCACTGTGCTGTATATCAATTATTTGACTCACCTCGCTCCATCTGTGTACTATACTGTATATCAATTATTTGACTCACTTCGCTCCGTTTGTGTGCTGTACTGTATATCAATTATTTGACTGACCTCGCTCCATCTGTGTACTGTACTGTATATCAATTATTTGACTCACCTCGCTCCATCTGTGTACTGTATTGTATATCAATTATTTGTCTCACCTCGCTCCATCTGTGTACTGTACTGTATATCAGTTATTTGACTCACCTCGCTCCGTCTGTGTACTGTATTGTATATCAATTATTTGACTCACCTCGCTCCGTCTGTGCACTGTGCTGTATATCAATTATTTGACTCACCTCGCTCCGTCCGTGTACTGTACTGTATATCAATTATGTGACTCACCTCGCTCCATCTGTGTACTGTATTGTATATCAATTATTTGACTCACCTCGCTCCGTCCGTTCACTGTACTGTGCTGTATATCAATTATTTGTCTCACCTCGCTCCATCTATGTACTATACTGTATATCAATTATTTGACTCACCTCGCTCCCTCTGTGTACTGTGCTGTACTGTATATCAATTATTTGACTCACCTCGCTCCCTCTGTGTACTGTATTGTATATCAATTATTTGACTCACCTCGCTCCGTCTGTGTACTGTGCTGTATATCAATTATTTGTCTCACCTCGCTCCATCTATGTACTATACTGTATATCAATTATTTGACTCACCTCGCTCCCTCTGTGTACTGTGCTGTACTGTATATCAATTATTTGACTCACCTCGCTCCGTCTGTGTACTGCACTGTATATCAATTATTTAACCCACCTCGCTCCGTCTGTGCACTGTACTGCATATCATTTACTTAACTTACTTCGCTCCATCTGTGTACTGTATCTGTAGCCCATCTGTCACGTCATTTATAAACTGTGCTTTGTCCTGCTTGCCCACACTGGCGAAGTCTCCAGTATTCGTGTCTTGCTGACAGCCCTGATAACAGAAGAGAGTCAATTCGTCATTTGAACACTCTCATCATCACGGACATTGGATCCTATTTAACATTCTAGTTCAATATGACTGTTGCTAACCGGGAAGCCTGAAATGTAATTGGTTCGGTGTAATGGCGTGAGTAAGTGAATTGTATTTACGCCGCTTTTAACTTTTAGCAATATCGTAGCAATTCACACGTTGAACCAATTAGCGTATCGAGTCCGAACCTTCGCGACGAGCCAGCGCTTTAACCACAAGGCTACCCCGCCGTCTCAGGTTAAAAGGATGTCACCAAGGTGGGAATGAGATATCATTAATAAACGGAACTTCAGAGACTTAAGTGTTTCCGTGTTATTTCTGCATAACTGTGTATATCAAAACGACTACGCTGTGTTCTAACGCCATCATGTAGCATGCATATAAATACAATAAACTACGGTTAGAACGAACCGAAAGGGATCACTAATTTTAGTTCGTTATAACCGAAGTTCGTTATAAGCATGTGTGCAGAATATATACAGCAGGTTAGCGTGGTTTTATACTGCGACTTCATGCCATGGGACACTAGAAACGGGCTTCACACATTGTACACATATAGAGAATCAAACCCGGGCCTCAGACGTTCAGATCGAAGACTGTAACCACTATGCTACCCCATCATCCCTGCGGGTTGTGAAAATCAGTACTTTACCGCGACTCCGATGCAGGTGCCCTCGGTGAATGGATTACACGGATTCCAGGAATACTTGAAGTACCCCTTGGGGTCCAACAGGTCAGTGAATCTGAAACAGGCATCAAAACTTTAGCGCCTGAAGGTATCCATTCTCAATTCTCTGTCACATCAAGACGAGCGCCATATGCACAGACGGGAACTCTCGTGGGTAACATCCTCGTTTATCCAGGGTATAATTTCACTTCTATTCTGATAAATACCCTTGACCCATTCGCAAACCGAATCTTTGTATTGAGTCTCGAATGGCACAACTTGAAACTCATAGCTACCGTGAAGATTCGGGATAGAATTGGTCTTCAGCAACCCATGCTTGCCGTAAGAGGCCTCCAACGGGATCGCTGTGGTGGTCAGTCTCGCTGACTGAGTTGACGTCACAATCAAATGACATCACTAATGGCCCTGCTACTGAAGCATTAAGCAGTACTTTTTACACTTAGACGCTGCTTATTACTGTCTACAAACTGAAATAGTTGGAAGAATGATGTTGGATGATAAATAAATCCTACCCTCGTGTCTTTTGATATCAAGTATATCAAGACTCGTTCGTGAACAGGTAAGCTCATACTGCCCCACAAGTTGCACCTGATCAATTAGAGTTCTTTACGAATTACAATACATGCATTAGTCACAGCGAAACTTTCATATAATCAAATTTGTAGTTGGAGAGGAGACATTGATTACTGCCAATATTGCCATATTGTGTTTGATACGTCCGAGCGATAATGTGATGCGATCGATCGATAGATACGTATCCTCCTATCGCAGCGTAGTGTATCAATGTAGCATAGTTTGATGGGGCCATACACTGGTGACCGTTGTCGGCCATCATACAAACGACTTACCCAATGCAGTCAGCCCGTCAGGCAAGGATGTGATCATGATACAGGGGGCCTGGTCCTTCTCGGAATCAACGTGCCATTGGTGTGAAGCGATGTGAAGCGATATACTTTGTATTGCATTCTTTTGTGTGTTATACTTGCTTGTACGAAGCGCCTTTTTGTCAACTTAAAGGCACGAGTAAAAATATTGAAACACGAATTTAACCATTTCCTTATTATCAACACTGAATACATAGCTGTTTTGAAGATTGAGTGAATATGGTTTTACGCCGCTTTTAGCAATATCCCAGCAATACCAAGACGGGGGACACTAGAAATGGGCTTAACACATTGAACCCATGTCGGGAATCGAACCCGGGTCTTTGGCGTGACGAGCGAACGCTTTAACCACTAGGCCATCCTACCACCCCCTGTTATGAAGAGGTAGGGTACGCGTCGTCTGTCATGACCCTTGTCGAGATACTGGGAACGTGGCCAACGCGTCGTCAATATGTAGAACGTGTCGTGTATGTTGAAATGGAGTGCTACCGAAAATTACTGATAAGTTTGAATTTTTTAAAATGATAATAAACATTATAGTGTTTCAGATTTGCGGCTGTTTTGGGGTATTTTATACCAGGAGATTTAATTTGTAAGGCATTAGATGGAGGTTTCAAATGCTAAAGATTTCAAATATTTAATAACACCCGCTAATCTGAAAACGTTTATTGACATTTAAAAGTTTCAAAACTATCAGTAATTTTCAAAAAACAGCTGTGAATGTTATGACGTCACGATAACCTGAGTGACGTCATATTCGTCTGTGACAACTGAACCTTTCTTGTTTGCGTGTGCAAAGAACAAAACAAATAAATCGAAATTATTCTCATAAATACAGTTTAGGCGTTAAATAATGAATGCACTAATAATTTCGCGAAGTTTTTTTATCGAAAAAACAACAACACTTAGATCTACTAAGAAAAACATACCAGGAAGGCCCAGAAGATTTCCGACTTTCATCACACTCCGGCGCAGTGGTGACTTAGCATAACACCACTGCCACAGGTATTTTACACATCACGTGACCGGACTTTTCTCTCGTTTGTAAACAAGCGTTTAATCAGAAAACAGAATAGACTGGCCAAATGCAAGCCTTTCGCTGCGCTTAACATATTGTTTTCATAATTATATAGATATGCTACTACAACGGCGACAGTGAGGTGCATGACAATATATGTCTGTATCAAAGTGTGGGGCGGTCGGGTAGCCTAGTGGTTAAAGTGTTCGCTCGTCACGCCGAAGACCCGGGTTCGATTCCCGACATGGGTAGAATGTGTGAAGCCCATTTCTGGTGTCCCCCGCCGTGATATTGCTGGAATATTGCTAAAAGCGGCGTAAAACCATACTCACTCACTCACTGTATCACAGTGACCGTATTGCCAGCTCTCCGTGGGGCTTCGATGACAGCACGTGGAGCAGGACAACAAATGTAAACAAAGGATAACAAATGGAAGTAGATTTTCACGTATTAGGATACTTTCTTTATGAACCGTAACCATTCTTTGACATTTGTTTATCAAAATGTGTAGACTTGTCAAACATGAAGCGGATGAAAAGCATGTGCAATATCTTGAATGGACTGTGACAGATGTGCCGAATCATCACTATGCTGGCTGCCGACTGCAAGGAACTCTAGGTAGGAGAGTAGGCTTTCATGTGCCATTTAACAATGTTTTCAACCAATCAGATTGTCGCACACAAACCCATTCACTTTACGGTACAATATAATGTGCATCGTGGCACTAACGCCGTTCTGAGCGTGAAACCCTTTATCCCTTGTTTTATATGAATATTCATTTAGACGCTGACTTTGAACCACATTGACAATAAATCGTTTTCTGCTGGAGTTTATGAGATTCCACATGAGCTGTAATATTTCAGAATGGGATAATAAAGCCTCAGTACTCACGCGGCCGTACCGTCGGTCTTTGCAAGGGGTGTGAGGTCGATCAATCCTTTTGAATCCCGACATGAGCAGGACGTAATCTTTTGACATAGTTCGGCTGAATTACACACAGGTAGGAAGACGCTACACAACACTGACAGTAGAAGCACAATAGACATATTCGTCAAGCGGCGTGTCCTTTTAAACTACAATGTGCATGCTGGGATCAAAGGTATTCAGATAACATAGGGGCCATGTTATCTGCTGATATTACTGTTAGGATGACAGCTCACTGAGCGCTATCACACTCAATGATATATTGAGACCATATATACTCGCTAGTAAGACCGCCTCCGTGGTCTAGTGGTAGAGCGGAGGGTCCGGAGTTCGATCCCCGGCCGCGTCATACCAAAAGACGTTAAAAGATGGTACTTGTTGTTACCCTGTCTGGCGCTCGGTATTAAGGGGCTAAAACAATTACTGGTCGGCTTGGAGTCAGTATACTGTGTCTGAGTGGGCTTTTCATGTTAAACTGCGGCATGGTATCTCAGTGAGCTAGCACTATAACTCGGTATCAGTCCGGACTAGTACAAGCAGCCACCGACACACGTGCATGCACGTCGCTATATAAGTGCAATAATCTTGGACGCGACGTTAAACGCAATTTCACCTCACATCACTAGTAAGTGACGGGTTGGTGAGTGAGTGAGTGGTTATTTTTGCTTATTGTTAACGCCGGACTCTGCAATATCCCAGATACATGACGACGGTATGTAAACAATCGAGTCTGGACCAGACAATCCAGTATTGACTCAATAAATCCCATTAGTCGTCCCTTTACGACAAGCATGGGTTGCTGAAGATCTTCACGGGTGGGTCGGGCGAGTGAGTGAGTGAGTGAGTGGGTGGAGTAAGCGAGTGATGCATGGGTGGATATTGGGTGGGTATTGTGTGAGTGGCAAGGGCCACTTATGGAAAACCTCCTGCCCTTAATATGTGCTCTAACTATAGAAAACCTCTTGCGTTTAATATGTGCTCTAACTACAGAAAACCTCCTGCCCTAAATATGTGCCCTAACTGTGGAAAACCTCCTGCCCATAATATGTGCTCCAACTATAGGATAACTGCTGCCCCTAATATGTGCTCTAACTATAGAAAACCTCCTGCCCTAAATATGTGCCCTAACTGTGGAAAACCTCCTGCCCATAATATGTGCTCTAGCTATAAGACAACTGCTGCCCCTAATATGTGCTCTAACTATAAAAAAAACCTCCTGCTCTTAATATGTGCTCTAACTACAGAAAACCTCCTGCGCTTAATATGTGCTCTAACTATATGAAACCTCCTGCCCTTAATATGTGCTCTAACTATAGAAAACCTCCTGCCCTTGATATGTGCTCTAACTATAAGATAACTGCTGCCCTTAATATGTGCTCCAACTACTGGTGTCCAACATATAGGAATATGTTTGATCCTGATGAGCAGAGATACGCTGGACACCGAGTGTGTCAATGGTAAATAGATGGACATTTTGTAGATAAAAGTTTGGATACGAATGTGTATGAATTGTGATTTTCCCTCTGTCACATGGATAATCTGTAGAAAGTCCAGAGACCCGGCGATATTCTATAGAAAGTTCCTCTCTCCCAGAGATATTTTTGCATTAAGGGGTGGTGGAGTAGCCTAGTGGTTAAAGCATTGGCTCGTCACGCCGAAGACCCGGTTTCGATTCCCCACATGTGTTCAACGTAGGAAGCCCATTTTCCGGTGTCCCCCGTCGTGATATTGTTGGAATATTGCTAAAGGGCGGCGTAAAACTCCCTATTTGGCATTTGAACACAATCCATATGACACACATTACAATGCTAACTTCAGGGACTGTGTGGCGTGATACATCATCAAGCGACAAATGTTACTTATTAATCAGTGGGATCGCACTTGCAGCCTTGGTGTTTGTATCCTCGTGATTAACGGCAAAGCTCTTCAGAATTTCTTTTTCAAGTGCATGTAGGTGCGGTGGGTTAGCCTAGTGGTTAAATCGTTCGCTCGCTACGTCGAAGACCGAGTTCGATTCCCGACATGGGTTCAATGTGTGAAGCCCATTTCTGGTGTCCCCCGCCGTGACATTGCTGGAATATTGCTAAAAGCGGCGTAAAACCATACTCACTCACTCAAGTGCTTTAACGCCCTCAAGAGATATTTTACGGCCGTTTCACAAAGTGTGCTGGAAACTGTTGATGAATCCTGTCCCTCGGGATTGGTGACGGACATAAACACTCGGGGTCGGTGATGAAAGGGTGTTCAATATTACATGTAACTGACTTCAGTTGTCTGCATGATGCACGTGGTCTTTCTCTCACCCGCTGTCATCGAATTCGTTGATATATACCGCGATTACGCTATTGTTTCACTATAAAGCACACTGATTAATGTGTTTTTTATTCTTTCTGGTATTTCTTGCATTGGGACGTTTTGCTGTCTTGTTTACATTTTCAACCAAATCCTCGCAGGTGTATTATATCCTCACGACCTCACTTAACGCACATCTCAAAAGCATAGAGAAAAGGATGCAAACTGAAGTTTAATTACTGAAAAATATCGAAAAAATAAAATACATCAATGAGATTTTTACGTACTCCATTTTTTTCTTTCCTTCTAAATTCGTCTCAGCAGGTACAGCATTTATATACATGTCATGGCAATTAAATTGTGGTACATGGTATTCAAGAAGTGTACAGCTATTACTGCATATAAATTCTTGCTTGTAAAGTCAACGTGACTGCATCAGTGTGTATTACAGGTTAGTTTTAAACAAAGGAAGGAACTAGAAAAGTTTTTACAAATGTTGAATCAAATACCAAAAAGATTTTATTTGCGTCCCGTTTGCTGAGTCCCGTATACCCTCTAGACCACACACACACACACACACACACACACACACACACACACACATCTCACGGACTAACAGAAGATTGGCAGCTTTAAATATCTCCAGGACATTTGGACGGCAAGCAACCAAACCGATTTGAGACCATGTAGCTGACGTAGAATATATATATTATATTATTTTATTTCATAATATAATTGAAATATTATGTTGTATTATAAGATGTAGAATATAAACAAAATCAGGTACACACTGGGTATCCTTCATATTGGCGGATTGAACACCAGCAGGAGGTGTCGGCGACGACAGGTAATCGCTAGTGTCGAGTACGTTATCTTTTTCCCGAAATACAGATACCGTTGTACTCCCCGGAACCCGAAACCGGTATCTCTATAGAACCTTGAGACGTCATAACTATGGCCAAACGTCAGAGCCTGTACATAGTTTATTTTGAACTTACAAAAATGGAGCCCATTCTGTGTATGGTTTGGGCTACTAACAATGAACACAGACGTTGATCGCCTCCATGTCAGACACAGTTCCAATGCAGAGAGTCAGCTGTGATCTGCAGATTGTGCAGACTGTGATCTGATATATAAGTAAGATAACTTCTCTATCATTTACCATGAAGATCATAGCCTTACAGGGGCAAGGGTGGCCCAGTCGTCTAAGGCGCCGCGATTCGCTGTGCAGAGTTGCGTCCCTTGGGCACGCCTGAAACCTATGATTGTGGGTTCGAATCCCGGTTCGCCCCAATTATGTTTCTAGGTTTGTCAGCGCCATACCCGTGCTCGTGGGTTTCACCGAAGTGGTAAACGTCCGAGACCTGCATCAGTTTGGGCTTTCCTCCCACATCAAGCTGACACGCCGTGATATAACTGGAATAATGTTAAAAGCGGCGTTAAACCTAACTCACTCACTCACTCATAGCCTTACATGTTACATTATGTCGAAGGGTTTATATTTTACCAGAAAACCCTTCAAAGTGCTCTTTGTTAATTGTAGTGAGAGCAAAAATACATTTACTGCAATCGTATCGACAATTGCTTGCAGCGCAACAGGTGTTTTAAAACGAAAACTTGACTTGTGAAATTGACGGATAGCAATGGCCGGTATGACTTGTTACATAATAAGATGTTATTTGTTTGTTTTAATATATGACGGCGGTCTGTAAATAATCGATTCTGGGCCAGACAAACCAGTGACTGATATCATGAGCATCGATCCACGCCATCTTTTGTTTTCGTTGTTATTTGTCCCTGCCCCAAATATACGACAAAATAGGTGTTGGGCAAGTATGAAGACCCCGATTTGCTTCCGAATACAGTTCTTACGGGAAGTATTTTTTTCTGGTCGTAGCTGTTGCATAACACTTTGTATTATTCAGTCGAGGCTTGTTTCCTACCAAGTCGATTTAGGGAATGCGTTTGTCTCATAACTGTAACAGTTCCGGTGATTTCTGAAGAGTGAGTGGGTGAGTATGGTTTTACGCCGCTATTAGCAATATTTCAGCAATATCAAGGCGGGGGACACCAGAAATGGGCTCCACGCATTTACCCATGTCGGGAATCGAACCCGGGTCTTCGGCGTGACGAGCGAACGCTTTAACCACTAGGCTACCCGACCGCCTGGGTTTCTGAAGAAAGGGTATGAACAGAAGACACCGACAATGGACAAAGCAGTTTGAAAACTAGTGGATTATAACTTGTGAGACATCATTGATAGTAGCAAACTGAGATACATTGTTTTAGAAGATGTTGGCCTGTGTTGGCCACACATTTTCGATGACGACGTGCTTGATGCAGCTTGATTAGAGGCAAGGAACAATACAAGACACACATACTGTATAAATTAACCCTTTATTTGGTGAGTATAAGCCAGTACACAAGAACAACACGGACTTTATGATGTGATCATTTTAAACTGAACATTATTAATTTGCTTAGCTTTAAATAATTCCGATTCATCCATTTTGTGTTGCAAACCCCACTGACATATATCTTTCGACCACGCGTCATCCGTAAAATGAATGATGTATACCGTTGTCATTGCCTCCGAGTAGTTTCAGTTACTTCTATTTGCCGACGAGAGCGCTTGCTGCAAGCGGAATGTCAGCTATGTCGGACACCAGAGCTCCAAGGCGTTCATTAGTCTGCACACAGCGGCTTTGGAGGAGTTTCCCAGCCTCCAGCCTCCTACCCTGGTCCGAGAGGATCAATAATCGTGTCGCAGGGTTCATTTGAGTTAGAGGTGATCCAGGTATCGCTGACAAAAAATGAAAAGATTCATGAAGAAGGATATTATGCGAAGGATGTGTTTCTCTGTGGGTACACAGAGAAGGATATTGTTTCTCTGCGGGTACACAAACGATAGTATGCGTCTGTAAGTACTTAAAGAAGGTTATTATGTGTCTGTGAGGACTAAAAACGGTTAGTATGTGTCTGAGTATTTAAAGAAGGATATCATACGTCTGTGAGTATTTAGAGGCTGTGATGTGTCGGTGTCGGCTACAAGGTTGGGTAGCCTTGTGGTTAAAGCGTTCACTCGTCACGCCGAAGACCCGGGTTCGATTCCCGACATGGGTACAATGTGTGAAGCCCATTTCTGGTGTCCCCCGCCGCGATATTGCTTGACTATTGCTAAAAGCGGCGTAAAACCATACTCACTCACTCCTAAAGGATATAATGTGTCTTAATACTGGAAGAATGATGATACATGGCTGTGGTTGTTTGAACCATGCTCTGCCGTGGTATTAACTACGTGCTGTAGCACGTGCGTTGCAGACACACGTGACGTTGCTAATGAATAATTTGCATATTCGTATATGAAGGGGGTCGGCGTAGGGTTCTCGATAGGAAGCGACAACCTGGAGACGATGACGATGACAATTATACTTTATACATGTAGATATATACATACAAAACACACTATGTGCCAGGTCAGCACATAGTGGTAGTGGTTATTGTCTCGGTGCCCCGGAGCACCCAGCCTTACCCTAGCTAGGTTGAGGGTAACTCGCAACCGATTGACGGTTATGTTTGTAAACAAGTGATGATTGCCGTGACGCCGAATATTCTTACCCCTGCTAAACTATTTTCTTTCTTTGTCAATTTGAATTTCTAGTTCATTTTCAACTGTCGAACCAATCTGATAAAACAAACAAAAAGCGTAAATCCGTCTCGAAAATCTGGTCAGTCGGAAACTGTTTCCATATGCACTATGATGGAATTCCCAGAGACATAAACAAACATATAACCGTGACTACAGTTGCGGTAAGAGAGCAAACATCAAGATTCTTGTAATGGCCGCTTCCGCACTGATGGCAGCGATCACTCTCCTACCCAGAGTTCAATGCGACCAGCATAGTACCTCTGCCCTAGGCCAGCGCCATGTGACGTTTCGTTAAATCTTCCACAGTCCATTCAAGATATTGCATATGTTGTTCATCTGTTTTGACAAGACTACATATCTAGTTAAACATATGTCATAGAATGGTTAACTTTCATTCAGTAAATATCCTAAATCGTGAAAAGCTATTTCCATCTGCGTTTTTATCCTATGTTTACATTGGTTGTACGGCTCCACGTGCTGTCATCGAAGCCCAACGGAGAGCTAGCGATACGGTCACTTTGATGCGTAATTATGTATTGTCATGCAACTCACTGTCGCAGTTGTAGTAGCATATATATATATACTTATGAAAAACAACATGTAAAGCGCCCAAAATACTTGCATTGGTCCGTTCTATTCTGATTTCCGAAAAACTGCGTTTGTTTACAAAAAAGAGAAAAGTCCGACCACGTGATATACAAATTAGCCTGTGGCAGTGTTGTTATGCTAAGTCACCAACTGCGCCGGAGTGTTGGCAGCGATGTTACCGAGAGTGTAACGAAGGTGTCACGCGCTGGGAAGAAGCTTGGTCAAATTAAAGAAAAGGGACATAACTATTAACCAATTCATCGATAATCCGGTGGATTAAACTGGCTACGGTACCTTCCGGATTTAAGAGGTTTCACTATATGGTCTCGGACGTTTACCACTTCGGTGAAACCCACGAGCATGGGTATGGTGCTGACAAACCTAGAAACATTATCGGGGTGAACCGGGATTCGAACCCACAATCATAGGTTTCTGGCGTGCCCAAGGGACGCAACTCTGCGTAAAAGCTCATCCATTTTGACTTACATATCGTAGTCAAATACAACCATTACCAGTACGATTAGACTTTGATAATGTTTCATTGAATCATAAGGCTTAAATAAATGTCTTTATTCCATAAATCTAGGAGGTTAAAAATGATGAGTGGCTTACGCAGTGGCTTCATGTCCAAGGAGTCCATAAGAAGGTACTTCAATACTGGGCTTCGACCTACACAAGGAACGTTCTGAATGGCGTCGATAGCTGCCATTCTCTTGGTGTAGTCACTTGATAGCACTGCCTGGGAGACAGCCATCTTCCGCATAAACTGCATGCCGGCCGGATTGGGGACAGGCGGCCGGTTGATCAAACCAGCCCGGGGGGGATGGAAAGGACCTTGACATAAACAACTGATTTAGCACCTTACAAGCATATCTATGGGTAACAATACGATTTTATAAACAAATTGTTTGAATGAGTGAGTGAGTGAGTGAGTGAGTGAGTGAGTGAGTGAGTGAGTGAGTGAGTGAGTAAGTTGGGTTAAACCCGCTTTAAACATTATTCCAGTTATATCACGCGTGTCAGCTTGATGTGGGAGGAAAGCCCGAAGTGATGCAGGTCTCAGACGTTTACCACTTCGGTGAAACCCACGAGCACGGGTATGGTGCTGACAAGCCTAGAAACATAATTGGGGCGGACCGGGATTCGAACCCACAATCATAGGTTTCTGGCGTGCCCAAGGGACGCAACTCTGCACAGCGAATCGCGGCGCCTTGGACGACTGGGCTACCCGTGTCCCCCAAATTGTTTCAGCAATAATATATGTACTGTAGACATACTTATATGTTGAACAGAGTTTGAGTAAAATAGACATATATTCCTTAATAATTTTAATTTAAAGAGGAGCCTTTAAGTTTAATTGTCTGTTATATTATTAATCATGATGACAAAAATGTTGTTCGGAACACTTCTAATTGGTGAAGGTGTGTTAGTGACTAGGATAGCAGCATTGTCGCCATATACTGGTGACAAAGCGTGGACAAAGGTACCCTTCGTGTTTGTTAACTTTGAAAGAAAATGGAAAGTAATGATGGTTGGTTGGTTTGTTGTTAAACGCAGCACTTAGCAATATTCCAGCTATATGACGGCGGTCTGTAAATAATCGAGTCTGGACCAGACGATCCAGTGATTGACACCATGAGCATCGATCCACGTGATTGGGATACGATGACATGCATCAACCAAGTCAGCGAGCCTGACCACCCGATCCCGTTAGTCGCCTCTCACGACACGCATAGTCGCCTGTTATAGCAAGAATGGGTTGCTGAAGACCTATTCTACCCCGGATCTGCACGCATGGTAAACATCCTGATGTCTCACCTCGCAAAGCACCTGGTGGTGGACCTGTTGACAGAAAAGGTGGATAGGTCAAAGTATAAAATAAATCACATTGTTATGTCGATATGAAGAAGAAGAAGCAGAAGAAGAAGAAGAAGACGAAGAAGAAGAAGAAGAAGAATGGTAAATATCCTGATGTCTCACCTCGCAACGCTCCTGGTGGTGGACCTGTTGACAGAAAAGGTGGAAAGGTCAAAGTATAATATAAATCACATTGTAATGTCGATAAGAAGAAGGAGAAGAAGAAGGAGGAGGAGGAGGAGGAGAAGAAGAAGAAGAAGAAGGAGGAGGAGGAGAAGAAGGAGGAGGAGAAGAAGGAGGAGGAGGAGAAGAAGAAGGAGGAGGAGGAGAAGAAGAAGGAGAAGAAGAAGAAGAAGAAAATAATCTGGAGTTCGAAGCTTAACGCTCGTAATAAAGTCGAAGTCACAAATACTTATACTGTATCCGTTCTTTTGAATTCTGGTTGATTGGACGAAACAATAAATTCAGGGTGGAGGCTCTTCATGATAGAATTGTAATGCGCACTTTTGCACACAGTTATTTGTCTGATGATCCTGTTGTGAAGCATGTCAAGATGAGAACAAAGCATTCCACGGTTTCCTTAAATGAGGATGTGGTTGACGGTGTCAACCAAGCGAGGTCCCCCATATCAAATCTGCCTAGACTATGTTCGGTGTGTCGAAAGGTAAGCAAACCCGCAATCCTACGCTTGGATGAGTCGGCTGGCCTGCTGTGTATACACGCAACACACTGTGTACCTGGAATGTGTCTTATACCACCAGACAACAGACTTCACTCCGTAGATAAGGGAGTGCAGAGTTGCGTCTCTTAGCCATTCCAGTATTCGCTGTACCTTTATGTTTCACCAAAATGGAAAACGTAAAACGCCGGAATTTAACTGAAATACTGTTTAAAGCGGCGTAAAACCCAGTTCACTCACTCACTCCGTTGTTACCTGGATAGATTTGTGCACAGACAGAGACAAGGACACATGCCAGGGTGAACACCCACGCTCGCATAACAGGAATCATCTGTAAGTAAAACATAAAACTCTGGAATAAAACGCGTTTACAAATTTACACATGTACGTGAGTGTACATAAATTTACAAAGAAAGAAAGAGGTATACATGAGGCCTTTTTGTCCCTCTTGAAATGGCAAATTATAGTTGCTAAAAGTTTTTAGATATTGGTTTGAAAATGACGATGGTTGTTCAAATGAGTGACAACTAGCTTTGTTTCTTTCTCACACCTGTGAGTTTTGGACTTACAATATGGTCAAATACTTTAAATATGGATAAGATGAGTGAAAAGGGCTTGCTTTTAGAACTTCAAATGAAAATCTAACTACGAGCAAGTGACCCAAGATGAAATATTCACTTCATGTTTGCACTATTCGTATGTACATATATGAACATCAGTTTTGGCTGGAGGCTTTTTCATATTCAAATATTTAAAAAAAACACTTCGTCAAAACCTCTACGAGAAAATAATCAAAGCAACGAGTAAATGATAAACTTGAAATAACGAGAAAATAATCGAAATTACGAGAATAAAAACTCGACATTTCGAGAAATAAACAAATAATTGAAATAACGAGAAATTACGATTTAAAAATAAATATATTTGCTACCAAAGTGGCACCATTAGGCTCTCGTAAAAGTCAGCCCTTTTGACACATTTCGCATTAATAACCTATGCATTTAGTGTTGTCATAAGTCTTAAAGATGCAGTTGTTGGAATACAGTATGGTTCACATTCATATGAACTCTAAAGAACAATTTCTGTAGGTTTCCTAAAATTTTAATTTATGCAGACCCCGTTGGCCTAGCATTTCCTGTATGTAAGTGCGTGTTTTGGCTTGTAAATGTATACTAGTATATGCTTGTAAATATTCTCACTTGTTTTGCCTTGTAATACTTGATTTACAATCATTTACATGTAAGTAAAAGTATGCATTTCTTGCAGTGGTAGCCTGTCGTACTTCTTGATAAACCGATGACGGCAAAGCATCTGACTGTTGTCAGTGACTTGTAGCAAAATATTTGATGAGGATGAAGAGTAAGTAGACGAGTGGCCCAGTCGTCTAAGGCTGTGCAGAGTTGCGTCCCTGGGAACGCCAGAAACCTACGATTGTGGGTTCGAATCCCGGTTCGCCCCGATTATGTTTTTAGGTTTGTCAGCACCATACCCGTGCTCGTGGGTTTCACCGAAGTGTTAAACGTCCGTGACCTGCATCACTTCAGGCTTTCCTCCCACATTAACCTGACATGCCGCGATATAACTGGAATACTGTTAAAAGCGGCGTTAAACCCAACCTTATTCATTCACATGTTTTCACTCATTATGTTTACACACTAACTGCAAAGGGGCAGTTGAGGTAGCCTAGTAGTTAAAGTGTTCGCCTTGGTTCGATTCCCTACATGGATACAATGTGTGAAACTTATTTCTGGTGAAATATCTATAATATTGCTAAAAGCGTTGTAAAACCACACTAACGCACTCAACCGGAACATCTATTCAAAACAGCGTTAAACCCAAGCTGCTAACTCAGTATTAAATATTTTTTCCACGCTAACACACAATCCTTTATAACTGTCAGTTTTACCTCATGCCAAACTCGGCTCACATATCAATACATCTTCAAAAGAGCAATTGATTAATGAAACTACTTACTTTATTCGTTTACCCCAGCGAATATCCGTTGATATTGTCCGGGGCAGCAGAATTCGGGACTATCTCTCCTAGGGTTGGTCGCACTAGTGTCAAGTCGTATGACGTCATTAATAAGCTGTCAGTTGTTTGTGAATGCAAGGGTCACGAGGGGTGGGGACATATGCTCCAGGAATACAGACAGGTAATTGTTGATAAGCTCAGACTGCATTTACGTTCTACACAGTACTCATTATGAAGAAACAACGCATCTAAAGTTTTCTCATAAGAAACTAAACGCATCTTATAAGGTTCATTTTCTCATCCTAAAATAACGAAACTCCAGTTTTCTCATTCTAAAATAACGAGAAAATAAATTTCTCAGGCCAAAGAAAGCATGGGCTGGAAAATTGTATTTGACCGAAAAATTAGAAACGTTATCAAAACGTTACCAGGCTGAAAACACTCGCTGAAACATTGCAAACGTACGGTCCGTACAAAACTCTTATACCCGTATTAAATACATCACCATCGAATCGCTATTTCTTGTCTGTTTCATATTTAGCCACTATCAAACATAAGTATACACTTTCCTTTGCATGGCAGTTCATTTGAATACGTTAAAGTTTAATGTCGTGAACAGAAATAAAGTTATACATGTTAAGCGTTCTCTGAGAAATTACCTAGACCAATTGAGTGAGTGAGTATGGTTTTATGCCGTTTTAGCAATATTCCAGCAATATCAAGGCGGGGTACACCAGAAATGGGCTTCACACATTTATCCATATTGGGAATCGGACCCTGGTCTTCGGCATGAGGTGATCGCTTTAACAACTAGGTTACACACTAGGATCACATTTTAAAACATGATTTTGAATTAAATACATATTTAAATCTAGATTGAGGTTGCGAATTAACATTTTTTTAATAATATGTGTCCCGCCGTGATATTGCTGGAATATTGCTAAAAGCGGCGTAAAACCAAACTCACTCACTCACTCATAACATGTGTACAGATTCTTTACATTGTTTGAGTACAACTTCAACCTGGTATTGAAGATTTAAGCAAAAGGAATATATACAGTATGCATTCTGCAAATGTACTTGTAGGTATAGCATCACCCCCCTTAGCAGGCCTCCTTTGTAATTACTCATCTCGTGATAATTATGTCAGTAGTGAATACCTGTCGGCAACATTGTCCAGAAGATTACGACTTCCGTGCTCCATCAGTCTCATTGCCCATCAAGGCCAGGAAGCTGTCACAGACATCGTATGCAGTAAACATTGACACCACATGACAACACAGAAGGGTTATATGCAATTGTAAAAGTGTCCATATTGGTGTTTTCATTCTCTTGAAAACTTCAACGCTTATACTTAATCCGTCAGTATCAAAACGCGTCAGTCATAGGAACAACAAGTGTCTTGGAGACCAGAATTCGTATGTATACGAAACAATTCCTGCACGGACACATATAAAAAACATTTAAGAGAACAATTTATTTTAAGCTATATGTATATGAGTATTGCAAGATAAAAATACAAAGTAATAAAGCGACGGAACGATTCACATATTCTTTTACTGGCATAGTAATAGCTGGGAAGGCTAAATATATGCGTATATATATATACGCTGTTGCGACGTTATGCACAGAGATTGGAAATGTACCGCTGTTCCAGATTCCGTATACTACTTATTAGTTTTGAAGTACATTTAATATACCATAGTCAAGAATTATACAGCTCCGTACTTCTGTCATCTTCCCGAGGCAAGAGAGTTAACTGACTATAAAAGTCCAGTTACCACCCTTGCCTAACTAGGCTAGTATTATGGAGTTACATTTTGGCTGGACTAACGAGTCTATGCATAGTCAAATCAAAATCGAAATCCGATCGAGCCCAGTACATTGTCGTACAGATTTCGGTCGATTGAAGGATTTGCAAAGAATGTTCACCGCCAACTCGTTGTCAGCAGATATTTTCCAAATGTTTGTATGTTTTTAATCAAGGTGCTCACTTGATTTGATGCATTTCGCGATGTAAGACGTTTTATCACAATAAAGATCTTGATAGTCGATCAAATCGAACTGACCGGGCGCCACCATTTTGTGTGAAGCAAACGCAAGAGGTGGACTCTGATTGGTCCATAGGAGAGGCTTGGAAGGGACATAACTGGTAATAGCCACTGGTTGCGCTACGATCGAGCCCAGTAATTCCAGCCTTGTTCGACAAGGCTGGAAACTGGACTTTTAAAGTCAGTTAACGCTCTTGCCTCGGGAATATGTACTTCTGTTAGTGAGTTGATGGAAGCGACAAAACCCTTTCCACATTCATAAGAAATATCTGTGAAAAGCAGACAGTGATGACACCAGGTGTTCTAGAAAGAGTGAGCGTATCCTGCCCCACCAATGGCCACCGTCACAAACACATGCAAAGGCAAGTCAGTTTTTCAAAGAAAAACAAATGGTACATATGATTCAAGTTACGATAGGGAATTGCATTGGACATAATTTTTGTCACTGATTCGTCAAATTTGGAAATGTCCTCCACATTTATACCATGAAACATTTTGAAACCTTTACTGAGACTTTGAATGTTGAAACCCTGTTCAAACCAAACTCTTACAATAACACAGGGCGAGAGAGTGAATGCTCTCTAACGCCACAGTCAGTTCTATTCTAACCGGGGGCACGGGTGGCCCAGTCGTCTAAAGCGCCGCGATTCGCTGTGCAGAGTTGCGTCCCTTGGGCATGCCAGAAACCTATGATTGTGGGTTCGAATCCCAGTTCGCCCAGATTATGTTTCTAGGTTTGTCAGCACCATACCCGTGCTCGTGGGTTTCACCGAAGTGGTAAACGTCTGAGACCTGCATCACTTCGGGCTTTCCTCCCACATTAAGCTGACACGCCGCGCTATAACTGGAATACTGTTAAAAGCGGCGTAAAACCCAACTCACTCACTCACTCTATTCTAACCATGTCATGTCAACTTGTAAATAATCGACCAGACCAGACGAACCAGTGACTGTATGAGCAACGATCCAGGCAATTTGGGCACAGTGATACGCGATCAGCAAAGTCACAGACCTGACCTACCATTTCCCTATTACAATAAGAGGACATAATCTCCATCGAAAGGTGATATGGCGGGACATGGCATTTGTGGCGGTCTCAGACAATATTGGAATACATAATACTGACAATAGGAGGTCTATAGTCCCAACAATCCTACCACTCAGGACGACGGAATAAGTTAGAACTTTATGATTAGGTAGCTTTCCTCGCAGCAACGTTGCAGGAATACTGCCAAGTTCGCGTTAATCAATGATATCACGATTCATGCCTTGCACATCCTGTGAGGTACAAATTATTGCGTTTGCGTGTTTTGACAACTATATTACCTGCGTGGGCATGTTGAATGGCACACTTCAAGCACGTTATATTTACCAGGGGTGCAGATATCACTGCACATATTGTAATCAAGACATGGACGGTGTGGTGCTTATAAATTATGTCTGCCGAGTATCGAGTTGTGAGGGTATCTGAAGCTGTAGCAGTGTCTGCAGAGTATCGTGTTGAGAGGGTATCTGAAGCTGTAGCAGTGTCTGCAGAGTATCGTGTTGTGAGGGTATCTGAAGCTGTAGCAGTGTCTGCAGGGTATCGTGTTGTGAGGGTATCTGAAGCTGTAGCAGTGTCTGCAGAGTATCGTGTTGTGAGGGTATCTGCGGCTGTAGCAGTGTCTGCAGAGTATCGTGTTGTGAGGGTATCTGAAGCTGTAGCAGTGTCTGCAGAGTGTCGTGTTGTGAGGGTATCTGAAGCTGTAGCAGTGCCTGCAGAGTGTCGTGTTGTGAGGGTATCTAAAGCTGTAGCAGTGTCTGCAGAGTGTCGTGTTGTGAGGGTATCTGAAGCTGAAGCAGTGTCTGCAGAGTACCGTGTTGTGAGGGTATCTAAAGCTGTAGCAGTGTCGAGTCATTTGGTACTTTTTGTAGGTTTTACATTAACCATCATGGTCGAAGACACACGTCTTGAAATTCAGTCGTTTGGTACTGACTGACTGAGTATGGTTTTACTCCGCTTCCGGAAGTATTCCAGCAACACAAAGGAACGAAAACAGAACGTGACTAATTGTACCCATTCTTTAATAGGGAATGAGTACTTTGTATTTTTGCCACTTCAGTATTTCAGTTATATATTTGTGTGTTTGTTGATGTATCACGCCGCACTCAGCAATATTCCAGCGATATGACGGCGGTCTGTAAATAATCGAGTCTGGACCAGACAATCCAGTGATTGACATCATGAGCATCGATCCACGCAACTGGGATACGATAACATGTATCAACCAAGTCAGCGAGCCTGACCACCCGACCCCGTCAGTCGCCTCTTAAGACAAGCAAAGTCACCTTTTACGGCAAGCAGGGTTGCTGGAGACCTATTATAACCCGGACCTTCAGTTACCTATAACGTGTCAGCTTGACGTGGGAGATAAGTCGTTTACCACTTTGGGAAATCCTGTCTTTTAAAGTTTTAATGTAAATAGTGATTACCTCGATGTATAAGCAAATGTTATAATAAACATATGGTACAAATGAACTATTGTAACTAATGATATTATGACAGCACGTTCCCAAACTTTTAACTAAACAATACCCAAGTATTATGTGGTAACATTTAATAAGTGAGGGGGGCCTGTGTTGGAACCCCACGAACAGGGGTATGATGTTATATGTCTAGAAACATAGTCAGGGCGAAATGGGGCTCGAACCCATGGTCACAGGTTTCTGGCACGCCCAGATGACGCAACTGCGGACAGCGACTGGGTGACCCGTGCCCCCTTAACCTTAAATGAAGAGACACGAATGCTGTGAAGGTGGACTCCAACCTTATGACAGCTTGATTCCATGCCATGATTACGCACACACATTATGCTGACATTTTTATGTAGGGTCCCGTGGTTTCCGTTAGGTCAAATGTCATAAATTCAGTTTCCTAGCCATTGTCGCCCTTAGTGAGGCCTCTGTTATTAGGTATCCAGGCTTCTTTTGAAGCCATAATTAGGATCCAGGTGAGTTTTTGATGCACCTATGTGAATCTTTAGACACAACAAACTACGCGGATCTATATCTCTCTGTCACAGGATTTCCCCCGCGGGATGTTCGAGCTGGACAGGGCCCCAGTGAAGGATGATGACGAGACCGACTAAAAATGATCGGATAAAAATGCGTGAACTGTCTCTCTGTGTCACCGTGCCCTGGCAGCGTGATTTCTTTGGACCGGGCTCGATTTCTTCTCAAACCATCTTAAAATAGCGGGGATAATGCTGACAGAAACATAGAATAGTATCCATTTGCTGAATATTTCAACATATTTTCTTGTGGATAAATCAAAAGAATTCGTTTTCATGTGTTCGGTGAAACGAATGTGAATTTTGTTAAGAAAAAAGCGGTTTCAAATTCCTGGTCTGTCGTAAAATAGTTCAAGGACAAACTGTTTACCTTGGTCATATGGAGTCGCGAACTGGTATCAACAATGTAGGTTTGCAATGATATTGGTTTGTAGCTTTCTATTTTGTAACTTTAACTGTGCTCTTGGCGAATGAGATACCAGTATTGATAACCTATACAAGTATTAATACTTCTTGATTGTATTGATACATAACGCTTCATAGACATTATATGAAGACATTTATCTCTGTATATCATAACAGCTGAAACTAGAGGACTTCCTCGTGAAACGTAGGACATCATCCTGGTTCCGATTTGTATTTCGTTTCGGTGTTTGCGCGAACACCTGGTGTCATCACTAATTTTGAGTGATTCATTCATATAATTTTGAACACTATTTCTCCTATTACCCTAATGGAATCTGTTGCGGCTGTTTATTTTATGGCTATGAAGTTGTATATCCTATTAAAGTTCATTTCATTACATCATTTCGTATATAGGTCTTCAGCAACCCATGGCGACTTTGCTTGCCGTAAGAGGCGACTAACGGGATCTGGTTTTCAGGGTCGCTGACTTGATCGATGCATGTCATCGTATACCCATTGCTTGGATGGATGCTCATGATATTAATCACTGGATTGTCTGGTCCAGACTCGATTATTCACAGACCGCCGCCGTATAGCTGGAACATTGCTGAGTGCGGCATTAAACAACAAACAGTCTAAACATAATATCGTATATTGTCATATGATATGTTTGTACATATATTTGCAGTACCTCGGGTGGCGCAATGGGTAGAGTTATGCTGTTATTGATGACCAGCCTGTGCGTACTCGCCATGACAACAGGTTTGTTTCTATTGTCATAATATATTTGGAGGCAAAAAAATCCTCAAATGCCTATTTGGTATGGCCAACAACAAAAACGGATGACAAGCATTGATACTGATTATAAGAATAACGGCTTCAGTTGTAAAGGTACTGGGGCACGCAAAAAAACTCAGAGGAATTTCAAAAATTGCACACGACAGCATGAATTTGCATGTGCAGCCTAGGAAGTTAGCCTCTTTAAACGCAAGTGTGGCGAATCGTTTATCACTTCCCCGACATCCTCGATGTTAGTTGAATACCGAACAATTATATGAGGATGAACAATTATATGTAACAACATAAATCTGAGACCGTTTAAATGCGAATGCTCTTTGGAACATATGATAAACACATTCTTCTGGAAAGGACGACAGATTTTTGAAACTGATCCCGGCTATCTTATCAGCGACGTTTATCATTTCATATAAAGTGGATATGCTCTGCATAGAAAGATGGTCATAATAACGTGGAAATGAGAGGCATACTACACTCTGGGAAAATAGAACAACAACATGGCAATTTCATTACAGTCAAAAGATTGAGGTTTTGCGCTTTAGATTTACCACTATTGGTATTTACTATACGATTTTCTATATATTCTAGCAATTAAGTGTTGTTGTATTCAGTGTACCAGATGTATGTTTGCTTTTTATAATTATGAAGCCTTAAAGTCAATCTGCTGTGCCTTGTTAAATTTTTATTTCCGTCACACGGAAATACACATACTTGTTCTCCGCGTACAGATACACGCTAGTTGACTTTAACCTGTATTGGACGGTGTTATCCATGCAATGACCAAATCCAATAATACTGAATCACAATCCTATAAATATGCAAATATTCAACCAGCAGAAATCCTTTAAAGCTCCATACATTGATGTTATGTCTCCTTGCTCGATAAAAATCACAATAAGTTCAGATATATGCTTTCTGATGTCAAATTGTTTCTGTTCACAGACATGGCCACAAATTATTTTGCACTATATGATAAATTGGGCGTTTCACTCGTTATATTTATACGCGGCTCTTAAGTCATTCGTTGAGCAAACATTATGTCGTAAACATCAACTATTTTCAGAATTACATTAGACGATTTGGATATACTACCCTCGTGTGTTCATTTTTGTAAATATTTTAAACTGCCGATCAAAGGAAAGTATAAACCAATGTTTGATGGTGGCGAAAATTAAACAAACAAGATATGGCTATTCGATGTTGGTGTATTTGTTACGGGTATAATTATTTTGTCAAATCAAACGTTCAAGTGTATACTTGCTGTCCTTATGTGATGCTTATATTCGGTAACACCGTGAGGATTAGGGGACGGTAAAGGTCCCTAATTGTAACGTAAGAACCACCTCAGGGGTCTAGTGGATAGAGCGTCTGCCCGGAGAGCGGAAGGTCATTGGTTCGATCACAGACCGGATGATACCAAAAGTCTTTAAAAGATGGTATTTGTTGTTATCCTGCCTCCCGCTCGGCATCAAGGGGATAAAGGATAAAATAAATAGGCTCGGAGTCAGTATACTGTGTCTGAATGGGGCGTCCATGTCTAACCTTAACATTGGATATCAGTAGGAAAGCATATGAAACAGACTTAAGTCAGGACTGGTACATGTATAAGCAGCCACACACACGAGTATCCACGTCGCTATATCAGTGCAATATCTTGAACGCGATGTTAAACCCCATTTCATCTCATCTCAACTGTATCTCAAGAGCGGCTAGAATGATTGGGTCGTACCATACCTCGACTGTGTGGAACCCAATTGATACCATCTTCTACCAGCTTGCGGGGACACGGGTGGCCCAGTCGTCTAAGGCGCCGCGATTGGTTGTGCAGTGTTGCGTCCAAGGGCACGCCAGAAACCTGTGATTGTGGGTTCGAATCCCGATTCGCCCCAATTATGTTTCTAGGTTTGTCAGCACCATACCCGTGCTCGTGGGTTTCACCGAAGTGGTAAACGTCTGAGACCTGCATCACTTCAGGCTTTCCTCCCACATTAAGCTGACACGCCTTGATATAACTCGAATACTGTTAAAAGCGGCGTTAAATCCAACTCACTCACTCACTCTACTGGTTTGCATTAACGGGACTGCATAACATTTAAGGACATTCATTGATTGTTACAGACGTTCAAGGTCAACGAGGCACGCCTCAACCTCTGGCCCCTCCTCCACCGCGGCCATTTTACCAGCGTTCCAACAACTTCTTTGAACCCTGGATGATGATGGACTTTATGAATGGTGGAGAACTTTTTTCATTTCGCCGGCGTTGATGATGTTTACTACGACGGAAACTGTATCAAGCATCCCCTAATTTGACTAAACACCTGAGAACAAATACTGGTCTTTCTTGATGGTGGTACAGTCTTGTACTTTGTACTTTTAATAATAAAGTTGCGAACGGATATATTTTTCTCTTTCTGATGAATAAATGCAATACCTCTCGAAGTCCTGATCGACTTGGCGTGTTGACTTGGCGGAGAACTCCCAAACTTCCTTAAGGATATTCGGCACGTGTGGGGGAGGTGGAGGGTCACAGAGAGAATTGCTTGATTTGAAGGAATGACTAAAAAATATAGATACTGTCCCTTAACTCTGAGATCCATATCAAATTTTTGGTCCGTTAACAGAATAACAACGCCTGAACAATCTTTAAAATGAGTTTTTTATTAATGCGGGTAATTCTTTAGCGTTCTACTACTGGTTAATGAGGACCAACGCTGGTCACACTGTATGCCCGGGCTCGATTCCTTACATGGGAGCAATGTGTGAAGCCAATTTCTGGTCTCTCCCGCGGCCGCCGTGACATTGCTAGAATAAGGCTAAAAGCGGTGTAAAACCCGACTCAATCACTCACTTACATTTCGTTCATAATTAGGAGGTACATGTAAACCTTCAGTGTTTGAAATTTGAGGTAGTGAAGTAAGTAAGTACAATAAAACAATTAAGTCACACACACACACACACACACACACACACACACACACACACACACACACACACTAATCACTTGGGGTCACACAATCATCGATGAGACGCTTGTGTCGTACAATGACGACTCGACTTAAGGTTTGGTTTGTTGTTTAACGCCGCACTCAGCAATATTCCGGCTATATGACGACGGTCTGTAAATAATCAAGTCTGGACCAGACAATCCAGTGATTGACATTACGAGCATCGACCCACGTAATTGGGATCAATGACATGCATCAACCAAGTCAGCGAGCCTGACCACCCGATCCCGTTAGTCGCCTCTGACGAGAAGCATAGTAGACCAGTATACAAAAGTTCACCTAATCAGCTTCAATGGCAGATAGATTAGTGAAGGAGGTACATGTAAACCTTCAGTGTTTGAAATTTGAGGTAGTCGCACCGAAGATTCTAGCATGCCAGTGAAGAATGCTTGATTTTGATTGGTTAATTTCCATACGATAGCACAAAACTAGCACTCCTTTTCACACACAAAATGTGTATGAACACATCGAAGTACCTAAATCACACGCATCGATGAATATAATAACGCTCACGGATAACCTATGCGAATTGTATACGTTCCATACAGGACACCAGCTTATATTATCACTATAATATGCTGTTGGAAATGAAAAGGGAAATAGCATTTCAGTACATTGGAAATAGCGGGCATACAAATTCAACACATATCGGAATCAATTGTTGAGATGTGTTTGTGTGCATTGTTTCCAATGCGTGCTTGGTAGACAAGGCTTGGAACCTATGATAGCATATCATTTTACTGTGTCTAAAACTAAGTGCTCTCTTTTCCATTTCCAACATTATTTACAAAACTACAACGCCAGAAAATAACCAGTCTTGTCTATGCATTATGCGTAAAAGGCAAATTAGCGTAGCGTAAGTAAGTAAGTAAGTAAGTACAATAACACAATTAAGTCACACACACACACACACACACACACACACACACACACACACACACACACACACACACTAATCACTTACGGCCACACAATATAATCATATCACATATCATATGACAATATACAATATTATGTTTAGACTGTTTGTTGTTTAATGCCGCACTCAGCAATATTCCAGCTATACGACGGCGGTCTGTAATTAATCGAGTCTGAACTAGACAAACCAGTGATTGACATCATGAGCATCGATCCACGCAATTGGGATCGATGACATGCATCAACCAAGTCAGCGAGCCTGTTCACCCGATCCCGTTAGTCGCCTCTGACGAGAAGCATAGTCGACCAGTATACAAAAGTTCACCTAATCAGCTTCAGTGGCAGAGAGATTAGTAAAGTCATTTGAGTTGCTTATCGTGGACTGTAGACCAGAATAGCATGTCCCAAGCTAATCCCAGTGTTTCATGCTGATTCACATTTCACATATGTAGATGATGTAATGAATTTAATGAGCCTGTTCAACACTTTGTCTGTGGATGCCTAGGTTCGGCTTGTCCTTGTTGAAAAGTCCAATGAAATCATTTATATTACATTTATCACAATCTGATATCCCTTTGACACTAAAATTCCGATAAAAAACATGGCAAACCCTCTTTTCTGCATATATTTATTTATTTTATCTAGTAATAATTATAAGAATAATAATGATAATAATAATAATGAGACTGTCCAACACATTGTGAGTGGATGCCCAGCTTTGGCACAGACAGTATCTTAAGCGACATGATGGGGTGGCTCGATCATTTTATTAAGGTCTTCGCCATGCTTGTGGTTTAGACACAGAGGTCCACCCATGGTACGACCCGGAATATGTGGAGGGCGTCATGGAAAATGAAAAATACAAAATCCTTTGGAATAGGCCCGTATACAGCCTCAGACATATCCAGGCCAACAAACCGATCTTGTCCTTATTGATAAATCCATTGAAAGCATTAAAAAAATTATATCATTGAATTTTCTGTCCCTTTTGAAAGTAATGCGATTGACAAGATTGAGGAAAAACATGACAAATATGCAGACCTCGCTTTCGAAATGTCACGCTTGCATCCCAAGTACCAAATTGTCCGACTCCCCACTGTTCTCGGTGCCTTAGGTTTGGTACCTCCCAATCTGCTGACTGACATTGGGAGAGTACCCGGGTTTGCTACCAGGAATACAACCCTTCTGACAATCCTGGTAATGCAGAAGCCTGCAGTGTTGGGGAGTCTTCACATTCTCCGAAAAGTTCTGGGTCGGTTTGACTGGGCAGCGCTTCCTTGGAGAAGTCCCATTCGCTGTCTGGGCTGAGTGTAAAGGGGGCAAGGGCCCTGAGCTGATGATGAGCCTAACCAGCCTGACTGTGCCAGGGTCACCCCAACCCTCTTTGCTGCATTTCTTATTTTAATCTGTAAATAATAATAATAATAATAATAATAATAATAATAATTGGAGGAGGAGTCATCTTGTGGAAGGTCAGGCCTATAATTACTTAGGGGTGCAGATAAGGGACAAACTCCAGAATGCCCATCTCAAAGAAAAACTTCGGGCAGAGTACAAATGTAGATTTAAGAAAATCTGGAGTTCAGAGCTGAACGCTCGCAATGAAGTTAAGGCCACAAATACTTACGCTGTGCCCGTCCTCCATATTCTTTTGGTGTTGTTGATTGGACGAAACAAGAAATTCAGGGTATTGACACCCTCACACGAAGAATCATGTCAGACAATAGATCCCACCACCTTCGCTCTTCCCTCAATCGCTTATATTTACCAAATCATTATTGTAGGGCTTGGTTTGATTAACGTTGGGGCTCTTCATGATAAAATTGTTTTGTGCACTTTTGCACACATTTATTTGTCTGATGATCCTCATGTAAAGCAGTCAAGACTCGTGATGAAAACAAGGCATTCCACAGTTTACTTAAACGAGCCAAGGGTGGGGGACATAATCTCAATGTCAGTGTTGATTTTGTTGATGGTTTTGTACTGCTGGACGGTAAAGAAATGTGTGTGAACCAAGCTAAGTGCCATATCAAATCGGCCCAGACTCAGTTTTTCAAGGAGAGGCTATCTGAACGACCACTGCATCGAGTTTATGTGCAGTGTGTTGGGAAAGTCAGCAAACCTGCAGAGTCAATCGCTTGGGTAATTGGTTTGTTGTTTAACGCCGCACTCAGTAATACTCCAGCTATATGACGGTGGTAGTAAATAATCGAGTCTGGACCAGACAATCCAGTGATTAATATCACGATCATCGATCCACGCAATTGGGATCGATGACATGCATCAACCAAGTCAGCGAGCCTGACCACCCGACCCCGTCAGTCGCCTCTTAAGACAAGTAAAGTCACCTCTTACGGCAAGCATGGGTTGCTGAAGACCTATTATAATCCGGATCTTCACGGGTTCCACCTACCTATTACGTGTCAGCTTGACGTGGGAGATAAGTCGCTTACCACTTTGGGAAATCCTGGCTTTTAAAGTTTTAATGTTAATATTGATTTACTCGTTGTATAAGTAAATGTTATGCGAGCCTGACCACCCTATCCCGTTGGTCACCTTTTATCGATTGGATGAAGTCGGCTGGCCTGAAAAGTGAAACAGAAGGCTTTCTGTTTGCTGCTCAGGACCAGTCACGTTCCCATCGAAACCGTCAGTGTGTGATTTTGCATCAAAATGTGAATTTGAAATGTAGATTATGTAATTAATTTAATGAGACTGTCCATCACATTGTCAGGGTGTCCAACTTTGGCACAGACACAGTATATAAAGCGACATGATGGGGTGGCTCGATCATTTTATAACCGTATTCGCCATGCTTGTGGTTTTGACACAGAGGTCCATTCATGGTACGACCCGGAATATGTAGAAGTCGTCATGGAAAATGATCAATACAAAATCCTTTGGAATAGGTCCATTTACAGCCTCAAACGTACCCAGGCAAACAAACCTGATCTTGTTCTTTTTGATAAATCCAAAGAATTCATTTACATCATTGAATTTTCTGTCCCTTTTGACAGTAATTATAATGTGATTGACAAGATTGAAATGTCACGCTTGCATCCCAAGTACAAAGTTGTCCGACTCCCCATTGTTCTCGGTGCCTTAGGTTTGGTACCTCTCAATCTGTTGACTGACATTGGGAGAGTACCCGGGTTTGCTACCAGGAATAATCGGATAATCTGGGTAGGCTGAAGGCTGCAATGTTGGGGAGTCTTCACATTCTCCGAAAAGTTCTGGGTCGGTTTGACTAGGCAGCGCTTCCTGGGAGAAGTCCCATTCGCTGTGTGGGGTGCGTGTAGAGGGGGCCAGGGCCCTGAGCTGATGATGAGCCTAACCAGCCTGACTGTGCCAGGGTCACCCAAACCCTCTTTGCTGCATTTTTTTATTTTAATCTGTAAAAAATGATGATGATGATGATGATGATGATGATGATGATGATGATGATGACTCGACTGAAGGTTCATGGTGCTACTTTTTCATTACCCCGGTCAATGGACCATTATCAGCTCCCCGGGGTTGTACACAACCCATTTTGTCTGTGAGGCTGTGAGGTACACGAAGTCACATTACCATCTCATCCTACCGGGTATGCATTTACTTCTGGGTGAGGGGCGGTCGGGTAGCCTAGTGGTTAAAGCGTTCGCTCGTCACGCCGAAGACCCGGGTTCGAATCCCGACATGGGTACAATGTGTGAAGCCCATTTCTGGTGTCCCCCGCCGCGATATTGCTTGAATATTGCTAAAAGCGGCGTAAAACCCTACTCACTCACTCCCTCACTACTTCTGGGTGAACAGAATCAAAGCATTTTCGAACAAAGCAACTTTCCTCAGAAGACACCAATTGTGTTGGCGTCCATTTTTACCAGTTCAAGTATATATCTATGTATCATGCAAATTAGAAGGAACCAAGGCTTTTCCAATACATATTATACTGTTAACATTACATATAACGCTGACTAAAATATGTATTTTGATAAATATCCATTATGTAAGTTAATGTAATGTTCATGACTTTAAAACCTATCTCATTAACGTCCTTCGGCCATTCCATGTTACGGTGGGCGGTCAGCAACAGTGACATGATGTCAAACATGCGTGAGTCATAAGTGTCATGTCGCTATTAGACTATGTCGTTCTGACATCTTTCAGTGCTTACATTCAAATATATGGTAACCTTTCCCCTTTCAAAACGGCTTTGTACCTTCGGAAGTGTCATCAGTCGCCATCATCACCCACAAGTGTAAGTACACCTCCTATCTCCTCCTCTTCAGCTCTTACTTTATACAATACAATAACGTGTATTGTATACAATTTGTATAACTTGTACTTTGGTCAATACAATATTATATACAACAGTGAACGCTAATTAGTTGCAGTTATATTTAAGCCAAAATGTCAGTGTGATGTTATTTGCAAAATCGTTTCGGCTTTTCTTTATTTTATTAAGTTCGTTATCGTTACACCCTTGCCCTCACGATAAAACTGTAATATATGTGTCTGCTTTAACCTTACACGCCATTTTAAACACTTTCCATAATATTAACACTTTGGTACGTGCATCACTGGTTCTTTACGCTGAATTATCGGAATACAGATATACGATGCTATATGTATTTGGTTTATACCAGTTACCTTAGAGTACATGGCATTTAGTATGTAATATTTGAAAGAAGATAAGACTGGTGTGACAAATTTCGATTAAATAATAACATGTACAATGCTCTGCTATAACTTCTGCTTGCCATGTGATCTCAGTTAAGGAAATGCCATTTCTTGAGGCACAAAGGCAAACAGAAAAATAGTTGTTATTCTAATTGAATTGAATTGTTTAGAGTATCAACCCTAACCATATGGTAAATAAAAACAACTTAGTTGACTTGCCGATTTTATAGTGTCAGCTCACTTAGATACCATGCAGCAGTTTAACTTGAATACCCCACTCAGACACAAAATACCGACTCCGAGCCGACCAGTCCTTGTTTAATCCCCTTAATGCCGAGCGCCAGGCTGGGTGACAACATGTACCATCTCTTTTAGTCTTTTGGTATGACTTGGTATGACGTCGTCGAGCCCCGGACGCTCTACTACTTGACTCACGAAGGAGGTGCAAACAGACATTACAGCTGATGATATGTGATGCATCTATTTCATTTTCCAGCATCGCCATGAAGCTGCTCGTCGTCTTCATCATCGTCACCCTCATGGCGGCTTACTGCCAGGCACAGGGTAAGCAAATTGTTGATTGAACTCTTAAATATAAAACGACAACGCCAGAGAATAGTCTTAACAACAATAAACTACCAGTTATCTTCCCTTCCCTACAATAGTGGGGCGGTCGGGTAGCCTAGTGGTTAATGCGTTCGCTCATCACGCCGAAGACCCGGGTTCGATTCCCGACATGGGTACAATGTGTGAAGCCCATTTCTGGTGTCCCCCGCCGTGATATTGCTGGATATTGCTAAAAAAGCACATTCACTCACTCACTCGCTACAATAGTTAGGAATGTTGTCATTTTGGTAAATTTGGTCCTGTATGACTGAAACACGTAGATGTTCTATTATCGTTTGTGATAATAAAACTGTCTCCTATTTTTTTAATAATTATGCAATGTAGAACACGTTTGTACGACACACCTCGTCAAGGGATTGCAACGGCACATGTAGATATGAAATTCTCAATCAGAATGTAAGTACCGATGCTGTTATCCTACACAGAAGATTGTTTCAAATGCTAAGGTTCATACACATGGGTATGTCACGTGCACGTTTTCGTCATCTGTCACCCGTGCAGATCAGGGGTAGAATAGGTCTTCTCTGTCCTGTTTTGTCTTATTAACTTTCTTTCATAATACGGGGGGCACGGGTGGCCCAGTCGTCTAAGGCGCCGCGATTCGCTGTGCAGAGTTGCGTCCCTTGGGCACGCAAGAAACCTATGATTGTGGGTTCAAATCCCGGTTCGCCCCGATTATGTTTCAAGGTTTGTCAGCACCATACCCGTGCTCGTGGGTTTCACCGAAGTGGTAAACGTCTCAGACCTGCATCACTTCGGGCTTTCCCCCCACATTGAGCTGACACGCCGTGATATAACTGGAATACTGTTAAAAGCGGCGTTAAACCCAACTCACTCACTTATTCATAATACAAGATATGGCAAGTGTAAGTGTTATATTGTTTGCGTTTATAGAGATATAAACGTATATAGTGGTGTGCACCACGTGTAAATCTACGCAATGTATACTTCCAAAATATATTCTTGATTATACTTCACAGGCTTTTTTTAATTATTAACATACAAAACTGAAACAACAGTACGACATCATTCATCATTCAGCACTAGCCCGTCCATTGCGTTATCTGCCGATCGTGAAACAGTAGTCCATTACTGGATGTGGCCTAAAATCGTTGGTGGGGGGGGGGGGGGGGGGGGGTGGGGAAGATCGAACCCGGGTCCTCAGCGTGACGAGCGAATGTTTTAACTCGGAGGCTACCCAATCGCCCTTTAACCATCTTAACACGTATGGACACGTTATAGCAAAAGATAATCAAACAGGAAAGTCATCAATGCTCACAAGTAAAAATGTCTGACTTGTTTTTAAAACAATGTGTAATATAACCCAGAGTCGGTTGTGATGTGGAGTAGGTGACGTCGAAAAAAACATTACGACGTCTTGATGTATGGATAGCCAAGTCCCAGTCAGTGATCTAGATTTGATCACACAGCTGTATGATAAATATAACAACAAGCAGTCAGGCTTCCTATAAGATTTGATTTGATAACGTACGGTTATGCGTACGTTTGGTTTGATATATACATTGAATTATGACAGTGTGCAGGTTCAAGCCAATAACAATATATTTCAACATTTTGTCAAGATGTTGACGTTTTAAAGTAAGCATTGTGGTATAAAATATTTGTAAGATATTTGTATTTGATAAGTATTTGCATGCAGTCTATGCCAAAACACAAACAAAGATCCTATTTTTAATCTTCCTTTTGGACAGAGAATATTCTTATATAGTTTATGGTGATACCTCACATTACCCTATCCAAGGACACCTGCTAGTGTAAATATGATTTTGGAATATTTATAATTCCTAATTCCTATTCTCTGATAGTGTGACTGTACAACAATAAGATGACATAACGTACGATTATGCGTACGTTTGGTTTCATAGATACGATGAATTATGACAGTGTGCAGGTTCAAGCCAATAACAAATATATTTCCACTTGGCAAGATGTTGACGTTTTAAAGTAAGCATAAGTCAATTTGCATTGTGGTATAAAATATTTGTAATATATTTGTATTTGATAAGAAAAGGACTTTGCATGCAGTCTATGCCCAAACACAAACAAAAATCCTATTTTTAATCTTCATTTTGGACAGAGAATATTCTTAAATAGTTTATGGTGATACCTCACATTACCCTATCCAAGGACACCTGCTAGTGTAAATATGATTTTGGAATATTTATAATTCCTAATTCCTATTCTCTGATAGTGTGACTGTACAACAATAAGATGACATAACGTACGATTATGCGTACGTTTGGTTTGATATATACATTGAATTATTACAGTGTGCAGGTTCAAGCCAATAACAAATATATTTCAACATTTTGTCAAGATGTTGACGTTTTAAAGTAAGAATAAGTCAGTTTGCATTGCAGTACAAAATATCTGTAAGACGGCCTTTCTCAAAAAGAGCTCGCCTTCAAATCTATCTGAAGGATGTATATATTCTGGAATTATACTTGTGTGAAATAAGAACATCCCTTTTACCAAAGTTTATGCTTTTGTCCTTGATGTTGTCACCATTTTCAGTAAAACCACTTATTCTATTTGAGGGTGTATGTTGGACTGTTTTTGTTGGGTGGACACGTTTTCTAATGTTCAAAAAATATTATGACCTCATGACGTGGTGAAGTGACGTCGAGAGTACTAATATTGTTACATGTTTATGACGATATATTTTGTATGTTGCTTTTCGTTGTGCAGGAATGGCTGGATCCAGTCAAGGTCGAGGCGGAAATGGTTTTAATATAAATCAAATACTGCCATACCTGCTTCAAGCTCAGATGCAGAACAGTCAAAATGCTTTTATGTGGGCCGCCATGTCTTAAAGCAGAAACATTTTCTGTGAAATAAATGATGAAAATACTTTCCGTTTTGTTTTATTTCTAGATGCAATATACCAAGCGTCATTCCTGAGGTCATTGTTGACGTCACGCAGATAAAAAAAAGACAAAAATATTCAAAAAACGTCACATTTTCAACTTCAAAGAGTGCAGGTCAATTGCATCTGGAATGAACCAGTCTGTACTCACATTGACAGTTAGTTGTCATGTATTGCACGTGCACGGGCTACACCACTGTTTGTGGTCAGGCGTGTGTTTTAAGAAGCTTTTTTCCATCAATCTTGCACTTTTCATTGTTTGTAATAGTCGCCAATTTTTCCAGTTTCATAAAATCCTCCACCCAGTGTGACATAGGCTTCAACAGCTTGCCCTTCAACTGTCAACGCACTCAACCCTACGGAGGCTTGTTGGCGTATTTGTTAATATTTAACACCCTACATACATACCTTGGTGACCCGTCAGTGATGAGGCTGATTATATTTCTACTGCCATACCCGGTTCCCTATCACGTTTGTCCGAGACCGTTCATGCACAATAACAGCTGACAACATGTGTTTTTATTGTAGTGAATTTGGCAAGCCTTTTGGGCTTCGGCGGCGGTGGTGGTTTGTTTCAAAGACCATCCCGGAAATTGATACGCAGAAATCAAGGCATGGCTAGCAACTTTGTCATAACATTCAAATCGAAAATATAATTCATAATATCGAAATAAAAAGTTTAACGTTTGAAAACAACATGATCATTAACATCAAGCATCCTAGCAAAAGAGCGAAAACCGTATGTCAAAACTATTGTTTTCTGTTAAACTTGTTTGATAATTTCAAAGCACTAAATTAAAGACTATTATCTACAAACATTCGAATAACTGAAAATTTCAAATTTATCATACGGTTTTTGCCTTCTGTTGTAGATCTTTTGTTGCAATCATTGCTGGGACGCTCAAGTGGTATGGGGCTCGGTAGCCTACTTGGAGGGGGCCAACAAACCGCACCACAGCAGCAACCTCTAACACTCCAACAACTTGCTCCAGCCATGCTGCTGTCCAATATGAACTTCCAGAATAGAATGATGAGAGACATATTTTAATTCATATGCATAGTCAGTGTACGTTTTGAAACTTTACTTTCAAGACTTGAAGGTGTTGTGCCCATGATCAATGGCCGTGATCGCTGATGGTATGACAAACACAAACCGCTTGTTTTATAAGTGTGTTTTAGCCAATACAATAGCATGCAATTCGTTATTATTTTTTGTTTAAAGCATCGATGTCAGAATGCACCATACCCCATGTAAACATTGATAATAATTCCGACCAAATAAATATTACTAAAGCTTCAAATTCGTCAGAAGTGTTTGTTTCATAAATCCTCTACTACATTAAAGTCAGCAACGTGATCGAAGCGGTAAGCTCATCATCGGTGACCAGGCTAGAGGGGCATGGATGGGGTTCGAATGGTGTAGATTATTTGGCCGACTGACAGACACACCACTACAATGACAATGTCATTTATGAATGACATCAATAGTTTACAAAACGGCAACGTGTTGGGACTTATATGCACGCACATAGAGTTTACAATGATGGAAGAACATCATCACGTTTATTTGTGTTATTTGTCGTTGATTTATAGATGTAAAGTTTATATCCAGTGAGCCGAAAAATGGTACTTATATTAGATAGTACACGTTGCCATAGGACCGAAACAGTGGCGACGTTATTCAGAAAACTACCCTTTGCACCTTTTCATTATTTTAGAGGTGTTTGAAGAAAAATGTCCTTCTGAGTGTCACTATATGTATTTGCCAACATTCACAGGGTTAAAGTAACAACATGTATATGCCGCCAAAATTACATGCTGACATCCGAACTATAAACCCTTCGTTGATGGAATGATCACCTGGAATTATGCGCCAAGACTTCTTTTATTCGGTTTGGTATATGTCAAATCATGACATCATCATATTTGAAATTATGATTTAATTACAGGACCAAGACAACTCTTAGAAGGAATTATATGGATGGACACTTCGACCAAAAGGCATTATAAAACAAGCACATTCTCTTTGGAATTGTATTTGATTTGCAGGTAAACTTGCATTTGCACTGTTTCTATTGAACAGGTTTGGGCGTGATTCTTGCAGCTTTACTTGGGTCAATGAATCAGCCTCCGTCTCAACCGTCACAGCAACAACAGCAACAACAACAGCAACAGCAGCGACAACAGCAACAGCAGCAACAGCAACAGCAACAACAGCAGCGACAACAGCAACAACAGCAACAACAGCAACAACAGCAACAGTTCGGTTTCAGGCCACAAGGGCAAAGTCAAATACAGAACAACGTACAGCCCAGATCTGCCCCGCCAAACAATAACAAATCTATAATTGATATGTTAATGTTGAACCAAATGCTTCAGGCGAATAGGATGAATACATTAGCTTTCATACATGCAAATTAGCTTGGATTAAAGGGTAATTCATGCAAATATATTTGTCATTTTATCTTTAGTTATACCGTTAGAAACGTCGGGGCAAGGCAGGCTCATTGTTTGAGGGTGCTGCTGAGTTGACCGTGTTGGGATCAATTGACGGTTATTCTTGGTCTGTCAGCACCAGATACCCGTGGGTAAAGTGTTAAACGCCCAGCTCCTGCTTTGTCTTTTTACGTGCTGCTTTCAAACAGAGATTTAGGACTTAATCTCGTTAAAGTCAGATCTTTTAGTCCGATACGATATTTCCCTGTACGGAGAGCCGACGACACTACCACTGGAGTGAGTGAGTGAGTGAGTTTGGTTTTACGCCACTTTAAGCAATATTCCAGCAATATCACAGCGGGGGGACACCAGAAATGGGCTTCACACATTGTACCCGTGTCGGGAATCGAACCCGGGTCTTCGGCGTGACGAGCGAACGCTTTAACCACTAGGCTACCTGACCGCCCCCACTACCACTGGAGGTAGCATCAGGTGGACTCTTTAATTGGCCAATTTGGGTTTAACGTCGTGTTCAAGATAATTGCACTTATATAGCGATGTGCATGCACTTTGAAATAGTGATGATACCAGTTGTTGGCGAAAAGGTGAGCATATCCTGCATCACCGGTAGCACCCGTCATAAACACATGCAAAGGCAAGTCAGTTCTTCACCTGACAAATCAGGGGAACTTATGGAACAAGTAAAATAGGGAATTTTGTAACTGATGCGTCATCGTGATACGTCATATTTGGAAATGCCCTCGCCACGTCTACCATAAAACGTTTTCCAAGCTTTACTGAGGCCATGACATTAAAAGTTGTAACCCTGATCATTAATGAAGCCATATTGTTTTAGAGAGATTATGTTTGGCTGGCTCAAGACCACAAGCATTCCTCAGTTAGATTGGACGGGCAAAGTTCTGCTCAGAATTCACCCGTAGAGGTGTCGTCAGAGAGGCACACAGAAAGGTTTTGTTGGTTCCAGCTACATGACGGTGGTCTGTAAAAAATCGAGTCTGGCCCAGACAATCCAGTGATTGACATCATGAGCAACCTCTACAACCTCATTTTATCCCCGCTATCGTGTTTGAGTTGTACTTAACCCCCTCAGATACCAACACCCCACACATCAAATGTATTAGCCGTACCGTTCTCCACGTCATGAAATGTCAGTATAAGACAAATATACATGATTGATTCTCACAGTGATTTGTTTGTTTGTCAACGCTGCACTCAGCAATATGACGGCTGCTTGTAAATAATTGGGTCTGGACCGGACAATTCAGTCATTGGTTTTATGAGCATCGATCCAAGCCGTCAGGGTACGATGACATGCATCAACCAAGTCACCGAGACTGACCACCCGATCAATTCCGCAGTCCCCACTGTATTCCGCGATTCCGCGGTCGCGGAATATTTTGCAGAAAAGCCCGCTTGGTACAGAAATGTACCTATCTTGCAGAAAATCACAACTTGTGCAGAACTCACGAAGAATTTGAGATACAGATTATTTGTCCAGTGTAAATATAATTAATTAGGAAAAACATTGTACGAGCCTTTGACAAAGGTAATACAGATTTGTAATCAATCCTTATACATGTTTGTGCTATTCAATACAAGCTAAGGAAACCCCAATATGAAGGATATGTGTTGTAATACCCACAAGCCAAGACAGATTAACTATATTCATATGAAAAAATCAGGTGTTATTCAACTTATTGACATTAAAGACACGGAAACAGACGAGGGTAAATCTTCCTTGTGATATAATGTCTTTCTTAAACATACTCGAAGTTTAAGACATTGCATTTCACTGTTTTTAACTTTAGAAACTGTGTAGGAAAACAAAGCCTGAGTAAACCGCCCCATTTATGATACAGTGTTAAATGACTTGCATCCATGTTTGCAAAAATCAGTACTCCTACACGGGGAAACCACAACATTACATCCGTGCACAGAGCTTAGTAAAAGTAGTTCTGCTTGCATATTTATAATATTTATAAAATAATATATCGGATCGGGATAACAAATTGGCTTAACGCACAGTCAACGCTGTCCATTATATTATAACAATTATAATACACAGACCTGTTGTTGATTTTTCACATGGCCAGCTGAACATCTAGAGACGTCGACGAATACCCTAATCTTGTTCACTTTGACTGTTTTAGTACTGCAGACAACATAACATGGAATCATTGACATTCTCTATGATAATGCGCGGTAGTAGTCCGTAGTCCACGGTAACAGTGTATTTTCAAGGAATGAGTGAGTTTGGTTTGTATTTTCAAGGAATGAGTGAGTTAGGTTTGTATTTTCAAGGAATGAGTTAGTTTGGTTTGTATTTTCAAGGAATGAGTGAGTTTGGTTTGTATTTTCAAGGAATGAGTGATTTGGGTTTGTATTTTCAAGGAATGAGTGAGTGGGGTTTAACGCCGCTATGAGCATGATTTCAACACAATGCGTGTGGCACCTTAGAGTGAAACCCAAGAGCAAGGGTATGATGTTGACAACCGAAGCTTTTTAAACGGACGAACCCAGTGTTCAGATACATAATCAGCGGATAAATAAAACGTGGATTTGTTTGTTGATTATAAAATCAGTCCGAAGATATAGACAGTCACAAATCATCTGTTCTAAAACGATACACAGGATTAAAAATTCGAAAACATGTGCATTAATTTCATACACTGGATTTCATAACGCCAAGCGCCATACATTTCTTAAACAAATTTGTTACATTTTATTTGTCGAAAACCTTTACTTACAACAAGAATAAACTTGGATATATCGGTTTGTGGGTCAGAATGTATACAATGAAATTAAACCTTACTTGGATATTAGTGAGTGAGTGAGTATGGTTTTACGCCGTTTTCAGCAATAGTCCAGTAATATCGCGGCGGAGGACAACAGAAATGGATTTCTTACATTGCATCCATGTAGGTACTTGGATATGAAAATTTGATATGAACACAATTTGTACTTCTTGATGTTCCTAGATCACAATTCAGGAAATGCTAATCGAGACCAGATCAGTCTTGTGTTTTGTGTGTATCAAACGCTTTCGAATCTCAAGCCTTTGTGAACTAAAGTTCAATGAATTATGAGAATCGACTTAGAATCAAACTTATTTCCGCTTATATTCACGTAATGTGACACTTGTCTGACACAATTATTTATGTTATATGTTATATCAAATTGTCCAGCGAGCGGTTTGGGCAACGGTTTGTTTGGCAGAATTATGTCCAGGGACTGGTTTTAGGAACCGTTGGTTTGACATAATTATCCAGCACCCGGTTTGGGCAAAAGTTTGTTTGACCTAATTATCAAGTGACCGGTTTGAGCAACGGTTGGTTTGACCTGGTTATCCAGCGACCGGTTTGAGTAACAGTTGGTTTGACATAACTATCCAGCAACCGGTTTGTGCAACGGTTGGTTTGACATAATTATCCAGTGACTGGTTTGAACAACAGTTGGTTTGACATAATTATCCAGTGATCGGTTTGAACCACAGTTGGTTTGACGTAATTATCAAGTGACTGGTTTAAACAACAGTTGGTTTGACCTAGTTATCCAGTGATCGGTTTGGGCAACAGTTGGTTTAAGATAATTATCCAGCAACCGGTAAGAGCATCAGTTGGTTTGACTTTATCCAGTGACTGGTTTGAGCAGTTTCTTTACTTTACCCCTCAAGCTTTGTACGTTTCCATGTCATGACTATCTTTTAGATAACCTTTGGTTACGGCGTGAGTGGCCGAGGACAGTTCAGACATTGGTTTTGAAAGCTGAGTAAAGTTTTAATTCCTATAAAACAGCTCAGTTGTCCTGACTGTTGATCACCAGTCAGAAGTCAGTCAGGTTAGAAACTTCGAAATATCGTTCCTAAAGTGTTGTTTAAAATGTTCGACTCGCAGCTTAAACCTATATGGTTCGGAGATTTGGGGTGTTCATAAATGGTTGTTTCTCGAACGTTTCCAAGCGAAGTTTTGTAAATCTGTTTTGGTAATTAGTTCCAAATCTACAAATGTTGCAACGCTCGGAGAATGTGGTCGATATGGTATTTATATTGATTCTTACACACGATGGTTTAAGCTTCTTAATATGTCTCAAGAGAGATTTCCAAAAAGGTATTACGATTTGTTAGTTAGGTTTGATGCCGTTGGTAGGAATACATTCGTTTCTGCTATTAAGAATATGTTATATTCTCTTGGCTTCGAACATGTGTGGGACCTTCAAGGTGCTGGTGATCCTGAATATTGTATAAGTGAGTTTATACTGAGGGTTAATGAGTGTCATGGTCGCTCTGGATGCTCGAAATTAGAACTGTATTCATTAATTAAGACATCATTATCACCGACGTATGCTTACCTTTTTACGTTTGGAGAACATAACACAGAAAGGAAGGATGGCATCGATAAGACACTCCGGTTTTGACCATTGTGCAAGTTAAGGGCAGTTGAAAATGAAATTAATTTCATTCTTGTTTGCCCTATTTATGAAGATAATCGCTCAAATTATTTCCCATATTTAGACTTTATTACTGGTAATAATCGTTAAGAAATATATACTTAGAATGCTAAACTCCTCTGATATAAACTGTCTTGAGAACTTAGACAATTATGTTAAAGAGGATATCTGTCTTCGTTCTTCATACCTGAAAATATTATATCATACAGCACTTGATGTGAAACAAAATTGTATATATCTGTACGTGGGCCTGAGGACCTATTACCGAATAAATTGATTGATTGATTGAGTGAGTGTGATTATGCCATTTTGTAGGAATATTCCAGCAATATCACCGTGGGGGACATCACAAAGACTTCACACAAAAGTATTGGTTATGAAACGAAACTGATTTCAGAGTGTTTGTTAAATATTTATTCATTTTACTATGTACAAAAACCGACAACAAATTATACTATGACATTGTTGTTTGACATTGTTGACACGTTACTGAAATCACATCTCAATCCAAACCCTTCAGCGCCTTTGTGCTGGGATATCACATTTACAAGTAGCAGAGTTAAACAGTGACCCTTGAGCACATCTCATTGTCACCCATGTAGAGCCAAATGTGTTTTGTTCAAAGAAGTGCCCAGTTCGATCATATCTCCTCTTGTCACAATCTGCAAGAAATAACGACTTATTTACACAGCGATGAAGAGAACATTTGTGGTCGAGGGACTATCGAGTGCTTGGGTTCGTGCATGTTGCTAAACGTCATCGTTGAGTGGCATAGCTCAGGGATTAAACTCCATTTAGTTATAGGATTGAGTGAACGTTATAGCTGTTACAGTATTAAGGTGACTTGTAAATATGAAGTCTTGAACGAAAACTGTGACTCGGGAAGAACCCTCTCAATCATTCGCGTTACGGTGCCTGACCATTTCATCCATTTAGTCGTTGTGGTGCTGAGGACATATTCTAACCCGGATCCCTACAGGGGCCATAAATGATGGCATCAGGATGCCGATCTGGAATCGCAATTGGTGTGTATCTCTTCTTTAGCTATGACGCCTGTTCTTTCTTTAAGATAAAACACTGATCCTACAATGACCCCAGTTCCCGGAGATACAACTTTATAAGGAGTGGTAGAGTAGTCTAGTTTGCAGACCGATAGGTCCTGACTTTGATATGGAAAGGGTTTTGTCGCTTTATTTATGTGAAGACAGAGCATGGGGACCAATCTTCATGTCCACACTGGTGTTGCCGGGATATTGCTACACACGAAAATACATACTGGCTTCCTCGCTCACTCACGACCTCGCTCACGACTTCACGCACTCACTTATGACATCATTCAAGACCTCACTCGACTTACACACGACCTCTCACACGGCCTCGCTCTCTTTCAGAACTTCATTCACGAGCTCATGATTTCACTCACGACTTCACTCACTCACTCACCCACTCACTCACTCACCCACTCACTCACTCACCCACTCACTCACTCACTTATGACCTCATTCAAGACCTCACTCACCTCACACACCTCACTCTCAATCTCACTCACAAAATATCTTACCCACTCATTACCTCTCTGACTAACGATCTCACTCACGACCTCACTCACGACTTCACTAACTCACTCACTTATGACCTCATTCAAGACCTCACTCGACTTACACACGACCTCTCACACGGCCTCACTCTCAATCTCACTCACAAAATAACTTACACACTCATTACCTCTCTGACTTACGATCTCACGCACGACCTCATTCACGAGCTCACGATTTCACGCACGACTTCACTCAAGACATCACCCACCCATTCACTCATTCACGACTTCACTCAAGACCTCACCCACACTCACTAACTCACCTCTTTCTAGACCACACACACGATATCACTCAAAATCGCACTCACTACCTCATGATCATTCAAGGCGTCACTTACTCACTCAGTGGGGCGATGATGCAAGTCACGGTACTCACGATTCGGTCGCGCGACACATGCACATTCCTGAGGGTTGTAGATCAGATGGTCTGGACATGTCATTACGCTCTCCTGTTTGTTGATCACCAGTCGGAAGTCATTCAGGTTAGACGTCTCTTCCATGTAACACTCTGCAGGTGATAATACCAGTGTTTAATGCATGAAGGGCCATCAACCAAGTTACAGAGAGACACAAACATAATCTTTTTACAGTCCTGCAATTTGATGTATAATCTAGCTTCGTATAAACATTTGCATTGAAACAAGGCTGGCAAAAGGCGCATTTCATTAAACTGAGAGCATTGTGCTCGCACAAGATCTCTCGACATCCCATTACAGTGGGACTAAATAAACTTGTCTCTCTGTCTGTCTGTCTGTCTGTCTATTCTGGTCAGAACAACCTTCTGAATTTAGAGAGCTTGTATCAAGACGGACACCCAATCCGCTTACACGCAGACTCTCCAAACAAAAAGACAAAAATATCTTTAGCCCTTTCACTTATGGACATGGTTATATAAAATCAAATAAATTATATGTATATATTTGACACAAAATGGAATACACAAATCGAAACTGCGGTATATCCAAAGGACGGATCTGGCAAAATCAACTGACCGTGAAAACACTACACCATTCTTCCCTTTGCTCTCATAATATTAAACCAAACACAAAAATGTATCGTCATAGAACTAATTCAGCATCATGAAATGAAACGGTAAATTTCTCCGGACACAAATCCTACCTTCATTTAAACTCAAGTCAAACATGTTGCCTTGGAAACGTAAACAATAAATATTGATAAAAATCCTGAATGGTGAAAGGTTACAATTTAGCGCAAATGTGCGAATAAACAACAGTTTCGTGAAGAAATATTACGGTTTGGGAAACGAAGCATGATAGACGGGTTATTATACTGAATTCGTCAACTATCATGTGATAACTGATGTGATCTCAGATGATGCAACTATGGTCGGCTCCATTCAGTACCAAATCATTTCCAAATATATTTTACCAATAAAAATTGTTCAGAAATGTGAGCGAATGAATATTGCTTAAGGCTGAAGTCTGCAATATTACAGCTATATCACAGAGTTTTTGTAAATTATCAAGCCTCGGCCAGGCTGACCCAGTAAGTGAAAGCATGACCAAGGTTTATGTTTCTCTTTGTTGTTCAACGCCGCACTCAGCAATATTCCAGCTGTATGACGGCGATCTGTAAACAATCGATTCTGGACGAAAGAGTCCAGTAATCGACATCATGAGCATCGATTCACGCAATTAGGATACGATGACATGCCAAGTCAGCGAGTCTGACCACCCGATCCCGTTAGTGGCCTCTTACGCATAGTCGCTTGTTATAAGCATGGGTTGATGAAGACCAATTCTAACCCGGATTTTTACATGTGCTGGACCAATGATCTGGGCACGGAGAGCCGTTATCAATCATTTCCGACAATCCAGTGATTGGTATTATGCGCATCGATCTACGCCGTCAGGGTACGATGACATGCATCCAATCATGTCACCAAGCCTTACCACCCAATCAACTCAGCAGTCGCCGCTGTATTCCGCGATTCCGCGGTCGCGGAATATTTTGCAGAAAAGCCCACTTGGTACAGAAATGTACCTATTCTAACCCGGATCTTTACGTGTGCTGGACCAATGATCATGGCACGGAGAGCCGTTATCAATCATTTCACCAAGTCTGAGCCGCGATCAATTTCGACGCCTCTAACAAGCACTAACAAGCACTGGACACAGTTCATCAAATATATACATTACCAACGTTTCTTTGATCCCTGGGAATGCTGGAACTAAAGCCGCAAATACACAGATCTCTGACGAAGATAAGCCCAAGTGGGCATTTCAGGTCCACCCATTCTCCTGCCTGAGTCAACTGCTGAAAGATTGTTCCATCTCGGCTCAGAGGGCGCTTGTCGCAAACTGTCAAGTGAAAGTGGTATTCAAAAGGATTGGTGAAGGGAAACGGGCATATGTTTTGAGTGGGTGAGTGAATGAGTAGGGTTTTACGCCGCTTTTAGCAATATTCCAGCAATGTCACGGCGGGGACACCAGACATGGGCTTCACAAATTGTACCCATGTCGGGAATCGAACTCGGGTCTTCAGCGTGACGAGCGAACGATTGGCCACTAGGCTACCCGTCCGCCCCGCGCATGCTTTGAACATTGAGGACTTAAGACATGCATTTAACAGACTGAAACACCAAAGAGTGACAATTTGAGCAGTAATAGTAATACATATATTTGTGTCATAATAGTTAAGTATCTTTTGTAAGTTGCGGGAAAATTACAATTCTGTTGCCTGTATAAAAGAAGTTGCATTTAAGGGGTTGTTATGTTTACCTTGAAAGCTAAATATATTTCCTTTGGTAAATATTTTAAAAAAATTATCTTCTGATATCTGCCCAAGTCAATCGGTCAAATCACTCCAACTCCTCAAAATATGCGTGCATTCACATAATATCTGGATGAATTCATGTTGTTGTGAGTTTTTTTGAAATATTAATTTCATGTGAAAAACCTAGTTTGTTTGTTTGTTTGTGTGTTTAGTGTTTGTTTGTTTGTTTGTTTGTGTGTTTGCTTGCTTGTTTGTCAGAAAGCCGCACTTAGCAATATTCCTTATGGTTACAAAGGTCTTCATGGATTGGAAGACATGTCTACTCTTTGCGTGAATACCAGCGTGAATCGACAAAACACATTGAGACCAATCTGAAAACTTAAACCATAGAGACTCTATCAGGCCCCACTGACTGCATGGATACTTACCATCAGTGGTTTGTCGACAGTTACATCTGTCTGTGTTAAACACTTCCTTGCCATCACACATGAGAACTCGCTCAAAGCCACCATAGTGCAACACAAACTCCCGCGCATTCAGTGGGCTTCCAACAATATAGCATCCTGAAACAAATAATGGAATAACGGTCAAAACGAATAAATTTGGTCTTTATTTAGCTTCATTTACAAATTTGGTGAGCACAGCGCCCCGATTACCCGAATCGTACATACGCTGAGATCTCCAGAGTGCTAATTTTTGACGTTATGGAACTCACAGTGTGTTGTCATCTCCTATGGAGGCGGTCGGGTAACCTAGTTGGTAAAGCGTTCGCTCGTCACGTCGAATACCCGGGTTCGAATCCCCTAATTGGTTAAAGCGGCATAAAACTTTATTCAGTCACCCATTTTCTATGTGTCAAAAATAGATCACATAGGTTCACCGCATCACCTTGCATGTTATCGAAATTTGGTTTAATGCGGTGTCTTCACGCAACGAATGATGCACTGCATAAAGACTCATTCGCTACGCCAGTGTGACTCAAGCCTTACATTGTACCCAGTAAAAGAAATTCCATTGGTATATACTCAAGTCTACAAAGAAACTTTTTAATTTCTTGAACATCAACTATCTTGACTATCCCTTCTGGGTGATATTTTTTTCATAATTATTCTTTTGTTTCCGAGTAGATCATACATTATGAATATTTATGAACAAATAAACAATTTCCATATTCATCAGAGTCGATTGTAAGATTCCAACAATATGATCAGTATGAGTTTATGAATCATTATGAAATAGTGATGATTCCAGGTGCCCGTACTGCCCCACCGGGGGCACCCGTCACAAACACATGCAAAGGCATAGTATATTTGCTTCTTATATATTCTGTACATAGTACATGGAATGAGAAAGAGAAACATTTGGATTGACTGCAGTTTGAGAAGGTAAAACATTCAGTTGTCTCATGATAGTTTAGTCTGTCTTTTTGAAGTTGCAGAAAATAACATTTTTCGTGCCTGTATTTTTCTATGAACAAGTTGCATTTAAGGAATTGTTATGTTTCTCTTGATAGCAAAATATAATATTTCCCTTTGGTAAATGTCCAAGCACTCCAACTCCTCACAATATGGGTGCATTCACAAACTATCTGGATGAACTACTGCTCTTGTGAGTTTTTGGACATGTTTATTTCTTTGTTATAATGATTGTTTGCTTGGGTTTTTGGGGTTTTTTTTGCAGAAAGCCGCTCTCAGCAGTATTCTTTATGTTGACCCGGAATCTCCACGGTTTCTTGTGATAAAAATACGGATATAATAAAAACAATCATTGCTTCCAAGGAATCGACCATTTGTGTTTGACTTTATTCACGACGGAGATAATTACAAGGGAGGGGGGGGGGGGGGGGGGGTTATTGTGATATATTTGCTTCTCAAACGTAAATCAACTCCAAGCTATCGAAAATTTGCTTCCTGTGATGTTTAGCGCATTGTGGCGTCAACATTGTGACGTCACAATGACACGCCAGGTACCTCGGAACGACGAGGTAACAATAACCTAACATACATTCAACGAAGCATGCTCCGCCAATCAGAGCCCCTGGTTTTGTAGTAGCTAAGTTCAAGTGATAGTCAAATTTCACTCAGATACTAATCAATCATTCCCTGAAGTATTTTCCTCCTGCATGTAACGTTATTTTTATGTTGACCCACATATTACTTTAAGTCGTGTCAGAAATATATAAATATAACACATTACGTATATTTGCATGTTATATATTGTGGTAATAACATCGGAATTAGAAACGACATGTTTATGTGTAGAACATGCTTAAAACTGACAATGATTTACAACCTTCTCGGACTTCCTTTCACCAAGGTGTGAACCTGCATTATCGTGGTTACATGGCAGGTACGACATCTTTATGTCCGAGTCATAATGACATGACTCGAGGAAATATGATGACAGGCCATAACTATAAACCACAAACCACGTGTACTGCCTTCAATATATTTTCAAAAACGAGATAAAAACAACTTGGATGGGTTTTTTAAAACAAGAATTCAATTCCGCAACGTAATAATTGATCCCATGTTCATGATCTATGTATTGGCTAAACATATATTAAAACTAACACTGTTGTAATTGTTATAAATCTGGTTCCGTTTATTAATCATAGTTTCAGCTTTATATTACATTACATTTTCTCAACGTTACAATACGGAATGACAGAAGGTCCATCCGTTATTATTCATCAGGACAACTTCCTGCCTACAAATAGAACAAATTATTAACATACTTTTATATTTTAAGGAGCGTTTTTGTTCCTTGACTCACTTACTGTCACAGTGGACGAGACAGGAACTGGCGATAATCCCAGCAATCGCACCCAGCAAGCTGCGGAAGGCCATGATAATCTAAAATACAAAACAAAAACCATAGAGAAAACATGTAGCAGGAAATACATGTGAAGTGTTTTTAAGAAAAAATAGACTTTTCAATATATGTCAATTTTATGACAACTGTATTGTAGATTATTTTCTGCACACATATATAGTTGCAACAAAAAACACTCACCTTTATGTTGTCAGTATTGATGGAAGTCGCCCTATTCTGCTGCCAATGCTTATAATACAAGGAAGGGAAAATACATGTCCACCCACCGTTATGGATAATGTTGAACAAATAACAGACTGCTCGCGTCAAGCTTGGGCACGATTCTGGCATCTGCATGCTTTTAGTGGCAACATGTATTAAATGTACTATAACTACTCCTTTCTGTCTGTTATTTCATGTAGAATTAACGACTGTTTACGTCGTAGTTTCCGTCGTACATAACGGAAGACCTTTATGTATTTAAGGATTGACTGTGTATTTTTTTCGGTCCATTGAGGTATGAATCGAAAAACCGATGTGCAAACTGTATGAATCCGGTTTATGTATATGATGATGAAAAAAGGTCATCACGACGATGTGAAAGGATTTCACTGCCATGCATACAAATGTGTTTGTTTTGTTTTATATTTTGGAAAAAGAATATTTTGCATTAATGTCTATTATCAGTGGAGCTAGGACTTAAGATGCTTGTTCACATATTCTGGAAGCAATTGGTATAATTTCTTTCGAACATCTGATTGTATGAGTCACTTCCAACCACGACTAGTTTAAAAATATTAATATCTTAATTTGTTAAATCATTCAGTAATTGTTAACCCTGTCACCCTGAACATGGAATTACTATTCACACGTAATGAATCACGCTGTCACGTACTCACACTTTCCTCTGTCAAACAGATTCCCCGATGCTCTCCCTTCAGAGGAAAATTAGTTTAAAAAATGCTGGTACCGAACAACGGAATACATTACATTTCTACGAAAGCCTATTAGGGCCAAATTCATTGATAACATTTTTTTATTTAAAAGTTGTAATAACAAGTTGTAAAGTTTAATTACAAGTTGTAAAGGTGTATTTACAAGTTATAAAGGTGTAATTACACGTTAAAAAGGTGTAATTACACGTTAAAAAGGTGTAATTACACGTTAAAAAGGTGTAATTACACGTTAAAAAGTTGTAGTTACATGTTTTTAAGGTGTAATTTCAAGTTTAAAAGATGAAAATACAAGTTTTTAAAGGTGTAATAACTAGATTTAAAGGCGTAATTACAAGTTTAGAAATGGAAATAACAAGTTTTGAAAGGTGTAATTACAGGTTTGAAAAGGTGTAATTACAGGTTTGAAATGGTGTAATTATGAGTTAGAAATGTGAAATGTCACTGAATGATCAAAGCATTTGAAGTTCTGTATTGCCTGAAGGACTGACGTAGAAGTATGGACGGGGACAATTATTTTGGATGTTTTTAGATGAATTGGGCATTGAAAAGTCTGTAACTGACAGAAAGAACCCGTTTCAGAGTTCGTTTACTGATAACAACATTGTCTGCTAATGCCAGAAAGCACAATATTTCTGTTGGTGCAAGCCCCAAATCATAATACAACTTCACTTTTCTATTTATGTTTCTTGATGCCATTTGGGACAGACGTCCTCCCTCCAAGATATGTTCATTTGCCCCTTATTCTGAATTTATAAGCAGTTCAATGGTTAAACTTGTAATTACAACTTTTTAAACTTGTAATTACACCTTTACAAGTTGTAATTACACCTTTAGAAACTTGTAAATACACCTTTACAACTTGTTATAACAACTTTTAAATAAAACATGTTATCAATGAATTTGGCCCTAATAGGCTTTCGTACATTTCGACAAGGAATAAGTTGTCTGAACGTGACATCTTTAGAATACATGTAGAAAACATCGGAGAACACTGGACTTGCTACGATGAATATTTATGTAGATTTACGTATTCTATTTATCATCCATTATCTTATTGTACGAAAATGGAATCAGATCACCAGTCAAGCCGTTATTGCAACGGCCTCTCAAAATATTACAATGACCTCATAAAATATGGTGACGCCATCCAAACAATGGAACAAGAGATGTTGGTTAGTAGGTTAGCATGAAAAAATATTTCTCGGGGATAAAATTTATAATTCCCCAGGATATGGTCGCTGAAAAACAAGTGAATGAACGTCGGCCGAAGCGAGGACGTTTCATCTATCCCCAAGCAGCATTATGAGACCCTCGAATCGTTACCAAAGAACAACGAATAACTTTTCATGAGCCAGTAGTGGTAGTGTGACAACCATGGCCCAGAACTGCCACACCCGGGTTCGTCATCCGAGGCATAGAATCATAACAGCAACCTCTACACCTTACAAAGTATGCGTAGGACATCAGCTCAGACGCCGTAAAGCAGGTATTCGAGCTAGACGGCGTCATTTTGACGGACCAACATCGTCGACTACGAATTCGGTGATATCGTGGCCAAAATGTATGGCCTCACCTGCGATGGAGAACCATTAGGCTGATATGGTGGCCGTGTTCAAGACCGCGGTTTACATCCCGAACATATAACCCTGCCGGGAACAGGAGAAAATCGTGCCCAGTTTGAATGCTTTCTCAGATATATTTGCACTTATATGTATAACTGCACTTAACATAAGATGCGATTGTGAGTGAGTTTGGTTTTACGCCGCTTTTAGCAATATTCTAGCAATATCACGGCGGGAGGACACCAGAAATGGGCTTCACACATTGTACCCATGTCGGGAATCGAACCCGGGTCCTCAGCGTGACGAGCGAACGATTTAACCACTCGGCTGCCCGACCGCCCCGTTGACTATAAGAACCAGTGGTGTCTTCAAAATGGATTTCAGCAAATGGAGCACAGGCCAGTCATAACGTTTTAGGCCAAATGGGTGGAACGACAGAACTACATGATCGAATAGTCAAGATGATGCGGAATGATGCTGGACAGTTTAAAAAAATGTAAGCTAGTGAGTCCTTCGAGGATGACCCAAGGTGACAGCCCTGAAATTATAGCTGCTGTTGAAAAGAGGATCTGTCATTCATCAGCATCTTTGTATTTCTAAGGTGTCAGCAAGATGAGTATTTAATCCGCAAATGGTTTTTTTATCAAAGGATGTAGTGCAGCTAATAGCTCCTTGAACTCTACAACTCGGATGGAAAAAGGTTTTGTATCATGTTTCTAACGTGTGATGAGACGTGGGTTCATCACGGGGATCCAAAGACCAATCCAGATCCAGCTGGGAAAATTATGGCAACCTTATTCTGAAATTGGAAAGGGGTGTTTTTGAGAACATTAACTGTCCTGCAAACGTGAATGACATGGAGGAATGGTGGAAAGTACACGCCAGACGGCGTACTTTTGACGGACCAACAACGTCAACTACGAATTCAGTGGCCTCACTTGCGATGCAGAACCGTGTACTTCAAAAAGACGTTTTGCTTCGTCAGGTAGATATAAGATGTCAGGTGTGCGAGCCAAACTGCATATCGATAGATTTGGCGGAGGTAGGTTGATGGTGTGGGCAGCAATCTCGCACAGTGGTATGGACACCCTTGTTGACGTTCAGGTTAACGTACAACAGTACAGGGATACAATTCTGTATTATGCCAGACTACATGTCGACAACAGCATACTTATACAAGAACATTCAGGTCCTGCGCTGGTCCTCTCTATCTGAAAGAAACACTTTTTGGTTTTCGATTGACTCAGCTACGTTTTGTCCCACAATAAACATGGCTTTAGAACAGATGTATCTGCATTGCCTCTTTGGACATGAATATGGCTATACCTTAAGATTGACGTAATATGAAGTAAGTAGCACATTCAAAAGTATCAGTTATGGAGGAAAACAGTTATTTGTTTCAACTGGTTGAATAGGTGTTGATCAGTAACACACAAAAATTACAGCTTTAGTTTTGATTTAATATGGGTACACCTTAATACCTAAATAGATGTTTTCGCCAATATCACCGAGTCAAAACCATGAGGTATGTACCTATGTTGCTCAAACCATGTTATTACAAAAATTAGTAAAGCGCACTTTCCAATTAATAACTGCTCAAATGCACTCAGTGCATGATAGAGATTATTATTACCCCTGCCACTGGATCGGCGTACACTTGAATTTCATTCGCAACTCCCTGGGGAGAATACAGTCCAAGCGGCCTGTGAGGCGCTAGAAGGTTAACAGTCACATTACCATATCTGCCGACTGAGACGCCACATGTGTTACATGTGCTTCAGTGTGGACAGAACCAAAGCCCAAGAAACTCCCCGGAGTCAAGCAGCCGAACATGATCACCATCCATCTTCATCTGGTACTTGAATGCCTCGATTAATTACAGACAACAGTGAATAGTGAGTGAGTGAGTTGGGTTTAACGCCGCTTTTAACAGTATTCCAATTATATCACGCTGTGTCAGCTTAATGTGGGAGGAAAGCCCGAAGTGATGCAGGTCTCAGACGTTTGCCACTTCGGTGAAACCCACGAGCACGGGTATGGTGCTGACAAACCTAGAAACATAATCGGGGAGAACCGGAATTCGAATCCACAATCATAGGTTTCTGGTATGCCCAAGGGACGCAACGCTGCACAGCGAATCGCGGCGCATTAGACGACTGGGCCACAACAGTGAATATTGCTGGCTGACGAGTAGACAACATTCACTCAATAAAGATCCACCGCACTGATTCACCAGCTTATGGAGCATGTTTGAAATTTATCATGTTCGTTTGATCTATTTGGTAGATATACATCTTGGTACTTTTATTACGTGACAACTTCTACATTTCATCCCAGTAAATATCACTTATCGTTTATATTGTGCCCGAAAACACGACTATCTCATACACAAGAAGTTAAAATAATCGCATGAAGATGTTATTGTATATATCCGAGTGACGAATGGGAAAGAACCTGTGGTGTGTTTAGAGCTTTCCTCGTTATCCAAAAACACGTGGCAATTCATTCTTTCCGATAGCAGGGCCACTACTTTGCTACACGAAAATGCAAGAATTAGTTTCAGTTGGCAGACACTTGCAAATGGTGTTAGGTTATCTTACAATTTCATAATATGTGAAACTGGACATTTCACGTAAAATAGGCTCTTCAGTTATTGGTGAGTGAGTGACTTTACGCGGTTTTTATCAATATTCCAGCAATATCACGTGTGTGTGTGTGGGGGGGGGGGGGGGGGGGGGGGGGGCGGGAGACACCAGTAATAGGCTTCACACATTGTACCCATGTCGGGAATCGAACCCGGCTTTTCGGCGTGACGAGCGAACGCTTAACCACTAGTACTAGGCTATCCGAACGCCCCTTTTCAGTTATGGAGGCTGACGCAGAAATTGTCTTAATGTATTACTGTGCCGTAGACACATCTTACTTATGTATTGTTCCGATGTAACGCAGTTGTTCCGCACATACAATTTCAAATCAAAATAACCGCTTTTTATTGAACTTTTTCCGCTTTTTTCAATGATTGAATATTTAATCTTGTCATGGTGGAATCGAGATAAATATACTCTCCGCTTCCAATTTCAATTTTCAGGTTTCAGGTAATCTTGCTCTACATTGAACACACAATGAAAGGAGAATTACCACGTGTATTTTGATAATCATCAAAACCCTAAACAGATCAAATGTTCTTTCCCCTTAGTTAAACAAGGAATTATACATTTCATATGTATCTAACTTCTATGTAAACTTACACCTGTGTGAGATCAATTTAACCAAATCATCAAACCAAGTGCACAAACTGAATATACCCAGCCAGCTGTCACCCAAAGTCTGGCTGCCCTACATGAAACGTTTGTAGTTGTTTCCACTGACAAGGCCTCAAATAACATAACCATTATATGTAAGCATCACTACATTAATTGTTTGATCAAAGAACATGGTATAAGTAAACATGTCCCTGTGTGTAAACAATTCATGAGTTTCTCTGTCTGTCAGCGACTGTCATGTATATTGAGCAACGATCCAGTCCATCGGGGCACGTATGCTCTGCAATCATCCAAGTCATTGAGCCTCTTACCACAAGTATAGATTATCGTGGGCCTTTGCAAAGTTGATGGTTTTCATCAAGAGGTTGTACAGATTTTGGTTGCATTCATTGGTATAACAAGTCTCGTTGCAACCATGCAATTTCCATTTATAGATTATTGGATTTTTTGTAACGATCGCTGGTCAAGACGCGATTCTTTAACAAATCAGTGATTGCAGTAAATCGTGTGACAGATTTATGGTCCATCACTTGAATTGCTCATGATGTCAATCACTGGATTGTCTGGTCCAGACTCGATTATTTACTGACCGCCTTCTTACAGCTGGAATATTGCTGAGTGCGGCGTTAAACAACATAACAGACAAACAAATTCCATCAATATTTCAAGGAGATTTATGGGACTCCATCTTCCCGAAGCAAGGGAGTAAACTGACTTTAACAGTCCAGTTGCCACCCTTGTCGGACTACGATGGAATTTGTGTGCTCGATCGTAGCCCACCTGTGGCTTTTACGATTTACGTCCCTTCTATGCCTTCCCTACGGACCAATCAGATTTCACCTCTCATATCACTTGCATTTGCTTCAAACAAAATGCTGTGTTGTTTATGAACCAGATGTCGATATCGTTTCGGGATTTTGTTTGTACCATGCATAGACCTGTTAGGCCAGCCAAAATATAGCTCCTTAATTTCAGAATTCGCTAAGGGTGGAACTGAACTTTTACTATCAGTTAAGATGCATGCGACTCTTACTCAAAAGTTGTTTGATCAAGGTTACGACATTCAAGGTCTCAGTAGAGCTTTCAAAACGTTTTATGTTGGACATGTGGAGGATATTTCCAATCTGACGTGTGTCCGATGCTATTTCTTTTTGTGACCTGAACCATGTTGACGTGTAGCATATGTTCTCGTGTTTTAAGTTGAACAATTGACTTGCCTTTGCATGCGTTTGTGACGGGTGCCATCAGTGTTGTACGATACACTCATCTTTACGCGAACACCTGGAATCACATTTCATAATGATTCAAAGGCCCATGTTCATTTTCTTGTGGCAATGGTTTTGCACCTTTTATGTAAATTGTGTGAGTGACGGTTGCTACCGGTAGGGCAGACACGCTTACCCTTTTTGCGAAGACCTGATATCATCACTAATTTTCAGTGATCCGTTCATATAATTGTCACCACTCTTTTGCCTTTTAGGGGGCACGGGTGGCCCAGTCGTCTAAGGCGCCGCGATTCGCTGTTCAGAGTTGCGTCCCCTGGACACGCCAGAAACCTCTGATTGTGGGTTCGAATCCCGGTTCACCCCGATTATGTTTCTAGGTTTGTCAGCACCATACCCGTGCTCCTGGGTTTCACCGAAGTAGTAAATGTCTGAGACCTGCATCACTTCGGGCTTTCCTCCCACATTCAGCTGACACGCCGTGATATAACTAGAATACTGTTAAAAGCGGCGTTAAACCCAACTCACTCACTCACTTTTGCCTTTAACGCCCAATGGAATCAGTTTCGGCAGATAATCGAATCTGATTCTTCTCTAAAGTCGACGTTCCATATTCACGAGACAACAGGACATGACATCGGATAAATACGTTTTATTCAGGCGTGATCACAGACGCACTTGCTCTGGTTTAGAGTGGTGCCTGACGGACAGTACCGAGTCCTCCACCGTCCGTGAATAAAGTGCTTGTACTTCCGGCCACTGTAGGGTTTCATGTCGCATCCTGCAAACCAAGAGATAGTATGACTAAGCACTATAAAACTGTACTTCACATGAGACACGAGACGTATTTCACCTTATGAAGCAGATTTGTTTCCATAATGGATTTCAGCTAGTTGGAGCAAAGCTCAGTGATGACGTTTTTGGACAGGAAAGGAGTGAGTGGTGTGGTTTTACGCCGTTTTTAGCAATATTCCAGCAATATCACGGCGGGGGACACCAGAAATGGGCTTCGCACATTGTACCCATGTCGGGAATCGAACTAGGGACTTCGGCGTGACGAGCGAACGCTTTAACCACTCGGCTACCCGACCGCTCCTGGACAGGAAAGATGTACAGCGAAATAAACGCACACTGACAAAGAAAGAACATAATTGTGGTCTGAGGCCATGACGTACATGAATTGCAGAACGTTTGCTGGCCATATAACGTGATCCCAACAAGATTTGCACCATTTGCCTTGATATTAAACTTATCAACGACACAGATTTATATTTATAAAGTGTTATAACTAGTATCCTATCATATATGACAATAGTGTTTTAATTAATATAGTAATGACAACGAGGGCACGGGTGGTCCAGTCGTCTAAGGCGCTGCGATTCGCTGTGCAGAGTTGCGTCCCTTGGGCACGTCAGAAACCTATGATTGTGGTTCGAATCCCGGTTCGCCCCGATTATGTTTCTAGGTTTGTCAGCTCCACGTGCTCGTGGGTCTCACTTCGGGCTTTCCTCCCACATTTAGCTGACACGCCGTGATATAACTGGAATACTGTTAAAAGCGGCGGTAAACACAACTCACTCACTCACTAGTAATGACAACAGGAATAATAATTATTTTGGTATAACTTCTTGCTTATTACGATGGTAACACGCCAACTGATGGAATATCAACCTTACTTCAGCATATAGGTTTTCCTTCGTAATTTAATCAAGCTGAACAATATACAAAACTTGTTGCAGCACAAATTGAGTAAAAGACACAACGCTAGTGAGTCTTAAATGAATGGCTTTCAATCACAATTCACTGGTAAGTGAGTGAGTCTTGTTTAACGCCGCTTCGAACAGTATGTTCACACCACTATCATTACGTCACTCACACACTGTCATACCGTCGCTCCCACTCTATCATAACGTCACTCCCTTCTATCATAACGTCTCCCCCTCCAACATAACGTCACTCCCTTCTATCATAACGTCACCCCTCCATCATAACGTCACGCCCCTCCAACATAACGTCACTCCCTTCTATCCAAACGTCACCCCCTCCACCATAACGTCACCCCCTCTATCATAACGTCAGGCGGGGGATACGGGTGGCCCAGTCGTCTAAGGCGCCGTGGGACATCTTTTGTAACTGTCTTTTGCCTTTGGATCCCTTTTACGGTCAATCGACCCTTTACGGCCAATCTACCCTCTACGATTAATCGACCCTTTACGGTCAATCGACCCTTTACGGTCATTAGGGCTAGTTACATATTTGGTGGTTAATTAATTGTGATAGGGTAGGTTTTACCGAAATTTATCCTTAGCCCTTGGATCCCCTTTAAGATCAGTCATCCCTTTACGATCATTAGCTGTTGGATATTCGCTCAGTGGCTTTAAGTTTCTATAGCGGCTCCTAATATTCTTTACACAAAAACGTCAAAACAGGAGGATGAAACGTCCCTGGAACATCCACACAAGCCATTTTCACCCGCTTCATTTGTTTAGTAATGATTCAAAAGCCGACTAACCCTTGTGGCGTCACTAGCCATGCGTATGCCTTTCATCGTTCCTTACTATGACCCTCCTTATCCTGACAGTGTTCCTTCCCACCCTTTTCTGTCACAAAATCACCCGACGTATTATTTAATACCCTGTCATTCATGCGCATCCGTGAAATAGAGGTCTGGCGTCTGACGCCTAGAGCCGTTTTTGGTTTGCGCCATATCGGCTTATCACTCACCTCTCTGTATTTTGGAGATTACGGAATTGGACGAGTGTGTCAAATGGCATCGGGATCATTCGTCAGTGTCCCTGGACTACAGTCACGAGGCACCATGCCTACCCGTAAGCTTCGTAAGTGTCTGTCACCTATTCGACCTTTTCCGTTAGTTCCGTAACGTCTTAGGCATAACTAAGTAAAGTTTAACAGTGTGGACGTAGCTCAGTCGGTAAGCTGTCGGGGTAACGACGGGTTTTGACAAAGACTGCCAGATTGTCTTAGTGACATGTGACCTACGGCAGAGTTCGTCATCCCGAAAAGTTGTGGGGCTGTATCCTAAAGATGCTCCATCATTAGGTCAGTCCAACACTATCATAACGTCACTCACACACACTATCATAACGTCACTCCCACACACTATCATAACGTCACTCCCACACACTATCATAACGTCGCTCACACACACTATCATAACGTCACTCCCACACACTCATAACGTCGCTCACACACACTATCATAACATCACTCCCACAATATCATAACGTCGCTCACACACTATCATAACGTCCTTCCCACACTATCATAACGTCACTCCCACACACTATCATAAGGTCGCTCTCACACTATCATAACGTCACTCACACACACTATCATAACGCCACTCCCACACTATCATAACGTCACTCCCACACTATCATAACGTCGCTCACACACTATCATAACGTCACTCACACGCTATCATAACGTCACTCCCACACACTATCATAAGGTCGCTCTCACACTATCATAACGTCACTCACACACACTATCATAACGCCACCCCAACACACTATCATAACGTAACTCCCACACTATCATAACGTCGCCCAAACACTATCATAACGTCACTCCCACACTATCATAACGTCACTCCCACACTATCATAACGTCACTCCCACATTATCTTAACGTCACTCCCACACACTATCATAACGTCACTCCCACACTATCATAACGTCACTCCCACACACTATTATAACGTCGCTCACACACACTATCATAACGTCACTCCCACACTATCATAACGTCACTCCCACACACTATCATAAGGTCGCTCTCACACTATCATAACGTCACTCCCACACTATCATAACGTCACTCCCACACCCTATCATAACGTCACTCCCACATTATCTTAACGTCACTCTCACATTATCTTAACGTCACTCCCACACTATCATAACGTCGCTCACACACTATCATAACGTTACTCCCACACTATCGTTAAGCCACTCTCACTCTGTTATAACGTCACTCCCCTCCATCATAAGGTCACTCCCACACAATCATAACGTCGCTCCCTCTCTATCATATTGTCACGCCCACACAATCATAACGATTGTCCCACATTATCATAACGTCGCTCTCACACTATCATAACACCGCTCTCACACTATCATAACGCCACTCACACACACTATCATAAGGTCACTCCCTTTATGGTAATCCTGTTTCGAGTCTGTGACTGAGATGGGTTAAACGCCGCTTTGAACATTATTTCAGTTATACCACGGAGGTCCAGTTCATTGTGGGACCTGAACTGACAGAGACGTTTTAGGCGTTAACCACTTAGATGAAGCACCAACTCGAACAGAGAAGGTACGAAAAGAACGCAACTCTACTCATCATGATCAATTTCATCTCCTTAGACATCTGGGCCACCTATACCCTCGTGAGGCCTAGCTTTGGTGTCTTGATATTTGTTTGTTTTTTGTAAAACGCCGCATTTAGCAATATTGAAGCTATATGAGTCTTGACCAGACAATCCAGTTATTGACATCATCGGCATCAATCCACGCAATTGGGATACGATGACATGCATCAACCAAGTCAGCGGGCCTGACGACCCGATCCCGTAAGTCGCCTCTTACGACAAGCATCGTCGCCTTTTACTGCAAGCATGGGTTGCTAAAGGCCTATTCTACCCCGGATCTCCAGGGGTGAACTAACCGTTTGTCAGGGTTACACATCCGCAATGCCCTTCGCTGAAGATAGTTCCTGGTGGACAGGGCATTATATGAACCCCGGTACTATCTCTCGAAACGTAGTGAACCAAAGACCGCTTTAACATGAAGAGATGGCATTTGACCTTCTTGTTCTCTGAAATGAGAATATAAATAAAAAACAGTTCCAAAATTATACGAATTCTCGAAACACTATCAAATAGTGATGATACCAGTTATCCTGCCGCCCACCAATGGAACCCATCACACATTCACCAAATTATTTCTTCACCTGTTCACACGTATTTCCATATCCATTTCCTTATTATTTTGGGGTAAGACATCAAGGCAAAAAGTAAGCATCCCCATGGGCACCAATTGCGCTCACCGTCCTGCTAATCTGTTTCTCTATGCAAGTGAATAAGAATTTCGGCTCGGAGAGTCAAAATGGTTAATTTAGCCAAGAAGTTTGAATTAAGCTTAATGTATGTCGGTGATTTGATATCGTTTGATACCCGTAAAATATCCAATTCCCTTCCACTGATATAGCCACCTGACCTAGAAATTAAGGTGACCAGTAAGACCGCTTCATCTGTTTCATTTTTAATCCATGCATGAAGATTAAGAGTGACAAAACATTTTCCACAAGACTGTATGATAAGAGGGGTGACTATAACTTTCCAATAGTCAACTTTCCCTTTATGTCGAACAATATTCTAGGTAAAATCGAGCATGCTCTTTCTACGAAGATTTCAAAGAGCTTCAAACAACTCTTGCTGATTCAAGGCCTCAGTAAAATTTCAAAATCGTTAATGGTAGACATGTGGAAGACGTTTCCAAATTTGATGCGCCAGTGACAAAAATAATGTCCGATGCAATTTAACATTTGACGTGTACCATCTGTTCCAGTGGGTTTTTTCAGGTTAACAATTGACTTGCCGTTGCATGTGTTTGTGACGGATGCCACCGGTTGGGCAGGATACGACCATCTTTTCGCGGAAGCCTGGTACCGGCACTATTTGATAATGATTCATAAACACATGCTCATCATATAGTCGAAATCGTTTCTGATGAATATGAAAAATGAAAAATATTTTGTGGCTTTTATTTAAATACATGGAACGAAAGCATGCTGGAGTTAAAGAGTCAAATCTATTTGATGTAGATTTTATGAGGGAGTTCGCTGGCCTTGAGGCCGATTTGAACAGTATTTCAACAACTGTCTTAAGGCCATGTTTTCACGCGATAAATTGAATAGGTATTTTGAGATTCTAGTATCTCGACTAATCCAGTGTACATAGTTATGACCTACAGGCTACTTGGTCACTCCATAAAATAAAGCTAATTGTGCGTACGATATCTTTATATATAGATTCCACCGAAACGTTGAACAACAATATTACACTCGGTTATTTTTCGTTGTGGTCGTTAATGTATAACTACATCCATATGTAAACTGTTCCAATGTCATTTAAATCAGATTTTTTATTTCGATTTTATATCTCTCAAACTAACATTCGCAAGAGGTCACGTTTGATGAATCCTCAACGAACCTTGACTTACCATTTTTTAAGCCAATTTGATGTCAGCTTCTAAAACGATTCAGTTATATCACATAATTAATTTTGTCAACTCGAACCCTTGGCTGTCGCATTTTATGCTCAGTAATTTTTTACCACCTCTGCCCCGATTCGGAAACACACTTCCTTCGCTTCCTACATCCTTTTGGACGAAGATGTCATGATGTACAGAAGCAACAGGGTGTAAAATACCCACAAATACAGGGTGTAAAGTACCCACAAATACAGGGTGTAAAGTACCCATAAATAGGGGGGGTAAAATAGCCACAAATACAGGGTGTAAAAAAACCACAAATACAGGGTGTAAAGTACCCACAAATACAGGGTGTAAAGTACCCACAAATACAGGGTGTAAAGTACCCACAAATACAGGATGTAAAGTACCCACAAATACAGGGTGTAAAGTATCCACAAATACAGGTTTAAAAGTACCCACAAATCCATGCTGAACTGCCCGTTTCTTTTCTTTATCTTTATACAGAAATGAGATCTACTGCTTCGAATGCTTCCTCGTTCGTAAAGAGTGTAAAGGAGCCTTCATGTTTCAACGTGACCACCTGTAGAGGGTTTCTTCCCGTCTTGGTGAAGAGAGGGATGGAATCAATATATTTCCAGAGGATGCGTGACCTGTACACCTGGATCGCGGAAAATCTACTACAGTATAGTTCCACACAATGTTGTAGCTAAGCACGCGAATACTTACCAACAGCAGTTAAACAGATGAGCGTCAGGCACAGATATCCAACAAGGCACTTCATGGCGGATCCTGGAACGCAGACATACACACGGGTAATTATAGATAGATAGATAGATGGATGGATGGATGGATGGATGGATGGATGGATGGATGGGTGGGTGGATGGATGGATGGATGGATGGATGGATGGGTGAATGGATGAATGGATGATGGATGGATGGATATATATGAAATATACACGACCGCCTCCGTTGTCTAGTGGTAGAGCGTCCGCCCGGAGAGCGGAAGGTCCGGGGTTGTTACCCAGCCTGGTGCTCGGCATTAAGGGGCTAAAACAAGGACTGGTCGGCTCGGAATCAGTATACTGTGTCTGAGTGGGGTATTCATTTTAAACTGCGGCATGGTATCTCAGTGAGCTAGCACTATAAATCGGCATCAGTACGGACTAGTACAAGCAGCCACACAGACACACACACGTACATGCACGTCGCTATATAAGTGCAATAATCTTGGACGCGACGTTAAACCCAATTTCACCTCACCTCACCTATAATATACACACCACGCAATTGCATATTTCTGAAGAGTGTTTTATACTTGGAAAACGGAGACCTTATTACAAAAAAGTAGAGTGTCTGGGTTAACTGGTCTGTGTTTGAATCAGAGAGTATGGTATCATGGCGTTATAAGCAATATTCCCATTGTACCCATATAGGGAAGCGAACTCGGGCCGGTTGCGCGACGAGGGGACACTTTAACCACAAGGCATGCCCATGGGTCGATTTAACCCATGCAATACGATTTTGAATTACTGCAAATATCTCCCTCTTTCATTCATAAGAGTCTGCACTTTCGTTGTTCTTCACTCAACGTGCGACAGTCCCATAAAAATGGCAATAGTGTCATGAAAATATACTGCAGGGCAAAACAAAGTATACACAAGGAAATTGGATTTGTTGAAGAATTTACAAACGTTATCCAAATGTTACTAGGCTGAAAAGAGTCGTCGAAACACTGCAAATTTAAGGTCAACAACACATCTATATTATAATGTACCTCGTATCAAATACATCACATCGAAAAAAAAACATTTTTGTTTGTTTCATTTTTAGCCAACATCTAACACGGATAATACCTTTTTTGCCCGGCAGTTTACTGTTCCAGAATGACCGGGACAACCAGCTGTATGTCTGTTAAAATACATTTGCCATCACCGTTATAGAAGCGAGATCTATGTACAGGTCTTGTATTTGATGACACAGGATAATCCGTCAACACTACACCACCTTTGTCATAAGGGATCAGTATATTAACCGTGTGCTACACGCTTCGGCTTTCAAAAACAATATTCACAATATACAGAAATATCGCAAACATAATATTAATATTCCACTGAGAGTGAAAGGCAAAATAGCGGGGGAAATTATTAGAATAAATGACTGAAATCAGTGATGACTGTGTTCGCGAAAAGCGCAAGCATGTCCTGCCCTACCCGAGTCTTACTTATCCACAAGAAAAGCTCTCTCGATATTCACAACACTACCCTTGTAAGCATTTTACTTGAAACAGTTCATGGCTTGTCATAAAAGTTTTCGACCCGAAAATATTCATATTCAAACTAAGAAACAGTTGAAAAGACATTTTTATATGAATTGACACAATCGCCTTTGTAAATCATTCTACTACAACTACTATATACCCATAAATATTGCTTTGGACATGCATTGTTAAGAATTGATAGAAAATACAAATGAAATGTACTGTTCAAATCCTGTCTAACGAAAAAAAAGAAATAACAGTAATTAACCTACCTTCCGATACACAAGGTATTTTGTGCACAAAGAATAAAACTTTTAAAGAAGAGATACTAGTTGAACATTTCTCAAGTGCCACGCATCCATTAAAGTGTCAGAAACAATGTCTTTGTTTCTGACATCGTGTTGGAAGATGTAGGCTATTAGCATAGGGTTGGGCTGGCTCTCGGGGGACGTCATAAAAACACGGTTAACGTTGGCGTCAGTACCCGTATGGAATGTTTCGACTCCGTGTCCTGACTAGAACACTTCAAATGTGATGAAAATACCGCATCATATATATTTAAAGGGGGCACGTGTGGCCCAGTCGTCTAAGGCGCCGCAATTCGCGAGAAACCTGTGATCCTGGGTTCGAAGCCCGGTTCGCCCCGATTATGTGTCGAGACTTCGAGATGTCAGCACCATTCCCTGCTCGTGGGTTTCAACAAAATGGTAAACGACTGAGACCTGCATTATTTCGGGCTTTCCTCCCACATTAAACTGGAATAACTGGAATACTGTTCAAAGCGGCGCTAAAATCAACTCAATCACTCACTCTATAATTAAAGTGAGTGAGTGAGTTTAGTTTAACGCCGCATTGATCAGTACTTCGTCGTGTCAACTTGATGTGGGAGACGGTTACCACTCAAATGATATGCACAACCAGGACCCACTTCCTCAAAGCGATTTTAGCGCTCAGATGATCGTAACTCCCATACTTTAACATAGGCTAACGACAGTCTTAGCGCTAAGATCGCTTTGTGAAAGTGGGCCCTGGTGTATGGTCCACACTCCGTCGCAGTGGTGACTCAGCTTAACACCACTGCCACAGGCTAATTTGCATATCACGTGACCGGACTTTTCTCTTGTTTGTAAACAAACGCGCTTTTTCAGAAATCAGTATAGAACGGACTAATGCAAGTATTTGGGGGCGCTTTACATATTGTTTTGCATAACTATATAGATATGCTACTACAACTGAGACAGTGAGTCGCATGACAATATATATTTATGCATCAAAGTGACCGTGTCGCTAGCTCTCCGTTTGGCTTCGATGACAGCACGTGGAGCCGTACAACCAATGTAAACATAGGATAACTACGCAAAAACAAGTAGATTTTTACGTATTTGCATACTTTCTCAATGAAGGTTAACCATTCTTTGACATTTGTTTATGAAAATGTGTAGACTTGTCAAACATGAAACGGATGAAAAGCATATGCAATATCTTGAATGGACTGTGAAAGATGTGACGAATCGTCACATGGCGCTGGCCTGTGGCAGAGGTACTATGCTAGCTCGCTGCCGGCCGCATGGAACTCTGGGTAGGAGAGTGGTGTATGGTCCTGACAAACATAGAAAAAAATCTCTAAGCTTCGAAGAAATAAAGATCTGTCCCTAGTGAATATATTGGGGGACTTACAAGTGGCGTATAATTTTACATAAAATATTTCGTTTTATTTGAAAATTAAAACAAGCTTGGGATTTTCTATCATAATGTTCTATGGGTTACATTGTAACCGTCGGAGAAGGAATATAACCATTCTCAGTCATTCGTCACCACTCGCCCCTTTCCGTCACCTGCAAGAAGACTCGTCCCCCTATCGATGAATGTTATGTGCGAAAATACGACAAACCAATCAGAATGCGCGTATGATTTCAAGTTCTTCGTCAAAGAATCGCTCAGAAATAACTTTTGGTTTTACATATGTTTTGCATCTAAAAAAATACCAAAGACACAGTTAAATGTGTTCAATCATACTGTATAATTCCGCACGTCCCGAAGTGCTTTAAATTGCATCTGAAATATATATAATATATGGGGAAAATGTGTGAACCATTACGCAACGAGTTGACAACTGTTTTAGGTATGCCCGTTTGCGCTAAGACGGAACCCGGTCGCAAAAATAGCTCCGAGAGGGGCACGAGTCGCGATTCGGCTTGTCCCGGAATAACACGAGTTGGTCACGAATGCATTCTCAGTAAGAATAATTCCTCCATATTCGTTCCCTACGGACAATATTGTTTTGCGCTTTGTATTGATTGTTTATAATGTAAGATAGGTTGATGGTAGTTAGACTGTATACAAATCATGTATATCCTATGAGCATGAATTTCACCATCTAAATGACATAAACAAATGAATGTGAATAGCATCTGTTTGTGTAGAACTCTTAGTTGCAAGTTCTGTGGAACGGGATCGGGTGGTCAGGCTCGCTGACTTGGTTGATGCATGTCATCGATCCAAATTGCGTGGATCTATGCTAATGATATCAATCAGTGGGTTTTCTGGTACAGTCTTGATTATTTACAGACCGCCGTCATATAGCTGGAATATTGCTGAGTGCGGCGTAAAACAACAAACCAACAAACCAAATGTGGAGGGTATGACCTTTTTTAGTAATATTCCAGAAAATTTTAAGGTGAAAGAATCGGCTCACACGTTGTACATTTGTTGAAAATCGAACCCGGGCCAACGAGCGATAAATGGAAGCTTTGATCACCACTAAACAGTCCAAACAACAACTAAAACATTGACATCACCGCCACCACAGAAGGCAAAGATTTCCCATCAGCTGTTTTTACCCTTGAAGATCCGGGGTAGAATAAGTCTTTAGCCACCCATGCTTGCCGTAAAAGGCGACTATACTTGTCGTAAGAGGAGACTAATGGGATCGGGTGGTCAGGCTCGCTGACTTGGTTGATGCATATCATTGATCCCAATTGCGAGGATCGATGCTCATGGTGTCAACCACTGGATTTTCTGGATCACATTATTTACAGAACGCCGTCATATGGCTGGGATATTGATGAGTGCGGCGTTAAACAAAAACAACAACAAAAAAAACATCAGCTGTTATGGCCTTAGTGTTCTGGGATGCCGTAGGTCTCATCATGGTGGACTATCGTCCAAAAGGCAAAAAAAAGCGAAGCATATTTTGCACTTCAGAGGCAAAAACGGGATGAAATTAAGACTAAGAAAGTTGGGAGTTGAGAAAGGGTATGCTTTTCCATCAGGACAATGTACCAGTGCACAAATCAGGCCTGGCCTCAGCTACAATCCACGCGTTGGGCTTTGAATTCCTTCAGCACCCACAATATTCTTCTGGTCTGGCCCCGTCAGACTTCCATCTCTTCCAAAGGGGGCACGGGTGGCCCAGTCGTCGAAGGTGCCGCGATTCGCTGTGCAGAGTTGCGTCTATTGGGCAAACCAGAAACCCATAATTGTTGGTTCGAATCTCGGTTCGCCCCGATTATGTTTCTAGGTTTGTCAGCACCATACCCGTGCTCGTGGGTTTCACCGAAGTGATAAATGTCTCAGACCTGCATCACTTCGGGCTTTCTTCCCACATTAAGCTGACACGCCGTGATATAATTAGCATACTGTTAAAAGCGGTGTTAAACCCAACTCACTCACCCATCTTTTCCAAACATAAAAGAAAGCTCCAGCCTGAACCAATTTCGACTCGTGCAGAACGTTTTCAACAGCCAAGAGAAGGAATTCCACCAATCTCATTAAAATCAGATATTAATTCTCGCTACCGTTAAACGGAGATCTGAGGACATCGCATTGCGCGAACTTTGACCGACCAATGGAATGGCCAATCAGAAGGCAGCTTTCTCGTGCTTTACGTCATTTCTAATTGGCGACAACGCTTCGAAACATATTTTGACAAAGTCTCGATTACAAATTTGAAACCTGAACATAAGAACATCCTGGAATGGCTAATAGATGGGCTAGATGGTATGGATTCAGTCGTTAAACCCGTAACTATCGTTCGAATAAAGTTTTCGAGGTTGCATGATTAGAAATCACATTCCGACTGTCACTTTCATAATCTGGTAAGCGACGCTCTGATTGGTCGGATGAAAGGTCGTTCTGACGTGACCCATGATGGGATGTCTTCAGATCTTTGTTTAGCGAGAACTAAGGTCTGATTTTAATGAGATTGGAATTCCACGAAACTGGGATAAAATCCCCGAACACCATTTGTAATCGTGTGTCAGCGTGGAAGGGGATTATGTTGATTATTCTCTGGTCAAGTCTTTCTATGTGAGACGCAGAACTTATCAATCAACCCTCGCACGTCATACATCGGTTGACCTGAGTGGTCCATACGTACGAATGAACCCCATTGCTAATTAGATTCACTTATTGATTCAATCATGAATAACAGCATTTTAATGAAAATACTTGACTACTTGTACGTATTGTTAGTACCCTATAAAAACTGAAACACGTTCCTTGCCACGTAATTTTGAGTTTTTCTGTTTGTATATGACGGCAGGTAATCGAATAATCGAGTCTGGACCAGATAATCCAGTGACTGACATCATGAGCATCGATCCACTTGCCTCACTGGCCCCCTTGAAATTCAGAATAGGTTATTTTTAAAAGGTGTTCTTAGCATTATTAGCGTTTAATGGGATACAAGAGTGAGCGTGTGAGGGGAAGGGGGGGGGGGGGGGGTTAAACGCTTTTATTACCGCGGAATGTTGGGGAATCCCATGTTATTCCATATTACAGTCGAGGGAATTCCCATTCTGCTCACCTTTATCGTCATGCACAGGACCTTTTAACGAAATTTATGCATATGCATCGTCCAAACCACCATTCGAGGCCTAAGGCCGAGAATGAATTAAACAGCAAACATGCAGGCTCCCTCGCCTGTTTTATCCCTGGGTTACACAAATTTCATGTCTTCTGTTTCATTTCTAAATGTGTTTTCTCGTTCACTGGAAACTAATGTTTGAATCTCGCGGCTAATGACCATCTCATTTGAAATACCCGCCTTCACCCGGACACATTTGTTCTGGTTCGTTACAGTCTGAATGTTGCAGTTCATCTCGCTTCTTGCCTTAATTGACAGACATTGTGAACTTTGTTTGATGATACTCTCCGTTGATTGGCTTCTGACTTAGTGGGCGTGTCAAGTATTGTGCATAAATTAAACAATCACCTGACGCCACAGTATATATTCCCACACATGGAACATTTATCATTTTCTTCATTTTTGTCTGCTTTGATTTATAAAATTGTTTTTGAATAAACAATCGTATATAACGTTTTTTGCTGTCGAATGAATCGAAAAATCAATGAAAAAATATTGTTTGCACATCGGTTTTTCGATTAAAACCTCAATAATTCGAAGAAAATACACAGTCAATCCTTAAACATTGATTTGCTCTTATTACAGTTTGAGTATATTAATATGACGTCATTGACGTAATATTAGATCTGACTGTAACGTAAGCCACATTCATATTTTCGGACATCAAACAATAAACATCCGTCGTAAGATAGGAAATACATCACACGTGCGCTCTTTCTTAATTAATGTCAGTTGTAGTGCCTTTATTGTCAGAAGATCTAGACTGGCTTTGTCGTTAGATCATACGGGCACACGTGATGTCATAGTACCGGCATATCTCCGTTAATGCACGAATGATTGAGCGGTTTTCAACGTAATTTGTTGTAATTCTGTAAGAAACATAGTAAACCCTAACTGGACATGACATGACTTGACGTTAACCAAATTAAGATCGAGTTTATCAGTAGCCCACCAGCTACAGCAAACATTCAATTAGGTTTTAAACATTCTGTGTCTTAATTAAGATTCGAAACCGGTACAATTCATTCGAAACCGATCCGTTGGGTTCGTTTCGAATTTGTACAATTCACAGATATCGGAAATAACAGGTTATTCTCCACTCCAGCTTGAAAAAGTAAGAGTTTTAACGCGAACCCCTTTGTAATAGCGAAAGTGTAAGTAATGTGGCTTTGATTGAGCGTAGTATTACTAACAGGTTAAATGGTCGAATTCAGGAATCGTTGGCGTTCAGATTTGTACACTTGCTTATATTTTCGCAAACCAATATAATACACTGCCTGGCAAAAGAAAGTATACACCCATATTTGATGGTGGCTTAGAGTGTGAAACAAACAAGAAGGTGTGTCGAAAGGGATTATTGCACTTATATAGCGACGTGCCTGCTCGTGTGTGTGGCTGCTTGTACTAGTCCGGACTAATGCCGATTTTATAGTGCCAGCCCACTGAAATACCATGCCACAGTTTAACACGAATAACACAGTATACTGACTCCGAGCCGACCAGTCCTTGTTTTAGCCCCTTAATGCCGAGCGTCAGGCAGGGTAACAACAAGTACCATCTTTTAACGTCTTTCGAACCCCTGACCTTTCCCTCTCTGGAGAGACGTTCTGTCCACTAGACCGCGGTCTTAAACAAGAAATGGTTATTCGATGGTGATGTCTTTGATACGGATATCGTCGTTGTCTTTTGGACATTAGTATTAGGTGTTTTGGCCTAGAAACGTATGGAAAATATTCGTCATTATTTGGTCAAACCAACTTTGTATACTTTCTTTTGCCCAGCGGTTTACTTAACTTTGTTAAATTTCTTACAATAAAATTGTCTCGTTACCATGTAAGCATTATTCTAAGAGACTTCCCTTGGTAAAATGAAGCGACCCTTGCAACGTGTAGTTATAATACACACCGCAATTATGACCCTATAATGTCCTTCGGACAAAGATGCCCAATCATGGTGACATGGTAGATATTACGTCGTAGTATGATGTCATAGTGAGTGGGTGAGTTGGGTTCAACGCCGCTTTTAACAGTATTGCAGTCATATCGCGGGGTGTCAGCTTAATATGGGAGGAAAGCCCTAAGTGATGCAGGTATCAGACGTTTACCACTTCGGTGAAACCCACGAGTACGGGTATGGTGCTGACAAACCTAGAAACATAATCGGGGCGAACCGAGATTCGAACCCACAATCATAGATTTCTGGCGTGTCCATGGGACGCGACTCGGCGCCTTAGATGACTGGGCCACCCGTGCCCCCTATGATGTCATAGACGAACTGAATTTGCCACATTCATTTAGTCGTTGTTCGTCAGGTTTCCTGTACAAATATATTGCCACGTTTGCTTACAAATGATAGGATCCACAAGAAGGTATTAGGTACCGTTTATCAGTAAAATTTGTATTTGAAATTGACCACCGCGTCGTATTTTTTCAAATAAATAAATTCCTTCGCGAGGAAACGATCATAAAAAGAATCATTGTAGATGACGTAGGTGAGGTGAAATGGGGTTTAACGTCGCGTCCAAGATTATTGCACTTATATAGCGACGTGCATGCACGTGTGTGTGTGGCTGCTTGTACTAGTCCGGACTGATGCCGATTTTTAGTGCCAGCTCACTGAGATACCATGCCGCAGTTTAAAATGAATACCCCACTCAGACACAGTATACTGACTCCGAGCCGACCAGCCCTTGTTTAAGCCCTTTGATGCCGAGCGCCAGACAGGGTAACAACAAGTACCCTCTTTTAACGTCTTTTGGTATGACTCGGCCGGGGATCGAACCCCGGACCTTCCGCTCTCCGGGCGGACGCTCTACCACTAGACCACGGAGGCGGTGGGTAGATGACGTAGAATGCAGGCTTCTAAAATGTCAAGGTAGATACACAACCGGACATATAAATGTGTACACCCATGTTTGCTGGTGGCTAGAAATGAAACAAGCAATTGTTCAATTCTGTGGCGATGCATTTGATGCGTGTATCATAGTTGTATATTTGAGCTTAAGTTTGCAGCGTTTCGGCGAGAGTTTCAGTTAGTAACGTTTTGATGAAGTTTGTGCGTTTTGATCAAATTCATTTTTCAAGTTTATGTCTTCTTTGGCCCGGTAGTTCACCTGATTCGACCACTAAAACAAAACCATGCCATACAAGTATACATTAAGTGTTTTATTTATGTGATGAATATATGCCACTGTGATATGAACTACATAAAATACAAAGTCGGTGTTGGGAGATACGTTTATCGACACACATTTTGGGAAGAGTACAGGATTCTCCAACGAACACGTCGTTTCCGAAAAAAGGCTTCAAACTATCAAAATCAAAACATTGGTCGATACGCCTCTACAACCGACATTGGATCATTTGGTATATCCAATGGTGATGATGACAGAGAAGACAGATGGCGGTGGGGGAGGCAGCGTTTACATCATTGACAGTATCGCTGGGAAGTAGATTGACCTCGAACCCACACCTTGTGCCCCTCTCATACGATTTACAAACATCATATCCACGGGGTTTAGATCCGCATTCTTTGCTATTAGCATCTGCTGGACCGGCGAGACCTGCGCGGTCGGGTCCATCAGCATGTCCATTGCGGCCAGGTCAAAGTATTTGTCTCCCATCATCATCAGGTAAGGATTATTGAATAAGCTTTTCTGGGCCGGCCTCACCAGTCCAGCTACTCCCTTGGAGGCTACCCGGGGGGCTCCTGAAGAGAGATTCCATTGTGACATTTGCATGAAGGAAAGGTTTGAAAGGTATTCTCAACAACTGATACGCAAAATAATGTTGTTGAATGTTCACATTTTGATTGAGAATGTATTATGATATTATAACACTGAAAATGTTTCGGTGAATCTACATGTAACATGCATATTACACGAATCTTTACACACATATCTAAATGCGTGGACGTCTTTAAGTGTATATTGACATCTATCTCTGAACATGTCTTAGCGAGTAAATTTCGCTATAAATCTCGACATGTCTTAACTTATTTCTATGCACGTTTCCAGAAAGCTCTACACGTATCCTCTACATCTAATTCTAAAGGAACTTCAGAACATACTTCTACACGTATAATTATCTCTATTTATCCTCGGAACGCATCTCTACACGTGTCCTCTACATCTAATTCTAAAGGTACCTCAGAACATACTTTTACACGTATAATTATCTCTATTTATCCTCGGAACGCATCTCTACACGTGTCCTCTACATCTAATTCTAAAGGTACCTCAGAACATACTTCTACACGTATAATTATCTCTATTTATCCTCGGAACGCATCTCTGCACGTATCTTCTACATCTAATTCTAAAGGAACTTCAGAACATACTTCTACACGTATAATTATCTCTATTTATCCTCGGAACGTATCTCTACACGTGTCCTCTACATCTAATTCTAAAGGTACCTCAGAACATACTTTTACACGTATAATTATCTCTATTTATCCTCGGAACGCATCTCTACACGTGTCCTCTACATCTAATTCTAAAGGTACCTCAGAACATACTTCTACACGTATAATTATCTCTATTTATCCTCGGAACGCATCTCTGCACGTATCTTCTACATCTAATTCTAAAGGAACTTCAGAACATACTTCTACACGTATAATTATTTCTATTTATCCTCGGAACGCATCTCTACACGTGTCCTCTACATCTAATTCTAAAGGAACTTCAGAACATACTTCTACACGTATAATTATCTCTATTTATCCTCGGAACGCATCTCTACACGTGTCCTCTACATCTAATTCTAAAGGTACCTCAGAACATACTTCTACACGTATAATTATCTCTATTTATCCTCGGAATGCATCTCTACACGTGTCCTCTACATCTAATTCTAAAGGAACTTCAGAACATACTTCTACACGTATAATTATCTCTATTTATCCTCGGAACGTATCTCTACACGTGTCCTCTACATCTAATTCTAAAGGTACCTCAGAACATACTTCTACACTATAATTATCTCTATTTATCCTCGGAACGCATCTCTACACGTGTCCTCTACATCTAATTCTAAAGGTACCTCAGAACATACTTCTACACGTATAATTATCTCTATTTATCCTCGGAACGCATCTCTACACGTGTCCTCTACATCTAATTCTAAAGGTACCTCAGAACATACTTCTACACATAAAATTATCTCTATTTATCCTCGGAACGCATCTCTGCACGTATTCTCTACATCTAATTCTAAAGGTACCTCAGAACATACTTCTACACGTATAATTATTTCTATTTATCCCCGGAACGCATCTCTACACGTGTCCTCTACATCTAATTCTAAAGGTACCTCAGAACATACTTCATGTCATGTCATGTCATGTCATGTCTAGGTTCGACAGCCGTACTTTCGAAGACTTTCTCCAATATCCGTACTAGAAGCGATTTACTTATCCAAATATCTATCAGTTCCCGCTGTGTTCCACGGCCACAAAATCAAAATTCTGTGGTAATTATTTTGCAAATTCTGCAATCACGTTTTGATAGTTCTGGGCACAATTCTGCCAACGATTAAGTTTTATTTTCGTGAATTTCCTAGTTTTGCGCCTCTTTTGCTTGGGAACCAGGTGATCATATGTCCACATTTGACCAAAAATGATGATTAAGCATTTTCTTTCCAAACGTGTGCTTTTCTAAGATTGTTGTAAATTTCATGAAGCTTCTGTTGCACGAAAGTAGTTTTACATTGATTCTATGTCCAAACACTCATATGTGGCTTAAAACTAGACTGTTTCGTGTCTATGACTACTTCTATGTCCAATCAAATTATTAACACACATCGTGTGACAAGGCGATAGGACCGCATAGTTCCAAATCATTTGGAGATAGAACCATTTGGTTATCATTTATAAACTGTAGAATGTGAACAATGGGAGTGAATTTTATGATCTGTCAACTGATATACTGAATAAAATGCTGTCTGAAGTATGTGATCTCTTATGTGGGTGAAAACTTTGGTCCAGAATAATTAAAATACGCCAGTTGAGTTTACTAATAGAGATAGAACAGTATGGATCTGAAAACAATGTCCTAACTTCTTTGGTACTCTTACATAAAATAAACATAAATCTGTAAATGAGAAGATAGATAATTACTTTTGCTTAAAATAAGATATAAAATAATTGGTATTTGTTTGTTTTATGTGAAATAGATGATTGTTTTTAGGTTGATAGTATACAGAACTTCAATTTTTAAAATATCATTTACTCAAACCTTTTAATAGTGGACATATGACATTATAGTTCTTAGGCGACGAGTGCGACAGGCATTTTTATGATAAACTTATCCACTACAAAAATAGCATATAGAAGTGACTCTGGCGTGACAGTTATGCACGTTCGGTAAGCAACAGTACAAAAGTCAACTTCACTTCAAAGCGGATCAAATATCCCTTTACATGTTCAAAACCAACTTTCGACTCACATGTTAAAATTCTACAGTCTTTTTTTTCAAGACATCTACATTTCTGCACCATTTCCGCATTTCTACCAAATATTCCGCGGAATCGCGGATTACACCTGGGACTAACCTATACTTTATTTAACATATAAAGCTCACCTGCAGGGGGTCCTGGCAAAAAGGCCGGTCTTAAGGGCACGCCTATAGAAAAACAGGAAATGTATTCAGTTTGAAAAAGTTACTTAAATAGTATGTTATTCATATATAAAAATAAGCTAAATCTAAGCATCGGTCCCAAAAGTAGAAACTTTGCCTTACGTTCTTAGAACCTAGGTGGTTAACAGGATATCGTTATTCCCCTTCTTTAAAATACCCCACGATTTCCTGCGGGGGACACCAGGAATGGGCTACACACATTGCAGCTATTCGGGGAATTGTAACCAGGAAATAAACCTCTAGGCTACACCACCGCCCCACCACAGCACATCCCTAATGATTGCAACTCGTTCGCATGTAGAACTCCTTTTAATTGCTGTCTAAGCTCAGCTAGAAGACGATCATACATCATTGAAGGTAGTAACAGTGAGTGAGTATGGTTTTACGCCGCTGTTAGCAATATTCCAGCAATGGGGACACCAGAAATGGGCTTCTCCAGAAATGGGCTTCACACATTGTACCCATGTCGGGAATCGAACCCGGGTCTTCGGCGCCATGAGCGAACGCTTTTATCTAAAGGCTACCAGACCGCCCCGAAGGTAGTAACAGCATTTATCATATCATTTATCATTCAACATAATGATGCTATAGGCAAACACATATTTCGGCAGAAGGAAAACCCAGAGAACGCAGACAGTAGACCTTCACTTCGTTGGTTTACCTTCCAGCAGGATTCTGGCCCTGAAGAACCAAGGATCATAATCAAACGAATCTGGGGTTCGAACCCGGGATGGAAAAGGTGACAAGAACAATGATGGAAGTACTCACTCTGCGCAGATGCAACATAAGCTGTTGTGCAAAGGACTGCCAAGAAAATGAGGCTATTCATTGTGATGTTTCGTCCTGAAAGTTATGATAATCATTATATACATCAACATTACATTTACATGGCATGTAATTGTTTAAACGCAGTCAGTATACTACACTCATTATGAAAACCGGTATGAACTCTCCAGGTATATATTTATAAATATACATAGGTGAAGATATACTCCCCATGGAGCTGAGAATGAAATTCGAGCACACTGATCAGGGCAATAATAACATAGCGCCATGAGCATTCACTTGGTAAATAGAATCTGACGCATTATAAAAGGACTTATTTTTCAAATAGATTTGATACTTTAAGATATTAAATGTGTTTATCGTATATACACCTTAATACAACATGAAAACAGCCAAATAAACAAATGTGATTTACCTGTAAGGTATATGAGCCTCAATATTCCCCTGCCTGCCTGTTCTGGAGCAAAAGTTGCACTGACACTAGTTAATAAATGACATAAATCTAATGAATGTGTCTGAGGCCTTGCTGGTGAGTCAAACATTAACCCATAAAAAAGTTTCATGACAAGGCACACCCTTGTTATAATTGCTGCATGTCTTCCCAATTGCGCACAGTCCAGCGTCAAAGGGCAGCATTGTATAAGCTGAGGTGTCAGCCTTTTTGACGTTGAACTCGTGGCATTTGACAGTTTATAGCAACTTGTATGTCATAGTAGGGAACTAACACAAGCTTCAGTGATTCGGAGTTACAGATGAGGTATTTAAAACAGGGCCATTGATTGGTTTATACATTAATTACTTTCGTGCGAGTGTGTCTATTGCTATTGGGGCGTTGAAACACAAATCTGTCTTTTTTTATGACCTCCACATATATCAATTCCAGGATGCTCAACGGCGAAAGCTAGCTCGTGTACGTTGTGACAAAGTGACAATGAATAATGTTTAAGTAAAAAGGGGATGGGTTTTACAGAAACGGTTAGTCGTTCACATTTGCACACTCACATCACTGGTTTACATTGGTAGAATATTTTGTAGAATTTTAATAAATGTTTGTAAAGTTCCATTTTGTCAAAAATAATCTCGGTGGATGGGTGGAGGCGGTTGCTTGGATTTTGAGATATTTTTTTATCACTACTACAAAAAACATTCTGTGAAGGAGAAGCCAAACACTAAATTTTGTTTTCACTACACATCAGTTTCACAACATCAGACAATGTCCATCGAACGGCCTAAAATATTTTTGGGGATTAAAACCTGAGGTTAGGATTTTTTTCAAGTTTTTGTTGTCTAGACAATGGGTTTCCTAAAATCAGAACAGCGAACAGGTAACTAATAACGTGAATGTAAACAACGCTGACAGTGGATATTAGATTGATGGGCGACTGCGCTCGACTATCTCATCTCTCGAGGCCCTGCCCCAAAAATGTTACATGTGTAGCCATTCTTGGCTTTGTTCGGAATTTGCCTCTGTTGTCGAGTATGGTAGGATAAGATGATTATGTGAATGTAATATTTTCTAGCGCCCTGCAGACAGCCTAGGTTTAGTGTCCCACCGAGGTAACGAGACTTATGAGTAGCCGGTATTTAAGAATTATCCACGTTTTATCCATACGTACGATTAAGCGAAGGAGAAGAAGCAATTAACTTAAAAATTATTTGAAATTTCAGAATATGAAGCATCAGTGAAAAACATATGTCCCATGCAATTCCCTATTTTGACTCGACCATATGTTCCCTCGTTTTTTTACGTGAATTATTGACTTGCCTGTGCATTTGTTTGTGACGGACGCTACCGGTTGGCCATGATACGGTAAAATTGTCCTGCACACATTGTATCATCACTATTTGATAGTGATTAATAACCAAATGCTTATGATATTGTCGGAGTCGTACAATGGACTTCTAATGGACAGATGTTTTTTATGAGTATAGAAATGGTTTATGTCGCTCTTTTTGTATTGAAATCAAAGGATGTCAGTGTCATTTGAATGACAAATTAATTTTGAGAATTGTCCAGACTCATGATCATCATATTTCGGAGCTTTTTTCCTGGTGTGTAAATAATTAAATTGGTCATAAAAGAATTTAGTGGGCTAGAAGCAGTGGTCAGAGATCTTGTGTGAATCTATGAAGATGCATTAATGTGTTATTGAACCTCAATTAACAAATGTACCATTAAATTCGTATGAATTTTCTAAGGTACATTAATGAGACATTAACTTAATGGAGGTGTGGGGTACCATTATCATATCTAATTATGTGTGCTGATACGTTAAAAAGATGCAGGGGTTCAATGAAAAAGGTGTTGCATTGAACCCCGAAATCACGTTTAAGTGCATCACAAAATGAACGTCAGAAGTTACCAGTCATCCAAGTCGAGAGAACTTCTGCTACCCGTCCCATTTAGCAGATGAAAGGAAGGAGTGTTTGTTTGCTGAAACGGAATTGTGGTACAAATTGTAGGAGATTGTCCTAATTTTATGGCACGTTAATGGAAATCTTACACTTAAGGGCGGTGGGATAGCCTAGTGGCTCAAGCGTTCGTTCGTCACGCCAAAGACCCTTTTCCGATTCCACACATAGGAACAATGTCTGAAGCCCATTTCTAGTACCATTTGTTTTAGCTTTGGGGCGGTTTTGTACAACCAATTTAATGCCGCCTTTAACTAATGAATGAGTGAGTGAGTTGGATTTTAACGCCGCTTTTAACAGTATTCCAGTTACATCACGGCGTGTCAGCTTAATGTGGGAGGAAAGCCCGAAGTGATGCAGGTCAAGGACGTTTACCACTTCGGTGAAACCCACGAGCACGGGTATGGTGCTGACAAACCTTGAAACATAATCGGGGCGAACCGGGATTCGAACCCACAATCATAGGTTCCCAGGGGACGCAACTCTGCACAGCGAATCGCGGCGCCTTAGACGACTGGGCCACCCGTGCCCCCGCTAACTAATGACACATTTATGAGATCAATCTAGTGTTTTGAAATTAGATATAGTCCGATCGCTCGGTACCAAATTAAAATAAGAGTTATCTACTTTACATTGGGACTACATAAAATTTCAAAACACAGTAGGTTTATCTCCATCTACCATGACGGTAACAGCGCTTTGAAAACGATGCTTGCAACTATACAGGGTACAAAGGTCTGCTATTTTAGAACATTCCGAAAGGGGGTCACAGGTAGTGATATATATATATAACAAATATTACTAATGTTCAACATTAAAATACATTTTGACACGAGGGATCTGATTTGACCTGTAAATTTTAAGATTTCGCGGATTTGACGCCAGCGTGTGAAGGAAAAGTGACAGTTGTGGCCCAGAAACAGTGGTTCATGTATGATTTGTTTAATTGTGCGTCTTCTGAAATGAGTTTTATCAAGTTTAATAAGTTGTTAGGATCAAGTTCCTGTTATGTGACTTCAGTGATGTCGGGACATTGTTTCCGTGGCCTTTAGAAGAGAGGAGTGTTTTCTGATGAACTTTCAAATCCCCTCCTGTCAAATCCTTACGATGGTGGTTGACAGAGATGACAATGAATATCGATCATAAAAAGATTTGTAAACAGCAACTTGTCATGAATAAAGATTTTTCAAACACTTTTTTTTATTATGTTATATTTTCCTTTCATTAATGGTTGTTTCAATGAGGGGGGCACGGGTGGCCCAGTCGTCTAAGGCGCCGCGATTCGCTGTACAGAGTTGCGTCCCTTGGGCACGCCAGAAACCTATGATTATGGCTTCGAATCCCGGTTCGCCCCGATTATGTTTCTAAGTTTGTCAGCACCATACCCGTGCTCGTGGGTTTCACCGAAGTGGTAAACGTCTTAGACCTGCATCACTTCGGGCTTTCCACCCACATTAAGCTGACCCGCCGTGATATAACTGGAATACTGTTAAACCCAACTCACTCACTCACTCACTGTTTCAATGAGGACATTTTCTGTTCCTAGTGTGTTCGCTATCGAAATGGTCCTTACAGTTTCATAAACGTTATCATTTGCATGCAAAATATGTGCCTTCCTTTAGTCTTGTAATCTCATCATGTTATCGCCAAAGACATTCGATATGAAACTAACGTATTTCCTCTACTGGACGCTAGGCCGTCTACTAATTTCGCGAGAGCCTCTGAAACCCAGCTAGTGATAGAGGAAATATTGGTACGTCTTACAGTTCCTAGGGTTGATCGATCGGCCGCCATTTTTTATGAATCGATATGTAAGCAATTGGTGTATTCATACGAACGTGTGATAAGGTTCAATATATTTAAAATGGGTTTCCGTAGCAAAATAAACTTCTTTTAACCAAGTAAATTCACGCATTCTTCAATGTCATGGTAGAATGAGAATTTAATCACACATTATTTTTTTTTACTTATGAACCCATTCGTTGATGAAGGTTTTATACAACTGGGTCAGTAGTCAAAGGCGGTGTGTCTCATGAATTACGTCCTTTATCTGCCAGGGTCCGGGGTTGAGGGTTCAAATGCCAGATTAACTTGTTTGTTTGTTGTTTAAAGCAGCACTCAGCAATATTCCAGCTATATGACGGCAGTCTGTAAATAATCGAGTAATGGACCAGACAATCCAGTGATTGACATCATGAGCGTCGATCCACGCAATTTGGATACGATGACATGCATCAACCAAATCAGCGAGCCTGACCACCCGATGCCGTTAGTCGCCTCTCACGACAAGCATAGTCGCCTCTACGGCAAGCATGGGTTGCTGAAGACCTATTCTACCCCGGATCTTCACGGTCCCCAGATTAACGAACATTATGATCTTTGATTTGCACTATATCCCTGCTCATGAGTTTCAGTTACGTTGTATTACAAGCCCACGTAAAATTAATATGTATCCTTCTTTTTTTTAAATGCGATTTTCCTAAGAACGGACAGTTCTCGAGTTTTGGATGCGATTCGCTAGAACGCTATATCCATTCGTTCGTGAAGATTCCGGGGTAGAATAGGTCTTCAGTAACCCATGCTTGTCGTAAAAGGCGACTAACGGGATCGGGTGTTCAGGCTCGCTGATTTGGTTGATGCATGTCATCGATCCCAATTGCGTGGATCGATACTCATGATATTAATCACTGGATTGTCTGGTCCAGACTCGATTATTTACAGACCGCCGTCATATAGCTGGAATATTGCTGAGTGCGGCGTTAAACAACAAACCAACCTACCATTCGTTCACCATGACGCCGAGCACAGAAATTGTGTAATTAAAACTTGATACAATAATCAGCAATATGTTATTCTCTTTACACTGTTTCTTGTTTGTTTCTTTACAGTGAAAATGAAGCTTTCCTTAATTGTATGCATAACTTTTAAGATCATGACTTAGAACCATGGCAACTTTATAAGTTGTGAAAGATTATTAAAGGTATAAATTTTCATAACAAGAAAGTGTGTAGTTTGAGCTTTATTCTGGTGCACTTATTTCATTGATGAAACGTTGACGGTTTTCTCATTTGTATAGGGGCGGCCTAGTGGTTAAAGCGTTGGCTCATCACGCCGAAGACCCGGGTTCGATTACCGGCATGGGTTAAAAGTGTGAAGCCCATTTCTGGAGTCCCCCGCCGTGAAATTGCTGGAATATTGCTAAAAGCGGCGTAAAACCATACTCACTCACTCACTCACTCATTTGAAAAGTTTTCTCCCGTATCTGAAACTGAAAACTTTGTTGACCGCTCACCTTCCGCATCATCAGGGTATGATGCAATGTCATATGACCAGTATTCACGTAAAGTCAACACAGGTAAGGAAGTGTCACTGTAATTTTCATCTTTACCAAAACATCCAACCTCATATGACTCCTGGGGGCACGGGGGGCCCAGTCGTCTAAGGCGCCGCGATTCGCTGTGCAGAGTTGCGTCCCTTGGACACGCCAGAAACCTATGATTGTGGGTTCGAATCCCGATTCGCCCCGATTATGTTCCTAGGTTTGTCAGCACCATACCCGTGCTCGTGGGTTTCACCGAAGTGGTAAACGTCTGAGACCTGCATCACTTTGGGCTTTCCTCCCACATTAAGCTGACACGCCGTGATATAACTGGAATACTGTTAAAAGCGGCGTTAAACCCAACTCACTCACTCACTCACTCACTCATATGACTCCTGCTTCGATGAATTTCAGGGAACCGCTTAACGACAACACGGTTAAGTGTTCATGTGCGAACTGTGCTACTTAGATAGATCGTGTAGATGATGCAGCGATGTCATGCAGCATGTGTAGTATCTATGACTACTACCAGTACGATATGTCATTTGATCAACTGTGTTACTTAAATAGAACGTGTAGATGATGCAGCGATGTCATGCAGCATGTGTAGTATCTATGACTACTACCAGTACGATATGTCATTTGATCAACTGTGTTACTTAAATAGAACGTGTAGATGATGCAGCGATGTCATGCAGCATGTGTAGTATCTATGACTACTACCAGTACAATATGTCATTTGATCAACTGTGTCACAACGCTTGTCTGGTGGGGCGTCTGCCAGGGGTGCAGGAGGTCGGTGTCCGATCACCTGGCCGGATCATGCCAAAATCTGCTGCTTGAGAGTGATGCTGCGAGACCACCGACTCTCGACGATTTATTATCAATATACATATTGCCATGACGTTCAAAACAGCTGTAATAACGAACACCGTCATGTTCGAGCAGGGATAAAAAACGTCAGACATTCTTGTCAATAAGGCCATATTTATTTCAATTGGTTGATCCTCCTAACCAAGATACTGAGAAACTGGGAAACAATGGGGTTTTTTACCAACCAAACATCACTGCCGACCCGAAAACATTTGTATTGGAATATTTTGTATAAAGATAGATTTCTGCAATGAGTTTCGTGACAATGCAGTGTTGAAAGTTAAAGGGCAGTAACCCCAGCCATATCTGGATATCTTGCTTTGTCATTTCAGAATCATGATGTTTTTCCTAAAGAAAATTATTTTAATTTTATTTACTTTTATTTTCTGTAAGGGGTTCGGGGGTTTAAGTTTGAAAGTTCCACGTAAATAGGGATATACGGAGTGTATTGCATACTGTACATCATCACCCAAATATGAAACAAGAGCATTATACTGCAAAGATATTAATTAAAATACATTTATTAGGTTTCCTTAGTCGTTTCACACGCCATTAATATATAACCCACACATGAATGAATATATGCGCAACTGCAAAATGTGATTTTGAAAGTCAACTCGCACTTGTAGTGATGCAACTATACCATGACAAAAGTTCTCCCATCACATGCTGTTGAACAGTAAAGACTCCATCATTCGACTCTGGCGTTGTTGTTGCTGCATGATATTCATAACCGCTAAGTCAGAAAACTGGCTTTGTCCTGGAGATGATGGTGAAATAGGTTGCGGAGGAAGACCTGGACTAGCTGGACCTCCAAACGGTGACTGACCTGGCATTGACATACCCAGATCGGGTACGAGTGCTTGCAATACGTTAGATGGATTCAATCCTGGTGCAGAGATTGCAATTGGACCGCCACCTAGTGCATTTGTCAGTCCTTGTAGGAAATTGGGTGGTGCTTGTTGTTGTTGTTGTTGTTGCTGCTGCTGCTGTTGTTGTTGTTGTTGTTGTTGTTGAACCTGGTTGAATCCTTGAAACTGTTGTTGCTGCTGCTGTTGAATATTATCATTTGGTCTTTGTTGTTGTTGCTGTTGTTGTTGCTGCTGTTGAATATTATTTGGTATTTGCTGTTGTTGCTGCTGCTGTGGAGGAAAATCTGGTCTACCTTGGAAGCGTTGCTGTTGTTGTTGTTGCTGTTGTTGTCCAAAGTTTGGCCCACCCTGAAATTGCTGCTGTCTTTGCTGTTGTACGAAGTCAGGTCTTTGTTGCTGCTGCTGCTGCTGCTGCTGTTGCTGCTGCACAGGGTTTGGTCCTCCTTGGAACTGTCGCTGCTGCTGTTGTTGCTGCTGTTGCTGCTGCACAGGGTTTGGTCCTCCTTGGAACTGTTGCTGCTGTTGTTGCTGTTGTTGACCACCGAAAAGGTTGTTTCCTGTTGAGGGGTTCCCTGGTTGTTGTGGCGGCGGTGGGGGTCCAAACATATTTCCACCCGGGGGCCCGGGGTCCAGGGGTAGGTTTAGTGGACCAGGGCCACTGGGGAGTAAATCAAAACGTGGAGCGACGCTAGGAGGACCACCTTGAGGAAGAGAAGTTGGATCAGGACCAAACAGAGGCGGACCATTGTTTTGCCTGGTCAATGCTGGTGAAGGTGGTCCTCCACCAGATAAGCCTAAACTTGGAGAACCCCCCAGTAAAGTTGCAATATTATTCGTGGGTGGTTGATTTGGACTATTAAACGGGGAACTGTTTGAAGTTGATAATGAGCCAAACAGATCAGCTATGCTCCCGGAACTCCCGGAACTCCCGGAACTCCCGGAACTCCCTGGACTACCTGGACTACCTGGACTCCCGGGACCAGAATTTCCACCAAACAAGTTGTTTGTAGGGGCGGGGGCTGGCGGTGGGGGATTAGGAGGAGAAGTGGGAGGGCCACCAAGGCCACCACTTCTTGGAACTCCTTCGAACCCAGGGGGAACAATTGGCCCGGTACCGCCACCTGCTGAATCGAATATTCCTCCTGCGTTATTTCCAGCATTCTGATTGGTGCCGCGGTTCCTGTTATTGGGAACGATTATGATGACGTTGCGATCATTGTTGCGTTCATTGTTGCGACTTCCTCTGCTTCTGCTCCTGTTCCTGTTTCTTCTGCGTCTTCTTCCTGAAATGAGTGAGTTTGATTAACACCGTTTTGTACAGTTTTGCAGTTATACCACTGCGTGTCTACAGGATATGTGAGTGAGTGAGTTGGGGTTAACGCCGATTTTAACAGTATTACATTTATATCGCGGCGTGTCAGCTTAATGTGGGAGGAACGCCCGAAGTGATGCAGGTCTAAGACGTTTACCACTTCGGTGAAACCCACGGGCATGGGTATGGTGCTGACAAACCTCGAAACATAATCGGGGCGAACTGGTATTCGAACCAACAATCATAGGTTTGTGGTTTTCCCAAGGGACTCAACCCTGCACAGCGAGTCACGAACCGGCGCCTTAGACGACTGGGCCACCCGTGTCCCCACAGGGAATGTGAGGAAAGCCCATAGTGATGGTTGGAATCATTTCAGTTCGGTGAAATTGACGAGTTCGGGTATGGTTTGTTTGTTGGTTTGTTGGTTTGTTGTTTGACGCTGTATTCAGCCATATTCCAGCTATATCTGTAACTAATCGAGTCTTGACCAAAGAATCCAGTGATTGATGTCACGAGCATTGATCTACGCAATTGGGATACGATGACATTCCTCATTTTTGACATTTGGATTTATGATCTATTGCTCGATTTATGATATTGTTCACTATTTTAGGTCAACACAGAATTGACATACTTAACTTGTCAACCAGTTGACGCTCCTTACCTTCTACCTCTGAGGATGATCACTGCCTTGGCAGTCTTTCTGCCAGCAAAATAAGTACATATACTACCAACCATACAGAGCTCCCATGAAATAACTTAGATTGAGAAATGTTTGTGATTAAGTATAAATTAAGGTATCAATCTATTAGGATTAGCTCCGTTACTTTGTAACCTAAACATATATAATCACAATCCTTATAAATTCATGTTTAACAGTGTCACTAAAATTGAAAAGGAGCTGAAGATGCTAGTCGGCAGATGAACACGTAAACATGTTGACGTATTTTCCATTTTGTAAGACTATCAGTCAAGCGTAGTGAGTGAACAGCTTGACGCGTAAAACAACGGTTGACCTCGACGGTGACGCGTGACGATGCCGACGTTCAAGTTGGCTGTCATTGTCGTTATCCTGAGGATTATTCACAGAAGCCAAATTCTATACCGTGGTACATCTTATGCCATTCGAAGTGGTTCTTGTCGGAACATTTTTAAATGAACAGGTTACACAAAAGTGAAAAATGTCAATTCCGTGCGTGAATTCACTGCGTAATCCAGTAATGGTACGTTCTCTGTACCACATTGTTTTATCAAGCTACTTATTTTAAAATTTAATAAAATGAAAAACGATAAAAAAAACAAAATGGTTGCTATTCATTATAACCTAGATCAGTCCGAACAAAATTAGTTTTATCTCTGAAATATCGTATCCTGGTTACGGTCGAATTGTTAAATGAAATAAATTACCTGATCAAAACCAAGAATTCCCTTTTCACGAAGATTGTCAAAACTTTTTCATCTAGAATTACTCAGGCCATATCATCAATGAATGTTTCATTGAAAATGGCGTGAGACAAAAACAATTGGCCATTTCCTTGAAATTGTCCACAAAATGTTACAAAACATTTTTAATTACAAGGCAGGTTTCACGCTGATCACGAACATAGCATAGCTGAATATCTAGACGAAAACTATGCCAACGTGAGGTTATGCTGACGTTTCTGTTGATGTTTCTGGATTCCATTTGCCCGCCCTGCATTGAAGAGACATTTGCACGCGACAGCCGATCGAGGGAAGAAGTTCCATTGTGGGCGATTCATTAAATAAATAAAAGCGACAAAACAATTTTCATAATCATAAGAATTCTCTGCTAAAATAGTGTCCGAATCCGAATACATCAGAAGCATGTAATGCTGAAAGTTAAGCGTATCCTGACCCACTGTGACACACGTCACAAACACATGCAAAGGCAAGTCAATTGTTCACCTGAAAAAAAAACACGGGAACATGTGGATTTGCATAAGAAAAAAACAACCATGTAGCCCTCGTTAGCTAATCATTGCTGAACATAAATTGCATTTATAACGTTATATTGTCAAAGTGCTTGACCCTAAATACCGCATGGATGATATCTTTAGCTGTTACACACAGGAAACCTCTATGCTGGCAGTGTAACGTAAAAAACAAAGCAATATTTTAAAATAAAAATTAAAAAAAAGACGCTGTCCACTGGGTATATCGTACCCTCCCTTTATATCAGTTGACATATATTTACATATAAACGTTCATACGTATATGTGCGCCTTTAAATATATCAGCATGCACTGTTTGCTATTGTTATATACTCTGCAAAAAAGAAACACAAAGTAGTCAATATCTGAGTGTTGCCAAAATCCATGCAAACTTCATACCAAAATTGAATTGGTCATTTCTGCATGGATTGGGAGTGATTTGAGTTGAAAGAATAAGGCACTGCAGAAAGTGAACAGCGAAAACCTGCCACGACTGGCGGAAAGCCAACCAACAACGCCTCCGCACAGTGAGGAACGCGCTGAAGGTATTCGCGCTTGAGGCCCATTTCGAGGTGTCTTTCTGTCGGACCTGCGTCGTCGGCTGCGACGTCAATGGTGTCAAGGTCACAGGGTATTGCCACAACTGCGATGGAGACAAGTGTAGTTTCATGTTTTATGCTTCGTCGTGCGGATGGTGGACTTACGTTATGCACGAAACTGCGTACAGGAAGTGGACAGATTTGTTGGTGGTAGTGTGATGATGTGGGCAGCCATCTCCTACACTGGTAGAACAGACTTGGTGCATGTTCCGGGGCATTCAACAGCACAATGTCACAAGGAGACATTCTTTGGTCCCATCATGCAACGAGAGACGTCATTTTCCAACAAGACAACACCCGACCTCAAACGGCAAGGCTGACAACAGCCTTTTTCAGGAATCACAACATCCAGGTTCTGCCATGACCCTCCAGGTCTCAAGAATGAAACCTAGTCGAACAGTTATGGGATGTACTGGATCACCGACTGCGAGCACGTCAGCAACAACGACAGAACCTCCGACAGCTGGCACAAGCACTGAAGACTGAGTGAGTGAACATTACCCAGGCCACAATTCGGGATCTGATTGCTTCCATGGGACGACGATACCAGTCAGTTCTGGACTCTAATGATGGCCATACAAGATATTGAGAACAGATGACCTCATCTTGAAAATCTACTGTTCCATGTGTGTCATATGGAACCTGTGTCAATGACAATGATGTGTGCCAATTTTCAACGATTACCATTAGTTGATTATTTATATGATATGACTATACGTCTAAAATCACTTTTGCGTTTCTTTTTTTCCAGAGTACATATCGAAAAAACGTAACACGAATTTCATATCCTAATATTTCTTCCATTCACTTATAATCAGGTTCAACAGATATGAAATTGTTAGATATTGGTTGTTGTTGTTGTTGTTGATGATGTTGTTGTTGTTTTTTCTTATGCATATGATACGCATACTCTTTCACCAGCAGTGACATGATGCATTTGTATGCCGTCACAAATTGAGGAACAGGTTCACACAGTACACAACGTCATCTCCTTAAACGTTTGAATGATGAAGCAAGCAGTCACCATACATCACCTTTCAACTTGCGTGTGTGTGTGTGTGTGTGTGTGTGTGTGTGTGTGTGTGTGTGTGTGTGTGTGTGTGTGTGTGTGTGTGTGTGTGCAGTTGTACAAAAATATAGTGTAAACCAAAGTCATTTTCCTAATGGGTGGACCAACGTTTCCAACTTTGGAAACTACATGCATAACGTTTAGAAAGTTATAAGGATGTATATCATAATGCAATCTTATATCTTCCAGGTTTGTCAAATAAAACTTGATCAAATGATCTGCATGAGCATCATGACATCCCCCGGGGTGCGTCCTTGGGTCATTCCTTGGTATGGAGCCTCCTGGGGGTAGTGCTGAGACGGGGCTGCGGAGAGAAGAAACGGAGCGTCATTGCCAACACAGTACATATCTCGCCCACAATAGATTCCAAGCACCCATGCCAATATTAAATATAAAAACATGAACATTGATACAATAATATCAAGCATCATCACTTCAGACCATTTAATACAAGTGACACAAAAAATGTAATCACGAAAACGTTAATATTAGTACAATCCCGTGTATTGTTAGCAAGTATTACCACAATCATAAGAATTCTCTTCTAAAAGCAGAATCCATTGTACGATTCTGACAATATCATGATGATATGTTCATGATTCACTATCCATTCGTGGTGACACCAGGTGTTCGCGAAAAGGTTTGCATGTCCTCCCCCACGGGCACCTGCCACGCCATACAGCTTCAAAGCAATATTTGTTTGTTTGTTTGTTTGTTTTTTAACGCCGCACTCAGCAATATTCCAGTTATATGACGGCGGTCTGTAAAATAATCGAGTCTGGACCAGACAATCCAGTGATTGACATCATAAGCATCGATCCACGCAATTGGGATGGATGCCATGCGTCAACCAAGTCAGCGAGCCTGATCGCCCGATCCCGTTAGTCGCCTTTTACGACAAGCATAGTCGCCTTTTTACGGCATGTATGGGTTGCTGAAGACCTATTCTAACCCGGAATCTTCACGGGTCTCAAAGCAATAGCATCATACATACTGTCATTGTTAATTGTAAGAACCAGTGAACCACCACACACATTATTTTCAAAAACCATCACACATTATGTAAGTGCCATTGCATGAGTTGAATTCGATCAATTAAGTCGCTTCTTACGGGGAAAATGGTTCCTGGAGACAATATCGAACCCGGACTTCCCAGAGGTGAAAGAAAATGGTAACTAATAAGGAAAAATGTATTAGGAAAGCATTACCCAAATGTTGCTGGTTTTGGTAATATGGGTCGATGTTCTGTCCCCCTTCGTTGACAGGTGAAGCACGGTGACCGCCAACATTCATGTTTTGCTTTTGTTCCTGGTTATAGGCTTCCTGCATTACCATTTGCTGTTGCCGCATGTATTGTTGTTGTTGCTGCTGCTGCTGCTGCTGCTGCTGCTGCTGTTGATGGTGTTGTTGTTGCTGAAGAAGGTGTTGTTGCTGCTGGTTCCTTTGGTAATGATTATCAGCATGCTGATGACGCCCACTTTGGCTATTGGTCACAATAGGTTTAGTGATGTATGTCTCCGATTCTGGGTCGTAAACAGTTTGCACTTGTGCCTTCTGGAAATCATTGTTTGTGTATCTCCGGTTCGAGGATTGCCTATTTCGTGGATTGGAGTTGGATGATGCCAGTGTTTGAGGTTGATACTGTTGCAGTTTGGAGGCGCGGGGATTGGCAGACTGTAGGACAGGTTGTCTTCTGGAGTGTGTGTCGGGTTGGTGCATTTCGTTAGCCTTGAAGCCAGCACGGTTGTGCACAGGACGCACATCTGGAGTTGAAATATTTGTATTATTCTAATCATGAATACGTTTCTCTACGATTGAACGAGTGCGTTTGGTTAAACGCCATTGTCAACCGTATTGCAGCTATAACACGGCTTGTCAGCTTAATCTGGCAAGAAGGCCTGAAGTGATGCAAGTCTCGGACTTTTACCTTTTTTAATTGGTTGACAGGCATTACTTTGAAGTTGACGGATGACAAAGTAGAGACAATTTATGGATGCCAACTTCTTTAATACTGTAAAAGCGATGTTTCGGTGTAGATCCTTAAACCATTGTCAAGCAAAACTGCTCAACAACGGTAGAAGGATATATACCGAAACGTCGCCTTTACAGTATCAAAGTTGTTATCCATAAATTGTCTCTACTTTGTTAATTTTTTTAGTGAAACCCACGAGTACGGGTATATTGCTGACTGCACGATTAAGAGGTACAAGTCACAGCGATATGTGGCGCCTTAGACGTATTCACTGTGAAAATATAATATGCACAAATACATGTATACAATGGTTTCAGTACCTGGTGAAGACAGAATAATTATTGACTTGATCAAAACAGATTAAAGAAGAATTTCAGCTGTGTTGGGCAGCTAGGGTGATAAGGTGTAAAAAAAAGTTTACTTACTCGACTGGCCTATGGTAAGCTGGTCAGCGGGGGACGTGTGTCTATTAGCCTGGCCCATGTCATACGCACGATGGCTTTTAGAACCAGTTGCGATGCCAGCATGAGGATCATGCTGCCTCAGCATCCCTCCATAAACGTCAGGAAACGGTTCGTTACCATGGTTATGTGATGGAACATTACTGATCCTTCCTTCACGTCGCCTAATGCTCGCTCTCGTTCGCCCAACTGTCTGGAAATTATGTTCTATCCCGGAAGGTCTGCCTATGTCGATATAGGGAGATGAAGGTTCTTGTGAGGGATGCCTTGAATAATGACCTCCAGGATACAGTTGACTCGAAGATAAATGGGATCTTTTAGTTTCAAATGATGTCCCGTTTGACTTTGAGTTGCTATTCGTGCTGTCATCTGTGGCTGCACCCTCTTCAACGCTGGGATCTCTGCGCCTGTTTTCTGTCGTCGGAATGCCAGGTTGGCTGCTAAAGATTGAGGTCATTGATCTTGGGCTGGAGACTCGTGGTCCTCGTGCTGAAGCTCCTTGCCCTATGCTATCGTGGGAAACTCTATAGCCTCCCTTAGCTCTTCTTCCGGGTGAGGAGTTTGCAGGAATTACACGTGTCTGGAGCATGTTGTTCCTCTGCATATTTCTCAAAGATATGGTTCTTGTATGTCCATGTGTAGGCTCACCATACACTGTTGGTTCAGAGACCCCCTCTTGAATGTTCACGTCCTGTATAATATGTCCAGAATTCTGTACTGGTGGAATTTCCGTTTGTGTGTATTTGTGAGCAGTGAGCATTCTGTTTGAGTTATGGCCAATGATATCCGATGATCTTAAAGATGGCCGAGTTTCAGGCTCTGCCATGACATCTGGTTTCTGATTTATGTTTCGTCCCTCTTGATCCTGTATTCTATGATGTACTAGGAACTCTGCAACGGCATGACCATTATCAGGGACATTTTGTCCTGCGCTGAGAATTTCCGGTTCCGGTTCTGGTTCCGCTTCCGCCTCCGGCTCTGGTTCAGCTTCTGGTTCAGACATCCCGTCCGCCTCTCCAACTTCATATGTTTGGATATCAATGCCACCATGAACATGAACTGCAGACTGTTTAGTGTCTTGTACACCATTTGCTGCTGCTCCACTTGGAAATACACCTCCTAACCTTTCTTCTTTGGGTATTTTTGTTTTGAAAGATATCTGAATGTCACTCAGATGAATTGTCTTGGGAGTTGACAGTTCTAGCATTTGAACAGGTTCAACATGTGCAGGCACAAATGTGTCAGGAATTGGTCGTTCCTGATAAGCGTAGTTTGATTTTTGTTCCTTGGACGTACGTATTATAGACTTTATAAGGGCTGTTATATTTGTTTGTCCCATAGTTATAATATCTTGGTATGTCGGTTGCATATTTTTACCAGTGTCTAGGCTTAACGGAGCATATGTTGTTGTAGGTCGTTGCCTGGGTGTTTTTGTTGTTGTAATTGTTGTGACTGCTACTTGTAGTCGTGGGTCAAGCGTTTTCTTAGATTTATTATTTCCTATCTGCATCCTAGGAGAATTTTGCACATTTTTCCTCATATTAATTTTAACATTAATCCCACCGTGAACAGTTCCAGGGCTACCTCCTCGTAGTCTGCGGGAAGTGGCAAGAATGTGTTCCAATTTCCTTTCAAAAACATCTAAGTTTTTACTTGAGTTGAGACCATGAATATTTTCTTGCAAAGAACTCATAAAATTACTCATATTAAGTTTGTTTTTACTCTTTTGTTTAGGTGTGTCTTGGATAGGTACACTCTGAGTTGTTGGTGTCTGAGTCGTGGTCAACAGGAACTTCCTTTGTTTGACACGTTTTGGCATTCTTCGCTTCTGTGGTCTTATGAGGACAGACAGAATCCTAGGCAACTGCGTTGTCGGGGGAACTGTCGTAGTCGGAGAAGTTGCTGTAGTGGTTGTTGTTCTGGGAGTGACAGTAGTTGGGACTTTATTCTTTCCTTTCTTCGTTCTTGCCCTTGCCATATGTTTTAACTTAGCAAAAACATCACGATTGAATACGTTGACCTTTGATTTGATTCTATGAATTCTCGTTTTAACAACTGGTGTTTCAGTTGTCGGTGTTTCATTCATTGTTGTGGCTATTTCTTGTAATTCTATGGGTTCTTTTTGGAACTTGCTAGTCCAGTTGGTAAGAAATTGCTTTTGCTGAAGATCAAGTATAGGATTTACCGTTGTCGTTGATATGCCTTGTGTAGCTACTTTTGTCGTAGTAGGTGTGACCTTGTTTATCTTCATTTGTAGCAGGAGCAGCAGATCATTGACAGACAAAGAATCGGCACTTTTGGTTTTTAGAGTATTGATATCAAGTGCAGCTGATGTTTTTGTAAATGGAATCCTCGTGCTTGCCTGGGTTAATCCAACATTAGGCTCTGAAATTACCTGGCTTGTCATGTCACTGTTTGGTGGAGTTTTGGTCATTGGATTTATGGCTTCATCTATTCTACCCACAGTGGGGACAGGGGTTGTGTTTTTTCTGTGATGTTCAACACGGTGATACCCCATCTTTCGATACGTACTCAACAGTTTTACTCTTTTCTTATTACTTTCCCTTAACATTCGTAACAGCTTATCTCTAGACGGGGGATTTTTGAAAGGTCGATTTTTCGAGCTTATTTTTTTGTGTGAATATTTTGAAAGCAAAGATGTCCTTGGTAAAAAAGGAGACGGTGTATTTTTAGGAGCCCTTGTAAGGGATCCAGTTTTTATGTTAATGTCATTTGTTTTCTTAGCAGCTCTTTCAAATACATGTGTTGAAGTCGGTAGTCCCATAGTTGAAGTAGTGGTTGTTGTCACAGTTACTGGTGGTGCGGTAATTGGTTTCATTGTAGTTGTAACTGCTGTAGATGTAGTTATAAATGTTGTGGTTGAAGTTTGAGAAGTGGTAGTAGGCGTTGTAGTGGTCACCGTTGCAGTAGATGTTGAGGGTTTATCAGTATTTATGAACGTAGCAACTTCTTGTGTTGTGAATTTTGAAATACTTTTTTCGGAAGTTGCAACGGGAATAAGTTTTCTTGCTTCCTCTATCGGTATGTTATAATTTGTTGTGAGAAGGTTAAGGAAATCTGCCATGGTTAAATCCTGCCGCATTGAGCCAAATATATCATCTAGATTTGGGCTACCGCTAGCTTGCTGTATTTTTGTAATCGTGGTTTGATCTATTACAAGATTTGATGTTGGCTCCACGGATACAATGGTGGCTGGAGGGAATGCCTTGACAGATGCTATGGCTGCATCTTCCTCAACCATTGTAATACGTGTAGTACTTGTCTCTGGCAAAGGTGTACTTGTACTTCTACTGATGGTAGTGGCTACCCTTGTAGGTTCAGTGACAGGAACTTGACCTGTTGATTCTGATAATGACCACGGTTTCACCTGTTCATCTGCTTCACTGTGCGATAGTCTGGAGGACGACAAAAGAGAGTTCAGGTTTTTAGTTAAAAACTGTTGAATGCTATTAAACGTGTTATCAAGTCTTTTCTCTGCAATTCGGGCTTTGTCCATGGTGGTCATTTCTGTCACAATATTTTCAGGAGTCGCCAAGATAGTTTCTGAGAGCGTTATTTCAGTTATTGGATAGTGAGTTGATGTTTCTCTTGAATATATCTTTGTAGTCAGAGGTTCTTCTGTTGATCCCGTCACCATTTGCCTTCTCGGACGCCTACGCCTTAATCTGTCAGATGCCTTAGACATTACCTTAGGAACCCAAGTAGGTGTTTGTCTTGTAGAAGGCAAGTTTGGCGTTCGCCTAGGATCATGGCCATTTCTAGGTCTACGCGATTGATATGGTTCGGTAGACGTGATTCTCATTCGTGTTCTTCTTCTTGTAGATACCAACGATGGTCGTGTTACCTCTGTAACCAACACTGGAGTGACTGTAGTTGTCATTGCCACTGGTGTTTCGGTACTCAAAGTCTTCTTCAGAACATCTGGAAGATGAAATATAATTAAATCTTATCAGTAGGTTGGTTGGTTGGTTGGTTTGTTGTTTAATGCCGTACTCAGCAATATTCCAGCTATATGACGGCGGTCTGTAAATAATCGAGTAATGGACCAGACAATCCAGTGATTAATATCAAGAGCATCGACCCACGCAATTGAGATCGATGACATGCATCAACCAAGTCCGCGAGCCTGACCACCCGATCCCGTTAGTCGCCTCTTACGACAAGCATAGTCACCTTTTACGGCAATTATGGGTTGCTGAAGACCTACATGTATTCTACCCCGGAATCTTTACGGGTCCGTAATGTAAACGATTTCACACAGTGTAACAGAAACTGCTTCAGGGTGTCAAGGTTTGCCATAAGGATGATAATATTTAATTTAAAAATTGTTCATTAGCACATTTGAGTTAGTACGATTTATTGTCACTTTGTGCAGTATTTAGTTACATCACTGCTTGTCAGCTGAATGTGGACGGAACACTTACAGTGTAAGCAAGCCTAGAATGTTACCACTTTGGATAAACCAACGAGCATGTTATGTTGTACGAGGAATCATTATCCTACAAACCCACGACAAGCAAATCTTGACATGATTGCGAACTCTGCATGAGAAATTGCTGTGCCTTTAACTGCCGGAACGCCATAACCCACCTTCGTCCTTGTACCATTAGAATGTATTCGTTTGATTTTTCGCAGGTCTACTGCACATGGTCATAAAGTGCTTACCTTTCAAAGGGCCTGCCACTCCTGCCATCTTTGCCATTTTCATTACATCTGTAATAACAATGACTTATTGTAATTCCGAACGAAATTGTCTTGAAATTTCCTCGCATTAATTTCATTTATAATGATTGATAAGAGCCACCCACTGTCACATTATATTCCACAAAGATGACATTTAAAAGGAAATGATTACCCAACTATATGGATGATAGCAATGCTAGAAGCAGCCTATTCGAGACTAACCATTATATTCGTTAAGGTTAATTCGGAGGTGGGGGAAGGGTGGCCTGAATTTTTGTTTATGACATATTTTTTTCAGTTATCGCTTCAGGACATACATAAGTAAAATATTCCTTTAGGCCAACTCGGATCATGTTTCTGAGGAGAATTTGTTTCAATTATTTTCAGGAACTCAAATGGTCAGCCAATTAGGGTGAAAATGTGTTGATAATACCTTCTAGTGAGAACATTTTTTCTGCTGCGCCTTCACCTGAAATGAAACATATTGCCCTTATATTCAATAAGACTAGTCACAACCCAGTGTATGTGCATTATGTTAGTTACGTCAAGGGGGTGACGTTCAATCTACTGTCGTTTACAATTAGTAGGGTCATGTCAAAAAGTGCTTAAGTTACAGATACACAGTGTCCCTGTTCAAAGGCTTGACCCGCACATTAGACAAGGTTATGCGTACAGTTAGGAGATATACGTTCTCTGTTTTCAGATTTGGGTGTTATTGAGTATTCGATGCCCGGAAATTTCAACTGGAACCGACGGCGTTCGTCGACAATGTTAAACACCAACGTTTTCACCCTCTCTCTACGTGAACTCTTACAGTTGTGAGGCGGAATACTTGAGGGAACGATTAGATGCCATGACAAAACAACACAATTCGGTAATTACTGAATCCGTCTGGTTAGCAGGATTTGAAAAAAGAATTCAGCGAAATTATTTTGACAAAATTCTGAAAAAAGTTAATGTTTGATTAATGTGGTATCAATTTCGCAAAGCCGAATGACACGTGGTTTTTTTCGAAATCGGGATTAAGAAAACGTGTGGCTTATCAAAAAGTATTCCAACGCAGTGAAAAGTCAGAGAGATTTCCGAGATCCAAGTCCCTTTACCATCGTTTTTCAACCAGTCAGATTTCAACTCACACTCCCATTCATTATAAATTTCAATATATACCTTGTTCACCTGTTGCTGCTTACAGAGTATTGCCGCGTAGTATGAAAATAAATATATTTGAAATCATTTTTTTTTTTAAAAGAAATTGAAATCAGACATTATAATGATGATTGAAATGTATTGTTTCATCCGGGGAATATTGTGTATTTGAAAGCAAACCTGAAATTGACTGTTCAAAAATAGGAATATGTATTGTTTATGTTAGAGGTTTACTGAACCCAATTTGAACCCTCTACAGCAGCTAACAGGAACAAGGGAGGTAATCCAAGGGTTCTCACCTTATGTTTCGGTTCTTCATGCAATTTGCAGTTGTCACCCTTCAAAACAAATTCACGACTTCCGCAAATCGTCTTAGCCGTAGATTATATTACATTCGAGTGTCACGTGGTGCCGTGAATAATATGCTTGGGCACAAGGCTTTGACAGCTTTGACTAGTTCTGCTAAATGCAATTTATGTCAGATATGAATTTATACATGATAATGTGCAAAGGTGGACGGTAAACACATGGTCATTTAATAAATACGGGATGTTAAATTCATTTTTTAATGTAGGATGTACGATTAATTTTCAAGTATGATATTTATAAATACGAGTATTTTCAAGTGTGGTATGTATGAGAATTTTCAAGTGTGGGATGTACGAGAATTTTCAAGTGTGGTATGTACGAGTATTTTCAACTGTGGTATGTACGAGAATTTTTAAGTGTGAGATGAAAGAGTATTTTCAAGTGTGGGATGAAAGAGTATTTTCAAGTGTGGTATGTACGATAATTTTCAAGTGTGGTATGTACGATAATTTTCAAGTGTGGGATGTACGATCGATTATTTTCAAGCGTGGGATGTACGAGTATTTTCAAGTGTGGTATTTTCGAGTATTTTCAAGTGTGGTATGTACGAGTATTTTCAAGTGTGGTATGTACGAGTATTTTCAACTGTGGTATGTACGAGAATTTTTAAGTGTGGGATGAAAGAGTATTTTCAAGTGTGGGATGAAAGAGTATTTTCAAGTGTGGTATGTACGATAATTTTCAAGTGTGGTATGTACGAGTATTTTCAAGTGTGGTATGTACGATAATTTTCAAGTGTGGGATGTACGATCGATTATTTTCAAGCGTGGGATGTACGAGTATGTTCAAGTGTGGTATTTTCGAGTATTTTCAAGTGTGGTATGTACGAGTATTTTCAAGTGTTGTATGTACGAGTATTTTCAAGTGTGGTATGTACGAGTATTTTCAAGTGTGGGATGTACGAGTATTTTCAAGTTGGGGATGTACGAGTATTTTCAAATGTGGTATGTACGAGTATTTTCAAGTGTGGTATTTTCGAATATTTTCAAGTGTGGGATGTACGAGTGTTTTTAAGTGTGATATGTACGAGAATTTTCAAGTGTTGGATGTCCGAGTATTTTCAAGTGTGCTATGTACGAGTATTTTCAAGTGTGCTATGTACGAGAATTTTCAAGTGTGGTATGTACGAGTATTTTCAAGTGTGGTATGTACGAGTATTTTCAAGTGTTGGATGTACGAGTATTTTCAAGTGTGCTATGTACGAGTATTTTCAAGTGTGCTATGTACGAGAATTTTCAAGTGTGCTATGTACGAGTATTTTCAAGTGTGCTATGTACGAGAATTTTCAAGTGTGGTATGTACGAGTATTTTCAAGTGTGGTATGTATGAGAATTTTCAAGTGTTGGATGTACGAGTATTTTCAAGTGTGCTATGTACGAGTATTTTCAAGTGTGCTATGTACGAGAATTTTCAAGTGTGCTATGTACGAGTATTTTCAAGTGTGGGATGTACGAGTATTATCAAGTGTGGTATGTACGAGTATTATCAAGTGTGGTATGTACGAGTTTTTTCAAGTGTTGGATGTACGAGAATCTTCATGTGTGGTATGTACGAGTATTTTCAAGTGTGGTATGTACGAGTAATTTCAAGTGTGGTATGTTCGACTATTTTCAAGTGTGGGATGTCAGAGTATTTTCAAGTGTGGGATGTTCGACTATTTTCAAGTGTGGGATGTACGAGAATGTTCATGTGTGGTATGTACGAGTATTTTCATGTGTGGTATGTACGAATATTTTCAAGTGTTGGATGTACGAGAATGTTCATGTGTGGTATGTACGAGTATTTTCAAGTGTGGGATGTACGAGAATGTTCATGTGTGGTATGTACGAGTATTTTCAAGTGTTGTATGTACGAATATTTTCAAGTGTGGTATGTACGAGTATTTTCAAGTTAGGGATGTACGAGTATTTTCAAGTGTTGTATGTACGAGTATTTTCAAGTGTGGTATGTACGAGTATTTTCAAGTGTTGTATGTACGAGTATTTTCAAGTGTGGTATGTACGAGTATTTTCAAGTGTGGTATGTACGAGTATTTTTAAGTGTGGTATGTACGAGTATTTTCAAGTGTGGTATGTACGAGTATTTTAAAGTGTTGTATGTACGAGTATTTTCAAATGTGGTATGTACGAGAATTTTTCAAGTGCTGGATGTACGAGTATTTTCGAGTGTGGTATGTACTTTTTTTTTCAAGTGTGGTATGTACGAGTATTTTCAAATGTGGTATGTACGAGAATTTTCAAGTGCTGGATGTACGAGTATTTTCAAGTGTGGGATGTACGAGTATTATCAAGTGTGGTAAGTACGAGTATTTTCAAGTGTTGGATGTACGAGTATTTTCAAGTGTGGTATGTACGAGTATTTTCAAGTGTGGGATGTACGAGAATTTTCAAGTGTGGTATGTACGAGTATTTTCAAGTGTGGTATGTACGAGTATTTTCAAGTGTGGTATGTACGAGTATTTTTAAGTCTGGTATGTACGAGTATTTTCAAGTGTGGTATGTACAAGAATTTTCAAGTGTGGTATGTACGAGAATTTTCAATTGTGGGATGTACGAGTATTTTCAAGTGTGGGATGTACGAGTATTTTCAAGTGTGCTATGTACGAGTATTTTCAAGTGTGGTATGTACGAGTATTTTCAAGTGTGGTATGTACAAGTATTTTCAAGTGTGGTATTTTCGAGAATTTTCAAGTGTGGGATGTACGAGTATTTTCAAATGTGTGATGTACGAGTATTTTCAAGTGTGGTATGTACGAGTATTTTCAAGTGTGGTATTTTCGAGAATTTTCAAGTGTGGGATGTACGAGTATTTTCAAGTGTGGTATTTTCGAGAATTTTCAAGTGTGGTATTTTCGAGAATTTTCAAGTGTGGTATGTACGAGTATTTTCAAGTGTGGTATGTACAAGTATTTTCAAGTGTGGTATTTTCGAGAATTTTCAAGTGTGGGATGTACGAGTATTTTCAAGTGTGGTATTTTCGAGAATTTTCAAGTGTGGTATTTTCGAGAATTTTCAAGTGTGGTATGTACGAGTATTTTCAAGTGTGGTATGTACAAGTATTTTCAAGTGTGGTATTTTCGAGAATTTTCAAGTGTGGGATGTACGAGTATTTTCAAATGTGTGATGTACGAGTATTTTCAAGTGTGGTATGTACGAGTATTTTCAAGTGTGGTATTTTCGAGAATTTTCAAGTGTGGGATGTACGAGTATTTTCAAGTGTGGTATTTTCGAGAATTTTCAAGTGTGGTATTTTCGAGAATTTTCAAGTGTGGGATGTACGAGTATTTTCAAATGTGTGATGTACGAGTATTTTCAAGTGTGGTATGTACGAGTATTTTCAAGTGTGGTATGTATGAGTATTTTCAAGTGTGGGATGAACGAGTATTTTCAAGTTGGGGATGTACGAGTATTTTCAAATGTGGTATGTACGAGTATTTTCAAGTGTGGTATTTTCGAATATTTTCAAGTGTTGTATGTGCGAGTATTTTCAAGTGTGGGATGTACGAGTATTTTCAAGTGTGCTATGTACGAGAATTTTCAAGTGTGGGATGTACGAGTATTTTCAGGTGTGCTATGTACGAGAATTTTCAAGTGTGCTATGTACGAGTATTTTCAAGTGTGCTATGTACGAGAATTTTCAAGTGTGCTATGTACGAGTATTTTCAAGTGTGGTATGTATGAGAATTTTCAAGTGTTGGATGTACGAGTATTTTCAAGTGTGCTATGTACGAGTATTTTCAAGTTTGCTATGTACGAGAATTTTCAAGTGTGGTATGTACGAGTATTTTCAAGTGTGGTATGTACGAGTATTTTCAAGTGTTGGATGTACGAGTATTTTCAAGTGTGCTATGTACGAGTATTTTCAAGTGTGCTATGTACGAGAATTTTCAAGTGTGCTATGTACGAGTATTTTCAAGTGTGCTATGTACGAGAATTTTCAAGTGTGGTATGTACGAGTATTTTCAAGTGTGGTATGTATGAGAATATTCAAGTGTTGGATGTACGAGTATTTTCAAGTGTGCTATGTACGAGTATTTTCAAGTGTGCTATGTACGAGAATTTTCAAGTGTGGTATGTACGAGTATTTTCAAGTGTGGGATGTACGAGTATTATCAAGTGTGGTATGTACGAGTATTATCAAGTGTGGTATGTACGAGTATTTTCAAGTGTTGGATGTACGAGTATTTTCAAGTGTGCTATGTACGAGTATTTTCAAGTGTGCTATGTACGAGAATTTTCAAGTGTGCTATACGAGTATTTTCAAGTGTGCTATGTACGAGAATTTTCAAGTGTGGTATGTACGAGTATTTTCAAGTGTGGTATGTATGAGAATATTCAAGTGTTGGATGTACGAGTATTTTCAAGTGTGCTATGTACGAGTATTTTCAAGTGTGCTATGTACGAGAATTTTCAAGTGTGCTATGTACGAGTATTTTCAAGTGTGGGATGTACGAGTATTATCAAGTGTGGTATGTACGAGTATTATCAAGTGTGGTATGTACGAGTATTTTCAAGTGTTGGATGTACGAGAATTTTCGTGTGTGGTATGTACGAGTATTCTCAAGTGTGGTATGTACGAGTAATTTCAAGTGTGGTATGTTCGACTATTTTCAAGTGTGGGATGTCAGAGTATTTTCAAGTGTGGGATGTTCGACTATTTTCAAGTGTGCTATGTACGAGAATGTTCATGTGTGGTATGTACGAGTATTTTCAAGTGTGGTATGTACGAATATTTTCAAGTGTTGGATGTACGAGAATGTTCATGTGTGGTATGTACGAGTATTTTCAAGTGTGGGATGTACGAGAATGTTCATGTGTGGTATGTACGAGTATTTTCAAGTGTTGTATGTACGAATATTTTCAAGTGTGGTATGTACGAGTATTTTCAAGTGTGGGATGTACGAGTATTTTCAAGTGTTGTATGTACGAGTATTTTCAAGTGTGGTATGTACGAGTATTTTCAAGTGTGGTATGTACGAGTATTTTTAAGTGTGGTATGTACGAGAATTTTTTAAGTGTTGTATGTACGAGTATTTTCAAGTGTTGTATGTACGAGTATTTTAAAGTGTTGTATGTACGAGTATTTTCAAATGTGGTATGTACGAGAATTTTCAAGTGCTGGATGTACGAGTATTTTCAAGTGTGGTATGTACTTTTTTTTTCAAGTGTGGTATGTACGAGTATTTTCAAATGTGGTATGTACGAGAATTTTCAAGTGCTGGATGTACGAGTATTTTCAAGTGTGGGATGTACGAGTATTATCAAGTGTGGTAAGTACGAGTATTTTCAAGTGTTGGATGTACGAGTATTTTCAAGTGTGGTATGTACGAGTATTTTCAAGTGTGGGATGTACGAGAATTTTCAAGTGTGGTATGTACGAGTATTTTCAAGTGTGGTATGTACGAGTATTTTCAAGTGTGGTATGTACGAGAATTTTCAAGTGTGGTATGTACGAGAATTTTCAAGTGTGGGATGTACGAGTATTTTCAAGTGAGGGATGTACGAGTATTTTCAAGTGTGCTATGTACGAGTATTTTCAAGTGTGGTATGTACGAGTATTTTCAAGTGTGGTATGTACAAGTATTTTCAAGTGTGGTATTTTCGAGAATTTTCAAGTGTGGGATGTACGAGTATTTTCAAATGTGTGATGTACGAGTATTTTCAAGTGTGGTATGTAAGAGTATTTTCAAGTGTGGTATTTTCGAGAATTTTCAAGTGTTGGATGTACGAGTATTTTCAAATGTGTGATGTACGAGTATTTTCAATGTGGTATGTACATGTACAAGTATTTTCAAGTGTGGTACGTGCGGGTATTGTGTTAACTGTGGGATGTATATTATGTAATATTAATCGAGTATGTTCAAGTGTGCTATGTACGAGTTTTTAACAGTATTACAGTTATATCGGGGCGTGTCAGCTCAATATGGGAGGAAAATACCGAAGTGATGTAGGTCTCAGACGTTTATCACTTCGGAGAACCCCAGGAGCACGGGTATGGTGCTGACAAACCTAGAAACATAATCGAGGCGAACCGGGATTCGAACCCACAGTCATAGGTTTCCGGCGTGCCCAAGGGACGCAACTCGGCACAGCGAATCGCGGCGCCTTAGACGACTCGTAATTGATACACAGAAATTGGATGCACAAGTATTTTCAAGTATGGGATGAACGAGTTACTGTGAGGTATGAAATCCAGGAGTAGATTCATATATGGGGTATAGAAATATGATTACGCATGAAAGAGTGAGAAGTAAGAAAAACGATCTTGGTCAAATTAAACGTTCGAGGTAACAAAGTTTTCACTGCTTACGAAAAGGTATTGCAGGCAGTCGTGATAAAAAATATCAATAGAGAACGTAACATTGCACGAATAATCTTGTAATACTCATGCTTGCATTACAGTTATTCTTGAAATCCCTTCATTACCTAGCTAAATCGCTTCATCACCTAGAATATAACATAATATATTAAACATGACCTACTTTGTGCGTCTGATGACGCCAGTATCGCCAGAACAACCAGTGCTACAATCAAGGTACGGGACCACATTGCCGACCCTGTTGGAACAACGAGATACAGTGAGTGAGTTTGGTTCTGCAATAATCCAGGTCTATCTTGTCAGGGAACAACCAGAATGGGCTTTATACATTTGCCAATTTGTTAATCGAACCTGGAGCTTCGACGTGAGACCTCTACACTTTTACCATTAGGCTGCCTCCACTTTCAACAATGGTACTGCATGTTTATATTAGAAAACGACGTCAGTGTGTGGTGACCGAAGCTTAACCACAGACACATTATATATCATATACAGATATATGTCCCATTATTTAAATCATCTATCCTGGACCAGATAATCAAGTGATTGATATCATGAGCATCGATTCACACAATTAGGATACGATGACATGCAATCAAACAAGTCGCCTTACCACGCAATTCCATTAGTCGCCTTTTGCGACAAGCATGGATTGCTGGGGAACATCGTTCGTACCTCGAATACCCGCGGGTAACATGACATATCCTTGTGTCGTGGTTTATTGGCACCCATAAATGATATACGTTTACATGTAATGACAGAAAATGCAGTCTTTACCTGCAAATGCTTCAGACTGCATACATTTTGCACGTGTATAACGTTTCAAAGTGCACACAATGGCACCCTATACATTCACGTTGACATGTCATACCGTTCCTTTGAGATACAACGTTTATAAAAAGCATGGCAAAGAAAGTATTCTGTTCCATGCTTGATGGTGGCTAAAATGATACAAACTAGAAATGGCTATTCGATGGTGATGTATTTGATATGGGCATCATAGTTGTGTTTCAGACCTCAAGTTGAAGTCTTTCGGCATCTGTTTTCAGCCCAGTAACATATTGATAACGTTTGTAATGTTTTGGTTAAATTCAAGTGTAGACTTTCTTTTGCCCGGCAGTTTAAAACATATTGAAATTGAAAGCAGTGTCATGCATATGTCTTTCATCATATTACAAATACATCAACGACCACTCTTCAGCCATATTCGTCCTCGATTCAAATGAATATTGGCGTGTTCTGTATACGCCTCTTTGAACAGGATTTCAGTTAGATCAGAGTAAATCAGCTTGATGTTGGGGAAAGCTCTGCGTCGTTTACCACTTTGGTGAAACTTACGACCACGGGTATGGTGCTGACAAACAATAAAACCTAACCAGAGCGAGTCGGGATTCGAACCCACGATTATAGGTTTTTTGTACACTAACGCGAGACAACCCTTCACAGCGAATTGATGCGCCTTAGACAACTAGGCCACCCGTGCCCCGAAATCAATATGAATATATCAAATATGCTCCATACTTACTTTGAACACTTCAGGCTAAGTACCCAACCCTCCTTCTCATAGAGGCACGTGTCTTCGCCACATTAAATTCAGCTGAGGACAACGCCCTTCCCGCGATGATATCACGAGCCTGCATAGTCGTTAAACTGCCAGGGGTGATGCCACATTGTCGTGTCTCTCATTGTAGCAGTGTTCCTGGCATGGAGTATCAACATGACATCATGTCTCGCCGGACACTTGTGGGTACTCTGTGACGGAGAGTCTGTCGTGACTAATGGCCAGATAACAATGCCTAGTTATGTTAAATATATATTCAGATCCTCAGACACGTCACTGATTATATCAGCTGTGTCTTCACTTTTGCTATAATGCACAGTTCCAGATATTGCATCAACATGGTACTTCATTCATACTTACGTAGATACATGCAAACATCTATACACGCACGCACGCACGCACGTTTCCGGAATAGCAGGATCCAGACGGAGGGGGTTTCACTGTTTCACTGTAATGTTAAATGTGCACGACAATGAATGTATGTTTGTAACACTGCCAAAAAAATTGGCTGAGTCTATATTGGGAATTCCACCATGAATTTGGAATTTACTCGATTCTGATCGGTCAATCAGAGGCTATCACAATCACACACACACCCCCCCCCCCCCCCCCCACCGCGGAAGCTAATATTCATAGAATAGTACTATTTTCAGTCAGTGTCGGTAGGCATATTTCAATAACTATATCTACAATTGCAGGTTGCAAAATGCTTAGATGCGGTTACTACAATATTCAAAGGATGTGTGGAAATACATTTCGTGCAGGAAAACACGATAGAAATCAACAAAGGGAATGTAATTACGTTTTGGAGACAACAGAGAGCTTGGAATTTTGGCGCTTTTTGACGTCATATCTCTTGCGTCACAATGAGCGGTATGACGTCATAATGGTGACGCCGGATGTAGAGCGAAAGCCTTGCAGAGCGTGCATTGTTTTCTTTAGGGATGCCCACCTCATGTTAGCTTACCAAGTTGCCGTGCTTATATGCTTTCAGTGCCTGTCATATGTTCGAGTGAAGTATTACGGTGTAAACAACATGCTTGAGTATATACAGCACCATATTTTGTTCGGTGATGCCGTAATTCAGATCGATAACCCACTCAAAACACTGAACTCAACCCATTCCGCTTCACTCAGTATATTTGCTAAAAACAAAGAGTTCGCGTTTTATTTAGTCATGGTAGAATGGAGATAAACATATTGTGTTTTCAATGTAGAGCTAGGCTAGGCGCTAAATTTAACATTTGAAACCTCACGCTGCGGTCATTGTGGTTTGGTGTTTTATGGTAGCATTATTCGTTCATTGTAGAATGATGGGTCATTGTGTTACGGTGTTTCATTGGAGCATTATACGTTCATTGTAGCATTGTGGTTCATTGTACACGTAGCTTATTGTGGTTCATTACAGGACTATTATTCATTATAGTTCAGCATTGTGGTTTCTTGTAGCGTCATGGACCATTGCTGTGTTTTGGTTCATTGTACATGTAGCATTGCATTTCACTATAGTCTTACAATTCATGATGGCATTTTCATTCGTTGTAGTATTATGTATCATTATAACATTGTGGATCATTGTAGCATTGTGGTTCATTGTAGGGTAATTGTTAATTATGGTTCACCGTAGTATTTTGGTTCATTGTAACATCATTAACTGGGCGGCAAAAGAAAGTATAGGTCGAGTTCCATGATCGATAAAAAAATAACAAGAAGACATTTTGTTGTGAATTATAATATAATCTAAGGAGGGTTAACAAATGATTGATCAACCACAGTTTGAATGAAATTGTGCAATCGCAGGTAATGTAAGCTCAAGGTACACAATGGTGGAGTAAGAAATTTCATTTTCAAAAAATTGTCAGACACACCACAAGTATATTGTCGACACATTTGCCTTCAATAGCGTGTATGACTTCCAGCTGTCTCAATGCATGCTGTGATACGCCGCCTTATCGATGACGTCAGTCTTCTGATGACGTGGACTGGAATCCGTTGCCACTTGTCTCTCAGGGCTTGCTGCAATTCTTGTCTGTTGACGGGAGGCTGATGGCGTGCTCTAATCTGTCTGTCAAGTGGTCCCACAGATGTTCAATAGGATTCATATCGGGTGAGTGGGCAGGCCAGGGCAAAACGTCAACGTTCTGCTGGTTTAGAAAGTTCCGAGTCAGTCTTGCAGTATGGGGCCCGGCATTGTCGTGTTGAAACAATGTCCCCTGCTGTTAGTTATTGTAAGAACGAAAGCACAACTGGTTGCAACACGTGGTCTCTGTATTGCACAGCGTTCAGGTTTCCCTGTATAATCACCAAATCAGTCTTCTGATCTCCCAAAATACCGCCCAACACCATGACACCTCCCCCGCCGAATGGATGGACCTCTCGAATACACACCGGAGCCAAACGTTCCCCTCTGTGTCTATAAACTCGTTCTCTGCCGTCATTTCGAAACAAGTTAAACCGACTTTCATCAGTAAACAGCACTCGACCCCAATTTCTCACTTGCCAGCGTCGAACCTGCCTCGCCCATCGCAGTCTCAGGCGTCGATGTTGAGCAGTCAGTACCACGCTCGGATTCCAGCAGCACGAAGTCGCCATAGTACTGTACGTTGGCTAATGGGATGTCCCAACGACGTTGCTGCCGTCGCCGTCGCAGTTACGAATCTGTTTCGCAGGTGAATGAGCCGTATCTGACCAGTGGTGTTGTCACTCGAGGTCGTCCGGTTCTAGGCCTGTCCTGTGTCCTCCCTGTCTGCCTGTACCGTTGAATCAGCCTGGCTACTGTCAATGGTGTACAACCAAACCTTCTGGCAATTTGGACCTGTGTTGCCCACATTTCGGCCATACCGATGGCTCTCTCTCTCTCTCTCTCTGCTCCTGTGACAGTCGTGGCATTTCTTATGTGTGCTTTCATCACGTGTGGTTATACCCTGCAGACGAATTCATTTATACAGCTAACATGCACGTGCAGTTTATGCCATAGGCGGCATGGGCGGGTACAGCTTTTTTGAAAAAGGGGGGGTGCACAAGTAAGATCTATTTATTGTCTTTGGTGGTAATTTATACAGAAATGAAGATTTTTTTCGAAATAAAAAGGGTAGTTGAGATCCTACTGTCCTCACAGGTCTCAAACGTAGGTAATAATATTTACAAGCTTCTTTGACGCATGACTATCTACATTCATATTTGGCCATTTCTGGCGATATTGCGATAATGAAATATATATCATCTTAAGAACTGATACGTTGATACTTTACATCAACGTGTTTTTACCATAGTTACCGATTGTTTTAGATGTTGAGATCCTACTGTCCTCTCGTGTACACATACCCATCCAATGAACAACATCCCTTGTTAAGTGGCCACATCACATTCGGTTTATTGAATGAACCTACTTTTTGTGATTAAGTGAGTAATTGAAGAAATCCATTTTAATATCAAGAATGTTGATCTGCTTCAAAAAGAGATGTGTTATCCGCAGATCTTTGCTGTGTGTAGCATGAGACTCTATTGACATATGCGCTCATAAAATCATTGAATCAATCAGGAATATTACAGCTATATGACGGCGGTCTGTAAATAATCGAGTAATGGACCAATAAATTCAGTGATTGACAACATGAGCATCGATCCACGCAATTGGGATACAATGACAAGCATCAACCAAGTCAGCGAGCCTGGTAAAAACGGTTAGTCGCCTCTTACGACAAGCATAGTAGCCTTTTACAGCAATTATGGGTTGCTGAAGACCTATTCCACCCCGGATCTTCACGGGTCTTTAAGGACCTGTTCTTCCCCGAGAGCCGCACTGGGTAGAAATGAAGGAAACGGACAAACCAGTCTGAAGGCAACGGCTGTTTACTATATCCATGGCAGTGAGGTGGTCCAGTGGTTGAAGCGTTAGCCCGTCGCACTAAAGACCCGGTTCGAGTCTTCATATGGGTACAAGGTATGACAACAGGTTAGACTTTTTACGGCAAGCATGGGTTGCTGAATACCTCTTCTATCCCGGGTCTGTCTCATTGTAGCATTATCGTTCGTTCTAGCAGTATAATTCATTATAGTTAATTGTGGTTCATTTCAGCAATATAGTTCATTATAGCATTGTGGTTCAGTGTAAGTCATTATAGCTTCCTACCTTATTGTAGTGCATTGCAGTATTATGGTTCTTGTTTTCTGCAAAGTCTGCAAATCAGACTGAGACACATTAAGCATTTAGCTACCTCTCGCCGAGTTCAACCAGTTTGAAGCATGCCAATAGTCACCCGCGAACTTTCTATGGTATCTAACGAGAATGAGTGTAGTATTATCTATGTACGGGTCGTGTGACCCAATGTCAGGTTTATTTCAAATATTCTTCATACCGACATGATGATATTACGTCCGCTTCCTTCTCCAGTCCGCTGGACGGGTTTGTCTGATTGTAGAAGGCCATGTCTTTCTTCTTTACAAGTGCAATGGACTTCATCAAAATACTCTGAAAAACAAAAGTGTCTGTGTCCAAATGAGCCAATGAAAAATTATATTATGATATTATGAATAGTGCTGTCGATGCGCTAAGCCAATCTCATAAACGTATAATTGGTCTCACGATCCGATAAATATTCAAATGAATAGTCACCTGGCAGGAACTTCTTTCGCAATTATTGACTTACGTTCACAATACGTTTAGACAGTTGTTTTTTCGATGTGTGGGTGTTTCTGAAGACAAACATATGCTAAACGTTCACTCACACTACGGTACTCATATGCGGTTTCTGAAATAAAGAGACAAAACAATTCCGTATCCAGTAGAAATCTCTACATAAAACAAAGTCGATTGTACGATTCCGACTTAATCATATACCTGTGTTTATGAATCACTAATAAATAGTGATAATAACACTAGACGTTCGCGAAAAAGTGAGCGTATTCTGCCCCACGGGTGGCACAAACACATGCAAAGGCAAGTCAATTTTTCATGTAGGGAACATATGGTACAAGTTAAGATAGGGAATTGCATCGGACATCATTTTTATCACTGATGCGTCAAATTTGGAAATGTCCTCCACATGTCTACCATAAAACATTGTGAAAG